ATAGATAATAATATTATTTATTTATAAAAGAATTTTGTTGTCATTTGTGCTCTTCGACAGAGAAGAGCAGCACTGAAAAAAACTGGTCTAAACTGTGTGGTTTGGGGGTTTTCACCTTTCTATTCCCATATTCTTCCACACAGCCATAATTGTAAATTGTAAATTGCTTTTTTACCCACCAAGCACTTAAGAGTTCATAGGAACTTTTAAACGTGTCCGTGCGTTCCAGATCGAATTGGAATTTGGAAGTGTTGGTTTTTAAGGAGAGGGGAAAACCAGAGTACCCGGAGAAAAACCTCTCGGAGCAAGGGAGAGAACCAACAACAAACTCAACCCATATATGGCGTCAACACTGGGATTTGAACCAGGGCCACATTGGTGGGAGGTGAGTGCTCTCACCACTGCGCCACCCTTGCTCCCTCTTGTGGTGGTTTGCCTTTTATTATGGGTCTTAAGCTTGCATTACCTCCAATGGCTTTTACTGTCCCTTATTTATCCTTATTTTTTGAACTTGTTTTTCATTTATTTTTTGTTGGTACTGTTTGTACTTTTTTTTTCGTCTTTTTTTTTTATAATGAAAAATGTTTATATAAAAATAACAGAAAAATAACCCATTGTCTGATGCGAGCAAGAAAAAGTCCAAAAGCTAAAAACATAATAATCTGAAACAATCCAGTAAAAATCAGTTATGAATTTCTTACAAAGAATATTTTGTCCAACAGATTCAGGCAAATAACAGTGTGTAAGAGTAACAAAAAAACTACTGTGCACATTTTATAAAAGTCATTTTGTATCTGAATCCACTGTAAACAGTCTCTCCAACCCTAGAGACAGAAGACTGATCTTACTGAGTTTTAAAATAATGCAAATATATGGTGACAGGTAGAAATGTTTATTTGACCTGCTGTAGTAGACTTGCCCACCCCTCCCTTGCCAGAAGCAACCACTACTACATGTTTGACACCATGTATAGACTTCCTCTTGGGAAGTCCACGAGCCATGCGCTCCTTCTGATGCTCTTCTAATGATGGACTCCGTTGTCTAGTGCCCTTGAGAATACAAAAGCAAAAAACAATGTCATTCAATTGCAGTGAGTTCCACTCTTATTCATGTCCACATTTTCTAGAAAATATCCAAATCAGCCCTCCCCCACAATAAAAGAACTCCTACTAAACCTTTCACTTCTGTTATGATATTTTTCTTTTAGAGACACTCCCCATCCCCTCCTAGTTTTCCTCAGTGAACTAACTTTTCCCAGTGAGGTAGGGCCATTTCTAAAATTATGCACTATAAAACCTGTTGGTGAGAAAAATGAGTTACCAGGCCCCTTAGAAGTAATTTTGTCAGAAAGGAAAGTATACCAGCTCATGCTTCTGTTAATAAACTGTATACCATGTTAAATCACTATCCCTAAGAACCAGGAAATGCTGAAAAGAAGTGCATAATGTAACTATCAATTCTAAAATTGCCCCTCCCTCCCACCCCCCACCCCCAAGCATTTTCCGAGCATTTGACTGGAGTTTTACCTCCTACAGTGGGAAATTTGACCCAAAATGAGGCCTGCCTAGTTGGGCATTTGACTTTCGGGTGAAAATGCTGATAAGCATCACAAGCATAAGGATTTCATAAATCTTTTCACATTGTGGATATGCACCGCGTTCCCAGCTCATTGCTCCTATATTCACTATTTTGTTGGAGCATTTGAGAGCCTTTGGAACAGACCATTAATGGGGTTAAATGTAAGCTTTCTCATTATGAACAATTTTATTGAAATGAACAAACATCTTTAAGACAGTTTTCTGAGACTAGAATTTCCGTTGTGCATAGTAGGATATTTCCATGTGAGTAGACAATGTGACGAATGGGCAAACTTTTGAATAGTCGCTGGTGGGTGGGGTATTTGACACTTCTTGAAGCGCTAGCTGGTGGGGCATTTGACTATCCTAACTGCCTACATTCCAGGAAATTTGATCATCATTTTTCAAAAAAGTATGGAATTCATACCCTTCAGAAAAATTTAAGTTTCACCTCTAATCAAAAACGTTAAAAGTACCAACAAATTCCCCCTGCAGAGACAGGGTAATGTCAGCTAATGTTGTTGATTGATTAAAACTACCGACATACTAGTACCGAGGGTCCACAATAGGTTTGGCGGGATGCGGGATTTGGCCATTTTTCGTAGTGATACTCGGGATGCGGGCTGAAAACAGGAGTGGGATGCGGAAATTTTAATAACCAGCGGGAGCAGGATTTCCTATTTTTATGGGGATGGGATGCGAGAATCGTGAGGGAAAAATGGCGGGATACGGGAATTTAGTTTTGTCTTAACTCAGTCTGTTCTTGACTAAAAATGTATTAGCGTTGTCTGAAAGAAAATGGTTCTTTAGTGTGTATACCGCCTTTGTAGTCAAGTTACGAGTGTCAAAAGAATTAAGTAAATACCTGTCAAATTTTGCCCATTACCTATTTTGTGTGTTGTTCGTCTTTTCCGGTTTTGCTATTTTCATCGTTTTCGTCATTCGGAAAGAGGTATCAAATCACTGAGGTTAGAAATCACGTTCATTAAGATCCTGCATTGATCTGCACTGATTCCTGTTTTGTTCACGGGTTTGACCTTTTCTGCTTTTGCCTGGACGGACCTGTCGGACCTGGACGATCTTTGGACTGAGCGTTTGTTGAGTAAGTCTGGCCAGTATATGACCACACCAGAACTGATGGAAGTGGACAATGATGAAAATGTAGTAGACATCACAAATTGTGTCTCTGTATTACGAAAAAGGTGCCAGCGGCAATGCGTTTCTTCCTAGAGCTCTTGTTTCAAGGCAAGTGAAGACCTTAAAAGTCTTAAAAGAAACAGTCAATACGGTCGTCAAAGGGTCGTCACTTTAGATGGAGAAGCAAACTTCCTGCTTGGAAGGGTGTCCGCATTTAGTCGTGCTATTCGATTCAATAGCACGTTTATGTTTTCATAAAAGGACCATTTTCTCAGTCTTTACAACCAGTGTGTTTATATACATTTTTCATGTCCTACACTCCACATAAAATTGGCTTCATCGCCTGATGGAAAGGGGGATGGAAACTAGCAGCAAAGCAGTCGAATCATCGTGAGAAGGACAGATAACATCAATCCAACTAACTCCAGAAGTGCAGGACTTAAAATATCGAAGTACACACGTACCGATACACGGACGAAAAAATAAGAAAAACAGAAAATAAAGTTACGGTGACGTCGCTTATTGTGATGTTGAGAACCTTGACCATCAAAACTGACAATTGTTAGAAGGTAAGTCTTATATAACGTCTATTTCAATAATCAAGCAAAAAAAATCTCGTTAAAAAATAGGACGGGATCGGGATTCGGGCGTAAAATAGGGCGGGACGGCGGGATTGAGAAGAAAAAAAGGCGGGAAAGCGGGATTTGAGAACCCCTATTGTGGACCCTCGGTACCCGTATACCTCCTAGCTAGCTCCTAGGATTTGTTTGTACTCCAATCCCAACTCAATTCTTTACGCACTTAAATCACCAATGTTCCTGAAAAATAGGATGCAATGCTAGTAAATTGAATTGCGGCGATGTGAGCAGCATTTTAATTTTCGTGGGGCAGAGCATAAACTTTAAAATAACCAGCATCACAATCCATTCACTTCACGTTTTCTTTTCAAGTAATAAAATAGAAACAAATGAAAACACCAACCAGTGGATCTCCATGAGATGATGCAAGTGATAATGAAGTATGAATCGCTGCCCTGACAGCAGACATTTTTACAGACGAGAACCGAGTCTTTTGCAGAAGAAATCTGTGCACGGCAGCCGCCATCTTTGTTTTTCAAAATACCATGTCATTTAAGCAATAGTTTTGTGCATCTGCAAAGGGAGTCGACTGCCCCCAGTCTTCGCTCGGTATCCTTCTCACACGATCTGCCCTAACAACGACCAGGCTGAACAACGAGAGTTTCTAAGCCGGTTGACAAGTCAAAGCCAAAGGTTTGACGCCACAGACCAAGCCCCTCTTTTTTACAAATCATTGCCAATGACTGTTAATTTTTCTCGACACTCGTAAGAATCCGGTCCAAGAGCCATAATGTCCGGTCTCATGTATATTTTGGGGGCCGTAGCCAGGACGTTTTTATATATGGAGGAATCTTTTACGCACCCTGGCTCCAGAGGTCCGTTCTCAAAATACCTAATATGAAATAAACCGTCCCTGCTTACGGTTTGATAAGGCTTCCGAGAGTTTTTTTCTTTTACAGTACTGTACCCTCCCCCTCGAGACAAAAATGGCATCGTACAACGAAATTTTCTGTTTTTTGGAAATCACGCGAGCAATAGAACCTGTACGGCGTTCGAAATGGCATGGTGATTTGACGTCACAAATAAAATTAAGCAAACTGTCTAGGGGACTTCGTGTGTTCATTCAGTGGAATTAAAAATGTCTTACGTGATGAAGAAGATTAAGCGAAGAAAATTTACCCGGCGAGATTTCCTGATTTCAGCATCTGCTACATCATTGACTATTGAGTGTGAACCAGAAGGGCAGTGGTAGGTACTATGGTGAAGTTAAAGAAAGTTTACTTTTGTCCTTAAGTTTTACTTGAGATGTGCGCAGGCCTTGAACTGGATTAGAAACTGGTACAGATTTGTACGTCAAAAAGATTTCGTTTTTTATTTTAAGGACTACAAAGTTAGACTGACTTGAAATCGTCCTAGGCGCAATGAACCTAAAAGAGTGGAGAAAACACATGTCAATAAAATTAGCTATAATTTATAATAAAGTGAAATTAAATTAAGAATCATTTTCATAAAGATAAACACGCGTAGTTTTATCCTTTTTCTCAGTGTTATTTTAAAGTGTAGTCTCCTCTTTTTAGGAGATTATCAGTTTCTTTCTCATTCTATTGCGCGCGCTACAAAATAAACACAAACCTAGTAACATGACATCAAAATGAAAATAAACAGAACAGTTTAGATTTTGCTTGAAAGCGTATCAGTGAGGAGGAAAATGAGTTCTGTCATACAAAAGATAAAGAGGAACAAGAGCAACGCTCGTGATTTTCAGATCACAGCATCAGTAAATCTGCTGACTATCGAATGTCAGGCGGATAAATGGTAAGCGACAAAAAAATTAAAAAGGAAGTGATAGAAAAATAATACCGCAGATGCCTGCAAGGAGATTCCTTCCTCACGTGGGATGGTTTAAAGATTTCAAACATTATACTTGTTGCCTTTTTATATTTTGAAACACTCTCGATGTTTGCAGCACTATCCTTCTAACAGTTATTTAAAGTATTCATCGCTTATTATTGGAAAATTTGTCTATTTTTGAATTTAAATGTTATGTTTCGTAATCGTTGCCTGTAAACCAAAAGTAGGTCAGTCAAAAGCGATAATTTCTAAAATTTTCTAGTTCTTACATGCATACTGTGACGAGCTAGGAAAAATTCCCAAAGCAATCTCGAGCAAGAGATCATAATATGATATCATGTCCCGAGTTATTTCTTTCAGAAGCCATTACTGACATTACTAACATCTTAAATTCAAGTCATCACTATTTAATGCCACTGACCACCCCTGTTCATCCCATATTATGGGAGATTGTCAATTTAAATTTAGATTGTAACCGGAAAACGGACACCAGGGAGGGGTCTGAGAGTTTTAAGTTTGTCACTTGTTCCCACGAAAACGTTTTTAAAAAATGGCGGCATGAGAGTTAGAAATTCTATTCCAAATTTACAGGTACTGGAAGTTCATTTTTCCATGGACAAATTAGTACTAGCTGAGTGATTTTTTGGTAATTTTTTTGTGTTCCCTCTGGCTGCCGACTTAAACGTACTATGCAAGGTCAAAATTTGTTGTTGTCACTGTTTGAATCTCAGCTTTTAGTATCTCACAAGTTCTCTGCTTTTCTTCGCTTTTTTGTTTTCCTAGGCATCCTAACAAGCTCATCATTTTGTGGGGCAAAGAAAATAACAGTTGCCAAACAAAGGTATGTACTTATTTTACTCCTCGAATTTTTGATCTTATTCATTCTTCTTGAAATCCCTTGAATTCAATAGCCTGAATTTCATCCGATTACTTCGAGTCGTTATTACTCCCTCAGTAACGACGTTGTTGAGAGGAGAAAACGACTCGAAGCAATCGGATGAATTTCAGGCTATGAATTCAACAGTTTACACTGAAAATAAGCTTAAGCTTATTAAGGTTTAAAAAAAACTTGATCTTTTTTAGCCAGTTCCATGGCAGCCAGGATTTGTCAATCCATACCGTGGCACTCATGTGTGGCCAGAGCCGGATCCGGTGAAAAACACTTTCAAACTCTTCAAGGTAAAGAGCCTCTTATCATAATGTTAAAGTCTTACTTTTAAAAAGTTGATTTAAGCTTAAGAAATGTGACTGGAGGTTGCTCGAGCTCATTTACATTTCTTCAGTATCAGATATTTATTAAAATTTGACACACAAACTTCAAAATATTTCACTAACATCAGCGACCGCGTTTCTATTCATGCTTGATCTGTGAAATCTACTTTTTTTATAGAACCCAAAACGAGCTGGTACTTATGAAGACCGCCCTTGGAGGATTGTTGTCCAAAATGTAAGTTTGCATTTGTACCATCAAAGATGACAAAAACATATTGTAGTGGTAACCTGCAAACTTTGGAATACAATACTAAAAAAACAAATACTAATACAAATACTAATTTTTCACAGCCCATGGACAAGAAAATAACTTGCTAATAAAACTTAGACAACTTGGAACTGACAGGCATGTTTGAACACACCGTGTATTGAAGAACTATCTCCTGAATCCAAACAACACTTCAATTTTTGCCAGTGATAACTGTCTTATCGGAAAAACTGGCACACCATTTCTCTCTCATTTGTGCAACGTATTTTAAACTATCTTTCTCTTTTCAAGAATTTGCCTTGTTTTTGCAGGAGTGTGAAAATGGTCGGCGCCAGGTTATTGCTACGGGCTGCATTGATCTAGCTGATTATATCAGCGAGACAAACAAAACGTTTGAGATAACTGTCACATTAAAACCAGCAATGAAGAAGGTTCTGTCGGCAACAATCGAGTTTAACTTAACCTCTGTGATGCTAGAAGATGGAATACCATAGTGAGTATTGTGTTGTTGTATACAGTATATAGTACCCTCAAAGAAAAACTCTCCTCTCGATATCGGCTCTTAGAAAATTTTTTCAGACATGCATCTTTCGGTCATTTTTTTGAGGGAGTGAATTAGTAAAGAGAATCTGTACCAACCGTGAGGGTCACTGTGAGTATTTCTTTGCCTAGTCCCTTGTAACGTGGTCCGAGCGAAGAAGTCCGACGTTTCCCGCCCGTTCGCTTTGGGTATTAATATCAGAGAAGTGAATTGATCGAAAAGGCCTGGGAAAATGTCGTACAGGAACTAGGCAAATTTTAACTAGGCCAATTCAGAGTTCCAAAATATCTCGCTTTCAAAACGAGGCAACGTGCAAAACATTTCTTGTGAAAATGAGTTTCATTTGCATGACAAAAAAAATCATTTTCAATTCAATGGCAAGGCACTTCGCGTCGCTTTGAAATAGAGGCTTTGGGAAACCCAGAAATGACCTATTTATGAGTGATGTTAGGAACTTTCAGAGAAGACTACGTTGTAGGAATTGAATAAGATCAGACGCATGATACGAGTTTTGAAATCTAGCTCGCGGGCGAAATCATTTTTCACAGAAGTATCATCTCTACCATCCTGAGTCAGTACGGGTAGTTGCACTAAAATTTCAACCGTCACTGAAATTCGAAAGTCCACTTTCGGCTCTAGTTTGACTAGCCTTTTGTTTTATGACATTTTTTTTGTTGTTTATTTTGATAATTGTTAATATAACCGTGATATAAATAGCCCGTCTGGACTAGATTACGTCCCATCCTCGCACCATTTCTTATCCAATTCATGTTCTGCCTCTTTTTATCACAGTCGAAGCGATGAGGAAATATTCCAAGAAATCATGGCAGACGCTTTTAGATCGGCCAAGAATAGAATTGCCAAAAGTGCTGTGTCTTCCGCGGAGCACAAGGATCCACTTCTGTTTTCCTCTGTTGATAAACCATCGGAGATTCCTTATACGCCAAGGAAAAGAAAAAACAAGAAAAGAAGAAGCAAAGAAAGAGCAAATAACACGCCTGGCAGTGTTAACAACGGTCGTGAACGGGAAGCAAAGGTGGAAAAGAAAATTTCTCAACCACAGCAGCCGGGCGCTCATTCAAACTGCCACAAGACTGCAGAGTCCGTTACTTGTGCTGAAGATAACAACAACAGCAACCTGAAAGCCATAACACCTTCAGCAGATGAAGGAAAAGAGTCTTCTAATACTGATACGCCTGCAAATGTTGAAGGAAAAAAAGAAAGTCGCAAGACCAAAAGCCCAAAAGATTCAACCTCTAGTGCAGCCTCCAAACCAGCTGAACAATCTCTGGCATCCAACGGCGTGTTGTCAACCAAACCAGAAACAACACAAGTGAGTGAACAGGAAACAAGAAACAATTTAGCTCCAGAGCAAGGCGAGGAAAAGGCTTCACTCGAAGAAGTTCCTTCAATACCAAGTTATAGACGAAAGCTCGCTGGGTTCATAAAAGGCAAAAAACAGCTCAAGGCCAGCGGGAAGGAGACATCAAAACTGTTTCCCAAGGAAGATGGCTCCTCTGGATGCGGTGGAAATGTTGACGAGCATTATGGCTCTGGAACATCTGGTCAACTCACAGCGCCTAAAATAGATATGTCGGCTGGTGAAAGGAAGGAAAATACTTCAGCTGATTCACACGACGATAAAGAAATGATATCTTCATTTTTCAAGAAGCTGTTGGAGAATGGACCCAAAAAAGGTACAAAAACAAAACAAGGACAATTTGAAATTTTTGTAGTAATTGAGAAATTAATTTTTCGAGTGCGCAGCTAGTATAAGAGCGCGCTCCAGTAAATTTTGACTTTCCTCCGTTCAGAAATTACAATGAGAGATTTTTGTGTAATAGGAATACACATTGCGGGGCTGTTGTCAGGCAATTGGCCAGAAGGAAGCACCGTGCTTCCTTCAGGCCAACTGGCAGTCAGCGATCACCGACCAAGGCACGAGTTCCTTGGAGGCCTCTAAAGGCTGGTTTTTCACCAGCGACGGAGTCCGAGTTTGGAATCATGAGCGGAGTCTTGAGAGGGCTTATGACCTTGTGAAAATCAAACTGAATCGGAGTCTTGAGCGGAGTCATAAGGGCGACGGAATCGGAGTCGGGAGAATCAGCACGTTTCTATTTACGTCCGACTCCGCTTACGACTCCATCTCTCACGGTCTAGTAAAAATCAAATTGTTGGAGTCGGAAGCATAAGCGGAAGGAGAAATCAATCACAACGCACCTTATCACGGGTTTAGTTCTTCTGCTTCTGCTTGCGACCCGACAACCTAGTTTACACTTCATCGTTAACGACGGAGTCGTAAGAGGAATTGTTTTCTCTAGGTCGTTGAGTTCTGTGCTTTTGATTACGACTTCGACTCCCTCGCTAATGAAAATCATCTTTAAGGCCATGTCCTCTCCCCAGCGAAAATTAAAAAGGGAGAAGCTCTCAAGCAATGCAATATTATCAGACCATTTCACCATATTTATTTGCTGTATTTGCTGGACTAGAAGATTATTTTTCTATATTCTATGTTTGTTTTCAGCAGCGTCTGTGAATTACCCTGAACTGTCAGCTTATGTGAGCGCAGAGATGAAGTCCCTCGATGAAGAAATTGCTTCTTTGGAAAAAGTAACAGTCAAGCTAGAATCTGAAATGCGTCAGGCAATGGAGATTAAAGGTCAGTTCAGGCTTTAATTCCTTTAATTACAAAAGCTTAAGCATGTTTTAATGAGTAATGCGGGTTCCGCAATCTGTATATAGACTTTTAGTCCAAGGCTCTTACCAGTCTTCTTGAGATCAACATTCAAATGAATTTCTTGTATTCTCAGTAATTTCTTTAGTGGTGCTTTTTCCAGTTGTGTTTAGAGATAATGTGTAGAAGCAGTCGAAATTAAGTATATGATTATGCGCTGAATATCTTGTACTTTAGAGTGCAAAGAAGAGTTGGATGGTTTAAAACAGGACTGGATGATCTTGTTGAGTTACGGAGACCAGCTGAAAGAGAGAAAAGCCGATCTTCAAATTCTGTAAGTGATACTTATCGTCTACTAGCAAAATGTCTTTGTTGTGCCCCGTTAAAGAAAGCCAATCTTTTACAATGTATAATAAAGCTTCGTCACCGTGTCGAGGATGGTACACCATGGATCTTGATAACGACGTTTGTTTTGTGCACTGGCTCACCAAGAGGGTGATCGGCAAATTACTTCACGCAACCGACCTATTGTAAAGCCAAAAAACCTCATTACAACTAGTCAAACTCTTCTCACGGGTAGTATTACGAAAATGGGTTTACGTGAAAACACAACTGCACTACCACTACTAGAATAAACGCCTCTCCCAAATAAACCCCGCAGATGAAGCAAATTTACCAATAACCGCAGCCAAGGAGAAGATTGCGGAGTTAATGCGAGAACTCATACAACTTGGTAATCTACAACATCCATACTCTTATTTCTCAGCAAAAAAGCGAGACTTCAGATTTCTAAGCACCTTTCTTTTAACATGTTTGCAAATGACGTACGATAATTGTTGTCAGTGATTTAAGAACTGTGTTTGCAAAATGAACACCGCATCCGAAGCGCGAAAAATCTCATCTGAAACGCCGCGGCGTATTAATAGGGTAAATAAAAAACCTGGTATATCTCTCTTAATTTCAAAATTGTTTTTATCTTCTACTTATGTTTTCAGTGAAAAACAGGAGAATCTTGAGCATTGTTGTGATATCCTCAGAAAAGAACTCAAACTTCTCTTCACATTGGAAGGTATATTAACACTGTTCACTCACACTGCTAATGACACAANGCCTCTCCCAAATAAACCCCGCAGATGAAGCAAATTTACCAATAACCGCAGCCAAGGAGAAGATTGCGGAGTTAATGCGAGAACTCATACAACTTGGTAATCTACAACATCCATACTCTTATTTCTCAGCAAAAAAGCGAGACTTCAGATTTCTAAGCACCTTTCTTTTAACATGTTTGCAAATGACGTACGATAATTGTTGTCATTGATTTAAGAACTGTGTTTGCAAAATGAACACCGCATCCGAAGCGCGAAAAATCTCATCTGAAACGCCGCGGCGTATTAATAGGGTAAATAAAAAACCTGGTATATCTCTCTTAATTTCAAAATTGTTTTTATCTTCTACTTATGTTTTCAGTGAAAAACAGGAGAATCTTGAGCATTGTTGTGATATCCTCAGAAAAGAACTCAAACTTCTCTTCACATTGGAAGGTATATTAACACTGTTCACTCACACTGCTAATGACACAAAAGAACTGGGTTTATTATATAAACAGCAATGAAATACCAGGTGAGCTTTCGCGCGAAAACTTGCTATCTTCATATGGGAAAATATCACCGTTGCTATAGCTAGATAATAAGTCGCGCCTTTCACACCAAAAAACTATTAAAGTGAAATGGTTTGGTATTTCATTGGTGTTTATATAATGCACTCGAGGAGAAATTTCGTATCTCCGCGCGGCCATGTAATATCCTCTATGTATTATCGACAATTTTGCCGAACCGGTGAAATAATACATGGTACTTTAATCAATTTGACGAGTGGGAGGAATTATCGAAAGAGATTAGTGTAGAGTAAAATGTTGCTAATTTCCCTTCTAATTTTACTTGGCGCGTTTAACGGAAAGCTTTTACACAATAGTCTCGGCCTAGAATTTAACTATGACTTCCACTAAGTTATCACCTCACCGAAAATTGAAAGTGAAAACGCGTTGAAATGAACATATACGACGCACAATTCTTGGCTTCAACGCGATATAGTAGGTTTGCAGGGACTCGAGATCATTTCCGAAACAAACTGTGAGAGTGTGTCAGTGAGGGAGTGAGACTTACAATTTTTCTTTTACCAACTGAGCTGATGAGGTAAATTGGCCACCCTTAAAGGCTTTTGGTGTTGCGAAAATAGCTGCACACTGGAGGGGCCGACTCCCAAAAGCTTGAGTGCACCGTCGCCTTTTCTTGTTTATCTTGCTATTACCTGATAAACAAGGGATTACTATAACGAACGTGTACTAAGGACTAATAAAAAAAACAGTTTGAAGACAAATGATATTTTGTCGTTACATTTTCAGATTGGCGTAGAACAGACTATCACACAATGCAAGAGGCCAAGCTTCTTGATATTCTCCATTGCCTTAAAGATAAACAAAGAGAAACTTGCTGAAGAGAAAAAAACTTGGTGAGTAATTGCTAGCGTCTTTTTCTAATTGTAACCCCAGTCTATAGATCGTTGCCAGGATGCTTATTTGCTTTTTATTTCACCCAAGTTTAAAAAAAAATCGTGGATCTGATCTTACTTGGCCGATGTTTAATTCCATCTATTGTAAACCATTCTGGCTGAATAGAAGACAACTGCTGAAAAAACATTGATCAGGGATGTAGACTAGTTAAATGGAATCATGAGACAGCACGCCAAACCATTTTTCGATTATTGTGTATTTTATCATTAACATATTTTTTTTTAAACGAAGATATGATCGTCGCAGTGGTAATTACAATTTAAGAAATTACAATTTGACCCATGGCCTTTGCATTAGCGCTGAAGTGCTCAAACAACTGAGCTACGAAGACCCATACATTGTCAGCAGGCGAATAATGACTAACAGATTTGTTTTATTCTTCTTGATTTCAGATTCTCTCCTATTCTGCTGCAAATTGTAAACACGCAAATACTTGTAAATATGTAAATAGAAACTAATTTAAACCACTACTTATACTGATAAGAGTATATTTAAGTAGCCTTTCTAAGTAAAGGAAATCTACTTCATTAATATTTCTTCTTTATGTAAACAGTTACATTTTTACGCCGAGTCTCGATCTAAAGCACATTCTCCCTCGAAGAAAGCTAAACATTCTGTATTTCTTCAGTCGAGTTCTTTTAAAGCAGGTTTAAAAGTTTTTTCCCGCTTGTTAAAGATTCTATTCTATTCTTACAATTTATCATGTAAATATGTAAATAGAGAAGAAAAAAACATAAGTAGTTTAATTGTATAATTGTTAATACTTGATACAGAAAGACAAATTTTTATTTTTGTCTTTTTTCCTCGAAATGGAAGTAACTCTTTCGTATTTGATTAATACCATGGAGTCATTTTTCCTTACAAGTAAGAAACGTTTGTATGAGCCCTTAACTGACAAAAGCAGACAGAACAAGTTTAAGTCATGATCAAGACAACAAAAAAACAAAGTAGGTTCTAATCACAGCTTATTCCAAACAGCATGCATGCATCAGTCACTAATGGTCATTTTTTTGGTTTGATTTGGTTTTGGAAAATCTATTACATCTTTATAATTCATGCAAACGTGGATGTCGTATATAAGGTGTGGAAGGACTTTATCATTCACGTGATCTAACTAGGTTGCTATGGTTTCATCCAATCTAATGCATTACTGATATACAATCGGGTTCATCCTAATAGTGACTCGTGCATTTATGTCACTCTTTGTGTGACTACGTTCACTGAATCTCTACCGTGCAAATTTCTTGTCTCTTAGACGCTTTTGACTTTCGTTAAAAAACTGTCTTTGTTTTCACTCACGGCAAGCCGGTCAAGCTTTTTCAATTTTTTTTTTACGTTATAAGTTCATTTATATCAAGTTTTCTTACTACTAAACAATGCCGGACTAATCATAGCTTCTCTGATATTATTTTCCCTCTTGTTTTTTACGTTTCATGTCGTCAATTTTCCAAACTGTTACAAGCCCATATACTCTAGCACTTTTGCAATTTAATAGCATGCTTCTTTCAATTTTTGGTAGGCTTTTTTGCAATTTATATGCAAGCTTTTTGCAATGTAATAGATTGTTTTTTGCAATTTAGGCGCACGCATTTTGCAATTTTAGGCTATTTTTAAAATTATAATTGCGCTTTTTGCAGGCATTATAGGAGTAATTTTGCAATTTAGGTGCGTGCTTTTTGCAATTGATAGGTTGCTATTTGGCAATTTACTTTTAGCCGCTTGCTTTTGCAATGCAATAGGCAGCAAGTTTAGGTTTGTATTTGATGTTTACAGGCTTGTATCGGTTATCACTTTTTTTCTGAACTTTTTTATATTCTCATTTTGTGTATTTTTTTACCCTTTGCTTTTCTTTGCTAATTGATTTTGTTTGCTAATGTTCGCGCTTTGTTCATTTTGGCCTTTAAATTCTTCCACCCTGCTTGAACCCTTTTTTGAACTGCACTTTTTAGCATGACGCTTAAATTTCCCAGGATATCAGCCATATTTGCACAGTAAAGAGACAATTGGGTGTAGTCACACAAAGTTGTCACATCTCAACGGCTGCGTCACGGTTATTAATGACTTACTCAGTGCAAAGGAATGGAGGAAAACAAAGCTGAATGACGTCATTCTATATCAGATCACACCATCTTAATGCTACCTAGAACGAGATCAAGAGTTTGTTTGTTTTCCTTTCAACTAAAATATCTTTGAAGTGCATCTTTGATCAAATTGATTTGTTTATTGTGCTTGCATTACTGTTTGGAATCGAGAATCGGCGATCGCTTTTAATTGTTCACAAAAGAATATGTCGTAAATTGTCCAGTTCTCTGATATCTGCAGCTATGTTCACCCGAAACTGCTTGCTAACGGATCCGGTTAGAAACAAAACAAAAAGAACAGCTCAGACGGAGCCTATGGTAACTTTTTTTCGCAGGTTTGATTTTGCACAGTTCCAGAACTTTTTTCTGGACTGGCTGAGTGTAAGAACGACGAATTACTTTCGTCTTGGCTTTCGGATAAGTCCAGTAGCAACACATTGACAAATAAGTTGTCCTTGGAAGGAACAGTTCCTTTTGAGCACACCTGGTCTAGACTCCGAAACACTACCACCGGGATTCTGTGTCAGTTCGTGTGAACGTAGCATGCTTCGTACAGCCTGGATCACTTACTCCTTGTAAATAGATAATGTTGTAAATAAAGAATACAAGTACGCAACTTGTGTTTTGCCATTAGTGTTATGCTTTCTTTATCACGTGCATCTTAATACTGGATAAAAATACTGTCCTCGCGCAACGCTCGCCAAAGCAAGTCGCTTTAATTTCCAACTTATTTGCTTCCAGCCAGAACGAATGGCTGTGGTAGGGAGACGGTCTGAAAATCATTTCATGCAGTTATTTTTATACCGCAGACCCCTGGGGAGAGCAGTTCTTACAGGCAGAGGGTGAAAGGGGAAGTAGTGAGAAGAATAACTACACTGATTTACAAAGAGCTGAAAAGGGAAAGAATTAGCCTAGGAAAACAGTAGACGTTTCGCGACCTTTATTAAATCCATAATTGGGTTTCAGATCCATATATTTTTGCTGTCCTAAAAGCGTAATAGGATCGAGAGGATTTACGGAATTTAAAAGTACGCGCGAAATGACGTCCGAGGAACAAGCTTAGAAATTTCCCGCTGATGACACATCATAATTTAGAAATGAGTAGCCCTTCTGATTGATTGAAAAAACCCAAAACATTCCCAGTTCTAGGTAACAGTGTCTCATCAGTATGAAATTCCTCTCTCGTCCCTCAGACTTCATTTTAAGAGGAAGCCAGTGGTAAGTACAGTCGCAAAATGTCGGCTGTTTTCTTAGGATAGAGAAAGGGAAAAGCAGGTGAAAGATAATCATTCAGAGGAGGCCTTAGCCAGCGATTATCTTACTGTTCTATTACTAATAGAAAAATCCCTTGGAACGAGACGGAAGGAAACGATGGATAGTGTAACTGAAATATAGTGAGTTAATATCGTATCTCAGAATGTAGAAGAGCCAGCACTTCCCTGCGAGCTATGTACCGCTGAAACCCCAATTTACACTGATCGTTCGCTCGCTTCGTGGACCAGCCATTCACCATTTACACATTTCACATAATATATACGCCTCGTTTGCCCTCCTCCCCCTCCCCAAAATTTGCAGTTACAAATGGGTATTACAGTTGTCTCAAGACAAACTGAAGACAATGCTTATGCTTAAAATTTGTGGGGCAAAGAAGGTGCATTATGGAAGATGTGCAAATGACGAATTAGAAAGTTGATGGGTCTTGATGAGGTTGGGAAAGGAACTTAGGACTTAGTTTGTACCAATGCTCTTTTTTCGGTTACCAGATAAGATAGCATTTCAAAGTTTTTCCTAAGAGCGTGTGCATGACAATGTTGGCGGAGCGGACGATAAAATGGCCCAAACGTGTTCTAAATTAAAAGCTTCATCCGGGCTTCACGCCTGAATTGGATCTCTGCATGAGATCACTCATATTTTTTACTTTATTCACCGAGAAAGAGAACACTCCTGCTAGAATTACTTTTTCCATTTTGGTTTGTAGAATTTTTTCCATGATCTTGGCTTGCATGAATATTGTTCGTCTCAAGTTTACCCACGAAAAGAGCCACGCAAGAACGTGCGAGCGAGCGGTCGGAGTCTCCTTTCGCGCGTGACTTCTCTCTAACCGTCACACTTCTATTCTACGCCTCAAGAACGAAACCCATCATTTTTTTCCCCTAAGGTGAAGAGGATATGAGAAAGCGCCAGCAGACGGGGATTGAAAAAAAAAAGCCAGGGAAAAGCAATTAAGCACCCTGGGGAGGAGGTTGGGGAAGGGAGTGAAGGGCTCCCGCTCCCCTAGGACTCCGCTCAGGTCGGGACAAGACGGCGTGACGCGAGTACAATTATGATCTAAATATTTTTTCGTCGATTTATATTTAAATGTAGCATTTTTTTATAGCATATTAACCTGCGATCAGGTGGTCCTCCGACGTTTGCGCTTTCTGGTTAATAAAACATGTACATACCAAACGCACATTGAATATTTTTCATGCAAAATTGCATCAACCATTCTTTTGAAAGAACATTACCATGGAAACAAAGCGATTAGCCTGCTTGTTTAGCAATTTGTTCTAATAATTGACTTCGGTAGCGGAGATAATAATTCGAATTACAGTTGTGATACCGGTATGAAAATAGGAAATGCCTTTTTCTCAAGAGGGCGACGAATTTCAAGACATCGACCATTTCGTACAGGCCCTCGTAGAACTGTCTAGTAAAGCCGAAGAAACAGTTCAATCCTACAATGTTTTGAGTTCAAGCGAGCCTCAGTTAACTGGATGGATTACGGAGCGAACGATTTCTAATGAAAACAAAACAGTTTGTCGTCGATCTACCCCATCTAAAGCTGACTCCAAAGAACATCGATCAGGCACTCCGCGAAAAGCAATTTCAAAACAGTTTACAAGAAACCGAGCGGATATCGTAGAGTTCAAGCATTACTTACAACCACAACGATACATCGAAGAGTATCGGAACGAAAAGGCTATCCGACAAGAAAACGCTTACAAAGATCTGCTTTGTAAAAACGATAGGCGTAGGGCGTCTGATTCTTGCGTGGATTTTGGAAAAAAATGCGATCAAACGGAATCTTCAGCATCGAGGCACGTTCCCTCTGTACCTAGTGTTGTAAGCATGAAGGAAGAACAAATACCGCAAGAAGACAATACTACTAAGCCTCTCATTGTTGTTTCGTCAAAAGAGTTGTGTAAACCAGCTAATTTGCCTCTGCCAGGGCAATTTCAGGGTAGGAAATTGCAGTGGCGGCCAACTATAGGAAACAGGAAAATACCTCAACCGAAAGTCGTATCTCAGTGGTAAGGCGTTTAATTAATGAACCAATATGTAAAACTGTCTAGGCAAATTGCATGTTCAATATAATCGCTGACGGGACAAGAGCCAATTAGGGTTAAATTTATTGTTGACTTGCCAAATTAGCCTTTATAAAGCGCATATTGCGACTGGCCTCTATGATATCGTAATTATAAAATGTCTTACCAAAATTGTTACTCATATGCTGTTATGATGACGTCGAAACGTCCACACTCAGTTTTAGTTGTTTTAGCTTTAGTATAAAATCGCTGTTGATCAAGTATTTCCTTACCAACAATCAATCACACCGAAAACTGGCGCTTGTAAAGACTGTAAGTCAAAACATAGTTAACCATTAACCATGGTCAAAAGGAAAATACCAAAACTGAATTTGGCTCAATTAAACTAGTTTCAAAAGAGTACAAACTGATCGCTTAGGGATTCAACTTGGCCCAGCCTGCCAACACACGTATTTCCGGTCGTAGCTACTCTCAAATACGTCTGCGTTCACGGGCTAAGTTGTTTCAAGGTCGCCAATCATAGCCCATCCCAAGGTCAGATTTTAAATCCCAGTTCCTTAGTTCAAAAACATTTTGTCTGTTAACCAGTCATTTGTAAGCGTGACGGGCCAAAAGAATTCACTTGAAGTTTGCTTTGTACGCGGATTCCATTGATTCCGGCTAGCCTGTTTCAGGCGTTTAGATCGTGGGGACGGCGCGAAGAGATGTGAGCAGGAAAAAAAAAGCGAGGGGATGGTGAACAGGCCAGATCTGGGCCAGATCAGACTGATTCAAATTTCACGCTCACCCAGGATTAACTTAAGCCTGCTCTCAAAACCGTTATATCATCCTCACAAGCGTTCAACTTGTCCAGTTGTACTAGCGTTATTAACTTCATCCTCTCTTGCCTCACAATGCAGAAAATAATTTAATAAGTTGTCTTGGTTTTTCAGGAGCCAAGCCCACATTGATGTAACTCTTGAGATTACGTCACAAGGACACGCTGATGTTGGTCACATGGTCCAGTTCAGTAAACAGGTGAGATACTATAGATAGCAGAGTAGACTGTTCGCAGTCCTCTATTTTCCTGTCATATGCAATCTTACAACCCCGCTATCTCAGGGTACACTTTCTCAAGATTATTAAATGGTCGCTGAGCACTACTTAGGGGGCGGGGGTGGTTTGGTTTTTTCCCGCCCCCTTCTCCCACAGCTATAATCCCCGACGTCCGCCCCCTCGGTACATTTGAAAATCAAGATGGCCAACATTAACGGTAAGACGCGCTCACGGAAAAATAGGGGACTGTGAACAGTCTAATAGCAGAGGGTCCCTTTAAAGGATTCCTCAATCCCGTCTTCCCAACCAAAATGTTCCCTCAATCCCGTAACCCGACGCTTTTTGTTGACTTATGTCGATCCTGATCATACGTTCCAAAAAGTGCCTTATACTGGTTCTAAAAATCTCACCTTTATAGGAGGACCAGTGGCAGATAATGGAATAAAAACGGTGGCGGGTAGTGTCAAAATAGGCAGATGACAAGCTCGAGAAAGATGTGCACATTTTGTTAAGTCAAAATGAAAGTTTTTTCATCATTTAGTTGAAAAAGTTTCTCTTTCGAACATCGTTTCTTTTGAAAAACATCTCCTGCATCCCGTTCATAATTACAATCCCGAATATTAGCTTGCTTAACATTACCTCTTAAATCGCGCATCCTGGCCTTGAAATGAGGCACAACCAGGATACATCAACTTGACGAAGGACTACATCAGGAGAAACGAAAGACAAGTCATAACGTCATCCACAGTCCAACAAAAGACAATAGGGAGTAGAGGAATTCTTCACACAGATAATCATTGCAGATTCATGCACATCAAGAACGGATAAAAAAAATGGGTTTTAAGTCGACCAACAAACAAAAGGAGAGTAAACTTAAGTCGTGATCTGTAATCGTTAGTTAAACTTGCCAACAAACTATGAACTATGAAAGTCGAGCGAGTAGCACGAAATGAATGAGGTAGGGGTCATCGTATAACGAGAAGGACTTGGGAAAGCCTAGTCTCCTCCGAGTTGAGTTAAGGAGGCTCGCACCCATTTTTCAAGGTCTCACCCCTTCGTGATTGATGCTCCATAACTAGGCTGTAGTGCATATACAAAAAAGCCACAAAGTGAAGCGACATATCTAACAATAATTATATCTAAAAACTGAACTTTATTTTAGAGTATGTTTTGTTGACATCGCCGCTTCCATAGCAACAGAATAACGATGACATGAAATCTACAATTCGAAATTTTCTCGAAAGCAAGCAATAATCTGTTAAAGTCCTTAAGTGTGCTAATAGTTTAGACCGTTGTCTTTACCTTTTAAAGATCTTGGCAAAAGTCAGGGCTTTTTTGCACTAGGTAATTTCTTACTTACTTTGCTATGTTTGTGGTCAAAATTGCAGTTTACAAGTACTGGCTGCGTTTTAACTGAAATTACTACCAAATTTGTCAAAGCTAGCCTACTTTAAAGGCGTAATTTACCCCTGGTACGTCTGTAAGTGTTTAATAAATGGCTATGTAATAACTGAACCATTTCTCCTCCATTTTAAGGGTGAAGACTTAAACCCACTGCAAGAAAGAAGACCATCGGCGAACTTGGTTATCAAAAGAGCGGAGTTAAATTCCACAGTGACAAATTCACGAGCTGAACCCAAAACTTCAACCACCCCTCAGGCGGTTAGAGCCCAGTACTCGCCAATAGAAAAGTGTGACGCGTGGGTCAAAAACAGAGAAAATGAACTAGGGACTATCTTCCGCAAAAGTAAAGAGAAATACAATGCAAAGCCACGGACATTTCGAGGATATAACACGACGCAAGTTTCGTCGTCTCCGTTAGCTCTGCGCGGCAACGCATTGACTTCATCTCCTAAAGACATGACGGAAAACACTTCGATTATAAGGTGCTCCTCGAGCGCCTCAGGAATAGATTATTCCAAATACACAGACATGTTTAAAAACGTGCTGGAGTTTTACGGACCAAGACGGTTGAGACCGAAATCGCATTCAGCCATAGAACAACTATTATCCATGAAAACTTAACCCAAAGGACCTGCCAGCAAAAGCCGGAAGTTTATTGCCCAGGCAGGCTTTATCTCATTTTCTTGAGTAAGGCCAGCCTCGTTCCCAATCACCTCCGGCGATTTTGGATGTGACGTCACCTGTCAAGCTTGCCGGGAGTCTGTCGGGAGAAGTCGGGAGAATTCGCTTTCGCGGTCGGTTTCCAAACCGTCCTCCGCTCATATCACGCAAATAGTGCGAACTGACCTAGGGAAGAGGCTGGAGTAAGGCTATATTTATTTTTCGAGACGGGACGAAGGCCATTTTGCGTAAGGTGAACAAAGCCTAGACTCGCGCCAAAGGAGGGATCCCAAGGCAAAATGTAGTGAATGCCAGAATTCCAAGACGCGCAAATCCGAGTTATTAAAAGTACTAGTACAGTTTTAATCATTACTTTTCTTTCAAATCAAATTTTTTCCAAGAAATTAATAGAATATGTACATATTGTTAATAAAAAGATATGACCGAGTATTTCTAATATAACAGATAAAAGAATATGTTTTTGGACGCTTCAAAAATCTGTAGGTAAGAAAGCTGCGAATAGTATTAGATAAATAATTTTCTACCTCGAAAGAAGTTTTTTATGTACTTTTCAAATGAGTAAAAAGGTCTTTCATATAATAAAAAATGTGCGTAATTTATTTGTTAAGAAAAGAATAGCTCTAACATGGCTTGAGTAAAGTTTATGAAAGTTGACGTAAGCCAATCCGCGTCCTAGGAGGAAAAGAGTAAGAACCTTGAAAAGTTATTCTCTGTTCCCCGGTCTAAGGGTACGCTTGATCGGCTGAATAAGTAAATTAGGACGGAAAACACTTAAAAATGCAACTCTGAAGAGTTTGAGGAAACAGACAAGGCAACTACAAAAATGATATTATTTTAGTAAAAGTAAAAAGATAACAATGTTAATTAGTTTGACTGTTCTTTGAGTTGTAATTACGTCCGATGTTAAAGCTTCTAGCAAAGTAGTGTCTGAAACAGTTTTGCTTGTTGTTTTTCACGATGTTTTAAAGATGATTCAACATTATGACTCATAACACTGTATTTTTACAATCTTTGTAAGCAAATCTATAGGATCGGCTGGTATTTGGGGTTCAGGGTACCAGATTACGCCCGCTTTGGTACTACGCTCTCATTAAATAACCCTGGATTAACCAGAGGACGAAACAGGAATGGCTCACAATATTGACAGGACGTAGTTTACACGAGTTTCAAAGAAACCAGTGAGGCATTCGGTCGCAGTCTTTTCTAGTCTTCCAGAATATGGATGTTTTTTGGTGTTGTGGTGTGAATATAACCCTTTTCGGAAACTTTAGGGAGCATGGGTACAAGCTTTGCCCGCAGTGATTTCTGGGATGGTTTGGTTGGACAAGCGTTAGCTATGATTGGTCGATGGTATTCAAGGCAACCATTAACCAATCAAAAGTGCCGGTTGTCCACCCAAAAGATCCCAAAAATCGTTGCGGCGAAAGCTTGCACCCATTTGAAGTGGGGAAGTGTTTAGTTTCCTTTCAATCATTGGTGATTGAACCAGTCCACAATACCAACGGACCCAGAATCGAAGGTAGAGTTAAAAAAGCACGGTTGTTGTATATAAACTTCAAGCTTGATGCTTCCTTTTTATCTTCAGTTTATTTTTCACCATTTTTTTGTACAAAGATTTTCTTCATATAACCCAACCTTATTCTTAGAATACCATTAGATAAATAATTGTTTCAGGGTAGGCCATCACTTGGCAATATAAATATTCATACAGCGGCTTTAAATTCAATTGTGGCAAGAAAAATAAAGTATCAAAATATACGAAGAAAAAGTCAAGTCGTTACTGCAACATATATTTCCGGCGAATTTAATCGGTTCACCGGTGTTTAGTTGCTTTACCATCATGAGTGAGTGATCAGAGCACGAGACTTGCGATCTGTCAGTCCCCAGTGAGAGTCTCGCCCAGAAAGCTTTCTGAATTTGTTTCTCGGTTAGTCTCCTTCGCAGCCGCTCTGGCTGGAGTCACGCAATGCTCCCCTTCTTGGGGACGGGGAGCATTGCGTGACTCCAGCCCGAGCGCCTGCGAGAGAAACTACCGTATTTATTCGATAAAACGCCGCAGATGGAAACAAAACAACCAATAAACGCCCTTGAATAAACGCCGCATCGGAAACGCTAAAAATTTAATAAACGCCGCGGCGTTTAATCGAATAAATAGAGTACTTCTCGGTAAGCTCGAGTTCAAATGCTCGACCCTGCACAATTGTAAACAGCCAACTGGTTTGCCTTATGTCAGTTGGGTTTCATTACTTTCGTGAGGGCCACGGAAAAAACTGAACACAAAACCGCTTTACAGAAAGAGGTATAAATAACGTTACTTTAAATATAAGCAGTAACCTTCCCATTAAAGTTAAAGATGTCTTAACTGAATTTTAACTATCTAAGGGCCTGTTTGCATGGAGTGGGGGACCCCGGTCTAGTGGGGTTGGTTTCTTTTGTTTTCACGTTCTCTACTCCATGTAAACAGGGTCTAAAGCGCAAGATGCAAGTTTCTGGAATAGGACAATTGCACGATGACGATATTTGACTACAACTACCAGAATTCACTTTGGTTTTGCTTTGTTATTTAAATTTGTCAATCCCGCCGAGGATTAAAGAACAATAGCCTTAATTTGCACAAGAAAACAACTAACTCAAGGATTCTGGTAGTTGTAGTAAAATGACGTCATCGTGCAATTGCCCTGTTGCTTCTGTTGTTTTTGGATAACGATGATCAAGAGATCGATATGACCAAGAGGGATATTTTAGTGTCCTTATAATCTGTTAGGACAATACCAAGTCTATCAAATATCAAATCTCAAACTGCTAAAACGATAAACAGTCCTTTCAATAGTTTAGTTTTGTTTTGTTTTTGGTTTACTTTGGGTTGACTACTTTTCAACTATCTGACTATTTACATCATGAAAGGGTCCTTGATCTTATTACGTATGCATGCGGCAGCGACCGTTATTTCGCTGAAATTAATTTTATCTTATGTACAATCAAAAATAAAAGATCTAAAACTAAATTTTCAACCAACGAAACCTGTGCGAAACCAGGATTAATGATAACGCAACACACTGTAAAACTACTAACATCACTACGAACCGTTGAAATATATGTTTCTACACCTGCTGACCTTGCTCTGTTCATATTTGGAAATTCATTAAACTCATCTTTTGCTCAACACACTCAACATGCGGAAACTTGACTCCAGAACCTTCTCCGTTTTCAAAGTCGCGGTGTTGCAAACCGCTGACTTGAAAGACGCGCCTACCGTTGTTAAGAGACGTTTTTATTGGAGTCAACCTCGTTCCCAGGGTGGTCTCCTTCTCCCCGTATGGAAGAGTACGAGAGAAACCTGGGAACGACATTGCATTTGCGTCATCGTTGTCGGATGGCAAAGCGGTCAATGTAAAACGCAGACTGCGGACTACTGTTTTCACCATGCAAATCAGTATGAAACAACAATAGTCCCATTATATTCTAACCCTAAAAACAGTAGTCCACAGTCAGTCCGCAGTCCGCATTTTTTACACTGCCACGATGGCAAAGTCCCTATTTTGAACGCGGAGAAGGATTTGGTCACAGTGGCTCTATACATTCATAACACTAGAGGATGACAAAGAGCTGACGTTGAAGGCATATCACAGATAGGTTTTACTTGTTGCAACTGGAAGCATGTTTCCCGGATGCGGTTCACTTCAGAGAATGACGCAAACAGCGCTTTGTCCGTCAGTCCTGGGTCCTGCAGCTCTTCTTCGGTTAGCTGTTTCACGACAAAAACGAGCAAAAGTCAGCTGTCTTGTCAACTACTTTTTGAAACTATTCAACCTGGTCTCAGCTTAAGATAATCCACTTAGCTTTTCCTATTCATGAATGTAAAAGATTTATTCGTAGACGAAACGACCCGAGGAAACTACCACACACCGACTGAGCGTGTGTCCTTGACTCGAGAAAAATGGATCAGTAACTGAAGCATGAACATGAACACAATATTTCTCATAACCTTAGCACTTTAAAAAAAAAAACGTCGCTGTTTCATCCCAAGTTGCTGGGGGAAGGTTATTAATTCTCTGCCTTCCCCTGTCGTGCGCCGTGTCTGGCGCTCCTCGCTCGCTTCGCGCTTGCTTTCGCTCGCCTGAAAAACGCGAAAAAATAACGCCTGTTATGCAGGCTAGGCTTAACCTCCTCGGTAGTTTTGAGACCAAACATACCTTCTACGTAAACATCCCGAATGTATTGTCCTCCAGTCAGAGGAATGCTGATAAATAAAAGAAAAAGTAGCTTTACTTGCATTCTATTGCGCATGAAAAAAGACAATTAAAAAAAAGAACGACCTCGCCCCCAATATTAGTCGACACCAGGGGTTGAATTCAACCCCTTATGAGTTTCTGTCGACACTCATTTTCTCAGCACAGCACATAATACACATTCTTTGGCACTATTAAGGAAACTTTGTGTAAAAATTAGAACATTATAACTTAAGTGTTTATTCTCTTCATTCTCATAACTAGGTCATTTAACTTTGTGGTAGAATAAGGCAAGATACTGGTCAGGAGAAATAAGATGCTGATCAACTCACCTGTCAGGACAAGGATTAAGTTTGACTCGATAAATACCAAATACAGGCCTGTAAGAAAAAAAATCAAGACATAAACAACACAAACGCATGGACGTGTAGTAAGACTCACTGCAAAATTATTTAAAATGATACTCCTTCTTATTTCACAGTGTTGGTATTTTGTCTAATTACTCGTGCTAGTGGTAAAAACAAAACCCACGAAACATTTCACAGGTCATGGGTACAGATCAATGCTTTATCCAAAAGGTTCAAAAGTAGAAACATGCCTGACAAAAACTCAGATGTGTCCTGTAGCCTGCGTAGCAGGCGCAAAGTTTATTTTGGGTGAAGAAAGAAATTTTGAAGACGCGTGCGCACTAGAGGGGAGAGGACCCCATAAAAACTAACCACAAAAAACTAACCGACGCTTGCCTTGTCTGCGTCACAGACGCTCTATACGTGGGCCGGCTGCAACGCAGGCCAAATGCGTCAGGGTTGGCTGCAACGCAGGCTAACGCTTGCCACGCAAGCTAGTTTACCTATGATCTGACGTCTTCACAGATACACAGCTGCTGTACATTAATGGCTCGATACTTGATAGATCGTTACTCCGGTAAAGAATACGGTCCTGCAAAACAAACAAGCAAACAAAACCAATCGTTATTTTGAAATGTGCAAGTTCCACGTTATGATAACTTCATGGACGAAGTAATTTTTTCGAGAAGAGGGGAAAGGCCGAACGGAAAACATCTCCACTGCAAAAGGTGTTTCTCTTTTTCCAGTAAAGGTTGAATAAATTCTTTTTTAACTTGACCGTTACACGTTCTCTTATCTAGCTTGAGAAAACAGCCGACATCTCGCGACTCCACCAGTGGTTGTCCCGCGATGTCGGCTGTTTTCCCAGGCTATTTTTCATCTTTCTGAGTTTATTTGCGCTTGTTTTTTTTCCACGGGGGATTTATAGGCTTAACGACGGACAGATTCAGATGAATGCGATTCAAGAATCATTACAAAACAGTTTGCGTTTAGTTGAATCAGACAACCGGCTAATTTTTTGGCCAGAAAAACAAGCACAATGCGTGCGAGCCGGTCAGCTTCGATAGGTAACAACTTACCGTCCAGGAAGGTACTCTATTCTTTGATGATGAATCATATGTATCACTCTGTATATCATGCTTGTAACTTGGAAGGAATCTGATTGGTGGTTCACTGAATCCAACAAACACTTTACCTGTAAAAAAAATCACCCACCAGAAGAAAAGAAAATCTTGAGAGAATTTTAACAAGCCTAGCCTGGAATCAGGCTCCGCAGCAGCAAAAAGAAAAACGGCGAGCGGTGGCCTTTTTCCTCCCCTGACCGCCGTTCAGCTCGCTTCGAACGCCGTTTTTTTCGCCGTCACCGATTTTGTTCTCCTTTTTTCCCCAGTGCGGAGCCTGGTCCCAGGCTATAACAAGTCAATCAATACATTTTAGAATTTGCAAAACAAAAGAAATAACGAAATTACTTTTAAAATAAAAAAGTGAAAACCTTTGACTTACAGGGACAAAAAAAAAAAAGAAAAAAGAAAAAAAAATAACAGTCACCTTGTCCCATGAGGTCTAACAGTTGGTCTTTTTCCAATAAATCCTGCAAAAAATTCAGCAATGGAAAAGTTTAGTTGGTAACAATTTCGAGTTCACTTTAAGTTCTGAAGTTCAAAGCAGCAGGGCAAATAAAAGTTTTAAAATGTTTTAAAGGATTATACCAACCTCACACTCTGGAGTTTCCTGATCTTTATATTTCTCAAGCATCTCATCCACTTTTGATCTTTCTAAAGTCACCCGGAAGTTAAAATCCCCCAGCCAAAACACTCGATCAAAGTTTGCCGTAAGATCTGTCTGATCTGAAAGAAGAAAGAAAAATGTGACGGACAAATGTAAAACTAAGAGCTAGCCTGTAGAAAATGAATGGCTGTACTAACTTGTAAATAATTGTTGAAGAATCAATCAGAATTTTCCAGTGTTTGAAAGAGAATGCATGATCAATTGGTGTAGTACACATCAAGTTCAAATACTGGTCATGAAAAATCCAAGCTCTACTTAACCATTGCTTGCATTGGGTTTGTTATCCGGAGATAGTGAAAGAGACTTGCAGATTGTCTTGTAATCATTGACACGATCCAAAGATTTTCCCTCATCAGCTGCAGGGTAATTTAACAAACGATAAAAATATTATTATCAAATGATTCATTTCACATTCCACATACCAGACCTACAATTGCTCTTAATTATCAGACAGACCAAAAATGTATCATACACAATAACAAAGTTGGCCTGCAAGAAAACTTTCCATTCCAAGTGGAGAGCAAAGTGAGGCACAACAAAATAAGTGAGCCCAGGCAAAGCTGCAAGTGGCATACAGCTTGTGTGACATCACCGGGGAGGAATAAGGGCCAGTAAGCTTCATTAATTTTTCCCCTGTTGAAGATAGCAAAACATCACAGATGCCCTTTAGGATAAAGTGTCTCAACTAATTTTGTCACCAATTGTGACTGTTGCAATAATTTTCTCTGTTCAATGGAAAACTTACAAGTAAAATGTGAATCAATAAAGAGGAATGATGTTCCAAATATACTGAAGGAAACAGCCAATGCGCCCTGCAAGAAGCATTAAAACATGAACGGGAATGAGCAACCATAATAATTGCATTGCTTTTGACCACAACCACACTTCAAAAGCTAAAAAAATGCCTTTGTAAATTGTAGTGGTACAGCTGTACGTGACACAATTTCTGGTGACCCAGTAGTTTTCACAAATAAGGACAGAAATTAGTTTATTAATACTAAATGCAGCAGGTAAGAGTCCCAGCTGGCCAGAGGGGAGCCAGTTAGCTATAAAAACAAGCATAGCAGAGGTGTTAAACTTGGTGCTACCAAGACCAACCTTAGCTAGAGGCCAGATTGAGGATTTAAACCTGGGGAGACTGAGTTGAAATCAAGAGCACTTAACCATTCACTCCCACTGCCAAAACTAAAGACCTTTAAAAACCTTTAAACTTCACCTTCATTAAAAATTTGTTCATACACTTTCACCTACTGTTGGTTCTGGCCAAAAATATTTTAGTAGTTAAATGCTCTTTATTGTCTAATGACACCCTTGACCATCAGTTCACAAGAAGCTGCTTAGTGATAATTGAGTCTAAGTTAAATTTCAGTAGCAAGTTCTAATGTTTGAAACTTTTCCTCCAAAAGGTGATATTTTTTATCAAAACTCTTAGGGGAACACAGACCTACAAAATTCAAGTTTAAATGAGGAATGACATAAATTATGAAAGCTTTGAAGTGCATACTGCCTTAGACCATTTGCTTCCTACATCTGAAGAGATTTAGCTCTAGATAAAAAGAGACCTCCTTAACCTTGGTCTTAATCATGTGTCCAACTCTGGTTGATACACTGTCCTCAGTCACAGCTATTTGATGAAGAAAAAATACATCAATAATAAGTAATCACACATACACTATACATACAAGGTCAAAACAGTTACAGGGCAGAATGCTAAAGGTGCCTCGTGGCCAAGATGACCAACTTTTGCCTTTGGACAACAAGGACATCTTAGTTTTTGCACAAATCTAACACTGCTCTAGCAAGGAATATGGTTTTTCTCTAATAACAACCTTGCAGTTTGTTGTGTCTCCAATCTTAATGAGTTTTCTTCCTCGCTGTTCCCCTGGGTGTACCTCATTCAGGGGGAGTGGCAAGCTACAATCTTGAACAGAATAGAATGGAAAAGAAACCCCACCCCCAAAAAATGAAAGGTCAAATCTGCCATTTTCCCACCCTTGATTTTAATGGGAGGGAGGGGGGGGGGGGGAAATAATTTTGGAGTATTTTTATGGGCACTTGTTTTCCCAAAAAAAACACCTCCAAAAACAAAACCAAACAATTTCCCCCCTAAAAAACAACACCAAGTAAACAAACCAAAAAAAACACACGCGCATAAAAACAGAAATCGGTGTTTGTTGTGTCCCCTATCTTAAGCATGTGTTCCCCCAGCCTCTCCCCTGGGTGTCACTTATGGAGGGGGAGTGGCAACACCAAAAATTAAAAAAAAAAAAATGAAAAAAAACCCCCCCCCCCAAAAAAAGAAAGGGAAAACTCCCCATTTTCCCCCCCTTGATTTTAATGGGGGGGGGGGGGGGGGGGGGAATCAATTTTGAGTATATTTATAGGTACTTGTCTTCTCAAAAAGAACACCTACCAGAACAAAACCAAACAAGTTCCCTCCTGATAAACACAGCCAAGTGTAGCAATCCAAAAGAACATGAGTGCATCAATACATGAGATGGACCAAGGGTCTCCTGCAAGCGTATCTCCCACTCTTTCCTGGAATAATAATATTAATATAAATAACGATAAATACGGCCTCAATGGATAACGCCCTCCTTGATCTCCATAATGCTTCAGATGATACGAAAGCCGAATTCATTAGTTCTTAAATACTAGACCTGGCATGTTCCCTCAAATTCAAAAACAAACAACAAAACACTTATTCAAGATATGAGGAAATACCAGAAATTATTTGAAATCAATATTGCACCAATCAATAACATAAACAATTAATAATAATCTCTTAAATTATAAATTTTATTGTTTATGTTATTGATTGGTGCAAAATTGATTTCAAATAATTTCAAATTAGCTGCAAGGTAAAAGCCTCCAAGAGATCGTTATCACCAATTATTAATAATAACGATCTCTTGGAGGCCTTTTCCCTGCAGCTTCAATTGGTATGCTCTCTGTTTGGAAATTCAGGAAAAACACTACGGTCCATGGAATCAAAAATAGGAACTTAAGCAGTAAAAGCCTGCAAGCAAGCTCTCTGGGGCACTCTGGCAGTGGGGCGGGAAATGGAAGGAGAGCTTGCAGCTACGTCTCTGGAATTTGAATTCCACCTCTAATCTCCCTGTGGCTTCCCGTTGACTGAGCTGTCAGATTTCTGCCAATCAGTGCAAAGTGGAAACGAGTGCACAAGTGCCAAGGGTGATGACATCATTACTAATGTCATCTCCACCAATCAGCATTTCACATCGACTTTTTTGATGCAGATATATTCAAATTCCAGAGATGCTGTTGCAAGCTCTCCTTTCTTTTCCCGCCCTGCCTCCAGAGTGTTCCAGAGAGCTTTCTTGCCACCTAAGGCTGTAATAGACTTTAAAATGTTGTTGCAATGATCTTATCCAGGCCTGCAACATTTAACAGCAATAAAGTGTGGAAGGAAACCAAAATCTATTACCTCATTGATGTACTTTCCTGCAAACCAATAACATAAAGATCTTGTAGGAAGTCAGTGGAATCTGGTATCAGAAAATCATCCAAGTAAAACGGAACTTCCTGTAGAGAACACAAATAAAAGACTATGTTGTATCATTTTAAGTTAACACCTCATTTTACAGTTTTCGTTAAACCAAAGCTGACTACAAGTTTGTTTTGATAGAAAAATAATCATACCATTTTTTATTCTGACAATAAAAAAGCCAACATTATCACTTGTTGTCTTTAGTTGGTGACATATGGCAAAAGCATACCGGAGGACAAACATACACTTTCTATCTCAATTCTTTTAATCAAGCATATCTCTTATATTAAATTTTAATGTTGATTTTTCATCAATTACTTAATCTACATTACCTTTCAATTCTTAAACATGGCGATTTTATTTCCACACAAAGTGCGTGCTTTTAAATGCGTCATTATTTGAATATTTGAAATTTTATAGCCCTTTATGTAACATAATTCTAATAATTATTAATTATAATGATTACATTTAATAATAATTATTATTGTGCTAACATCGCACATCTTAGCAGGTGCCTGCAAATAGTTTCAAATTATTATAGCATAGTCAGACACACCCACAACCCACCTCTACACCACTGCTCCTAAACTTTTCCAACAACTACCAAACAGGTTGAAATATGCACACTTTTAACTTGTCATTATTCCTAGCTGACTAATGTTATCAACAGAATATTGACTGATAGCCTTCTCACTTGTCACAAGATTAACCCATTCGCCCCTGAACCGCCCGTAACCGCCCGTGCGGATCCAGGTCCATTCTACCCTTTGTGACGTCATCAGTTTTAACGGTCAAGGACAACTTTCTTCGCTAACTTGTGCAGAGTGAAGAGACCTTTCAAACCATACCAGAATGAGCACAATTCAGTCAAGGACACCGGAGAAAGAAGCAAAAAACCACGAGACATTGACCTGAAAATCTCCATGAAAATCTTGTTCTATTACCCACCTACCTTTCCTTTCACCTAATCCTAAGATCCTAAAAGCTTTCCTAAAAACTCTTCCCACCAAATTGAAGCCTACTAAATGCCCAGAAAGAGAAAAAAAAAATGAGGCAAGAAAAGCGAAAAAAGAAGGGAGCAGAGAAAGCGAAAAGTAAAAGTCAAGACTGCTGTGTCACTTTTAAACCCAAAAACTATCTCGAAATTTTGCTTTCTGCGCATGCCCGAACTTTGCAAGCTGATATTTTGCATCTGGATCAGAAGGCCGCGAAGTGTACGACCTGTAAACCAGTTTCTGGTAAGTTTTAGCCCTTTATAGCATGACAGTGACCAGAAAACCACTCGACTAGCTTCAAAACGCGTTTTTCGGCAAAATCTCCAGGAGCGAATGGGTTAATGTAAACTGACTTTAGAAAGAAAAATCATGTACCATGTTCAATTCATGGTCTTTCATATGAGATAGTCATGTCTATGACAAATTACTGGAACTTGTTTAAACATACAACTAACCTTTTCTTCATGCATATTCCAGGTAGCTACAAACACACCAATTTGATGGTCAGGCAGATAGCGCTCCATTTCCTCTTTTAAAAAGTTGCCACTTCTTGTCCGTGCTGTCCGTGCAGACACACGNAGTCAAGACTGCTGTGTCACTTTTAAACCCAAAAACTATCTCGAAATTTTGCTTTCTGCGCATGCCCGAACTTTGCAAGCTGATATTTTGCATCTGGATCAGAAGGCCGCGAAGTGTACGACCTGTAAACCAGTTTCTGGTAAGTTTTAGCCCTTTATAGCATGACAGTGACCAGAAAACCACTCGACTAGCTTCAAAACGCGTTTTTCGGCAAAATCTCCAGGAGCGAATGGGTTAATGTAAACTGACTTTAGAAAGAAAAATCATGTACCATGTTCAATTCATGGTCTTTCATATGAGATAGTCATGTCTATGACAAATTACTGGAACTTGTTTAAACATACAACTAACCTTTTCTTCATGCATATTCCAGGTAGCTACAAACACACCAATTTGATGGTCAGGCAGATAGCGCTCCATTTCCTCTTTTAAAAAGTTGCCACTTCTTGTCCGTGCTGTCCGTGCAGACACACGCGGCAACATGGACATGGTGGAGAGATTTGAGGCCTGTCCTGTTGATCGGAAAGACAGGTCTGTATCTGATCCATACTTCTCATCATTAGTAGCAACTCTCTCCAGTTCCTTACTGAGATTGCGTAAATCTGAGGTGGAGTTATTCCGCACATTATCAACCTTCTGTGGATGAATACTTTCATACAAACCAGTTGAGTTTGATGCAAGAGTTCTATCATTGAGCTGACCAGGAACAGTGGGAAGAGTTGAATTAGGATCTCTATGTTTCCCTAATTCTAATTTCCTGTTTCGTGGTATGTCGCTATCACTTACTAAATCTTCCTCACTGTCACTCACACTTGTCAAACTGTCATTAGAAGATGATAGTGTGACCTCATCTTCAGAAGGAGTTTTATTGTTTAAAGAAACTGTCTGCTCAGAATTCACTTTCACAGGTAACCTTTCTTGAACATTTCTTTCTCCTTTTGCAGTTTGGTCATGTGTTACTCTCATAGGATGGACCACATTTTTCAAAATTTTTCTGCCAGAATCGTCAGATATTGCTCTATTCTGGTAGGATTTAAAGTTACCAGTGATATCTTTATCGGAAACGATATCTCTTAGAGGTTCTACTCCCCTAAGATTTCGATTTCTTTGACGAGGACTACCCAAAGATTCGCTGGACCCCATACTATTCAAACTCCCTGTACTTCCTCGCCTCATGGGCAAAGGATCAAGTATCACATTATTAACTTGTTTATGAATTCTCCTTTCATCTTCTGACCCAGATGGAGAATTCCTTGGGGATTCGTGGCGGGATCTCTTGACTCCTTTTGAATTTAACCCCGCAACGCGATGGACATTAGAATCAGGAGCGTTTGCTCGCGGTGAAGATGGTGGATGAGGCGCAAATTTCACCCTTTGAGTATCTCCTTCCTTTGTTGTAAAAGGTTTATCGTCTTGGCTTTCAGCTGCCTTGTTTGGCGATAAACCAAATCTGTTTTCCGGTGACTGTAATTTGCTGTTCTGTAACATCATCGCCGGTCTATTAAAAGACTGCCTCATTGCAGGTGATGGAAGGTTGTGGCTGGAAAAAGAATAATTTCCACTATCAGCCATGATTGCCTCTTAGTTGATCCATCGCTTGGTTTTCTCCCATCGGATAAGCGAGCAAGAACGTTATGAAACAATTACATTTCTGTTTTTAACCGCCATATTGTTTCTCGCTATGGTGATCGTTTTCGGTGAACAAAATCATATTTTAGTGGGGGAGTGAAGGGGATTACATTCGCACAATTTTAAATGTCCTGATGAGATAATAAGAATAGTTTTTAAACTTAACGATTTCTTCGTTGATTTTGAAACATTTCCATAGCGTGGAAAAAGAAAACAAACATACAAACAATAGCAAAAACAAAAACAAAAATACTTAGAAATTGTAATTACCACCCCTCCCTCCTGTGAAGTGTACCTTGCCTCGCTATCAGCTCGAGGCAAATGACAAAAATGGCGGACAAAAGGTCCCTTAAAAAGTTTCTTACAGATCATCCTCACTTTGAACTTTTTAAAGACGAGCAGAACAGGGAAAAGGTACCTAAAGCATCGGCAAAAGTAGTACTTAGCAAAATACGAAAGTATCATAGCGTTTGAAATAATTTTACGATTTTCACGTGTGTGCTGTCCTTCACGCGTCGGAACGGACGCACGGAGCTGACTGACGGAGTCACACAGGTCCTTTATTATTAATTTATTCGAAGACCCAGGAGCAGTAAGTCGGGGCAGTAGAACTGAAAAAGAAAAGAAGAAGATTAGCACTTTCGTCGTGATAACATCTCATTGCCCCAGAGCAAAGTGAGAAAGGCACAGGACACCCAAGTGTGACACCCACTTACAACTTAGGGGCTGGTGTAAAAAGGATTCGTAGTACTCTGGTGCTCTATTATTGTTCTCTACTATTGTAAAAAGGTTATAGTGACCATAACGTTTAATTTTTTCAGCTAACTGTGATAAATCCACTCTCCTAATCCTTTGTAGGTGAAATGTAAGCTTACAGGACATGAATTGCCAGCTAGAATATCAGACCTTGAAAACTATACAAGAGGGAAAAAATATCAACGACTGGTCAAAGATGTTCCAAATACATCTCCTGGATTTGAAGAATATAAGGAATTTTTAGCACCAAGTAGGAAAAATAGGTACCGTATGTATCCTTTATTACCTTTGATCAAAATTACAGTTGAGCCTCCACTAAACTAGCCTGATTCTCAGAGGTTCAAGGTCGTTCACAGTCCCTTCGCTTTCCTCTCTCCAGGGAGGGAAGTGAGGGGACCACGAACGACCCCAGACGTCTGAGAATCAGGTTACCACTAAACAGCCACCTCTCTACAACGACCACTTTTTTTGGCAGAAAGTCCATACATTGACTCTTGTTTATACGTCTCTACAATGGCCACCTCTCTACAACGGTGACTTTCTTCTCTCCTAAAGGTGGCTGTTTTGGAGAGGTTCAACTGTACTTTAAATGAGCTCTAGGTTTGTGAGAAACTAAGTTAGGCAAGTTCATCATAATACTTTGAAGCAAAGAGGCTTTTCTTCCACCAGATTCATGGCTTTTTTTGTTTAAAACTGAACCAAATCATGACTTACTTAGTGTTTCTTGATTCTGAGGAAAAGAATGATAAAGTGGAATGCTTGTCAAAACTCAGTTCAATCGAAGGCTTTTGTTATTTGCAAAGGAAGTGAAGGGGCTGCAAACAACCTCAGACGTCTGAGAATCAGGCTTGTATTTAGAAGGATGTAATAATATTAAGATAAATTTAGTTAACTTACACTCACAATGTAGATTGAAAGGCTGCCAATTCAAGTGGTAAGTCTGTGCAAAATTTGGTTTCCATATTCCTCTGCCATCAGAAAAAACTGGTATGTTTCACAGATTAAAGGGGCTGTGTCTCTAACATTCAGTGTGAATTAAAATTGTGAGCAAAGTGTCAGAATCAACAGGAATCTACCAAGAATGGCATGGTCAAGTGCTAAAAGTTACCATGATAGTACATAGAAACTGTTAAAAACTCCTTTTGGCTAAGTATTAACAAGAAAGGAAGGGGACTACAATCAAAATTATGTCTGCCATAAGTTTTCAAGTTTGACAGTTTCATTTGGGAAAATTGCTGGGAAACCTATGGTGTGCTTGCTCCTTGGGAAATATATTTTCTCTGATTTTTCAAAAGCCACCTTTTTGATTTGTGAAACCGGGAGTTTAAGTTCATAATTTGAAGGTAGTTTACATGAAAACTTAAGAGATCTCTTTTGAAACCTCTGTTTTTAAGAGACACCAGTTGCATCACAAATGTACCAATGATGTGACATGTGATCCAGGTGTGGATCAAATGTGGGTGAGGTTCAGACACTTGTCCTGAGGTTGTTCATTTTTTTATTAATTTTTTTAGGAGTCAGCTTTATTGTGAACTTACCAAAAAGTTTATCAATAATACGCCTCATCATATTCAAACACATGTTACTGGAAAGCGTTTCTTGAGAGCATTGGAAAAGCGTGAGTATGAAGTCTTAAAGCATCTTCAATAGTGCAATTTTCTGATGTAAGAATGACAATGTAATTAGTAGACTAGATTTGTTAATGCCTCATTATTTGGCTGCCCGTGAGGGCAATGCCCAATCAAGAAATACCTTCAGTCTTTGTCAAAAAATGGGGTCAGAACCCCAGAAAGCTTTGCATGTCCCATTCCCACTTCAATGCGGCCAATTTTTGCAGGGATGGGACAGGTCATTTCAGGTTTTCAGACAAACAGACTTGGAAGTCCATTCGGAACAAACACAATATTACTGTACGGAGTGGCCCGATATCTATCTCTTCTTTGGCATTTAAATTACTTTTGGAAAGTATCTATTGTCTTGTATTTTCAGGTAAAATTGCTGTGCACATTCAGACATATTTTTTGTTGTTATTGTTCACATCATTGCCATTCTATGAATTTGTGGAGAAAATTGACTGGCAAATGGTTAAATACAAACCCTGATGATATATAAAATAGAATCGTTTAAAAGTCGAACAAGGTTCGCTTTTAGGGGATTTTTTTCTCCAAAATAATGATATCAATTTTGTAGATCGCGAGCAACAGAGGGCTAAAGATGATAAATCAGATGAAGAAATGTGGGTTCCATCTGACCTTGAATCTGATTCAGAAAATGAATTGAAAGAAGGAGCAAAAAGAAAAAAGACAGAAGATGAAGAAGATTCTGGAGGAGAATTCTCATCGGAAGGTTTAGTGTTGTTTTATTTTTTCCGTTGCGTGACAAGTTGCACGAGAACGTTTCCAAGTCTAAAGGGGTTGTTTACATGACACCTGGGCACTTTTCTAGCAGTGCAAGTCCACTCCGGCTCTCTCTCATGGCTCTGTATTCGTTTACCTGTTACCACCAGAAAATCTTATTTCGGCTGAGTCATACTGGCACGAGTTCACCCCGGTTACTGTGTCGGAGCCAGAATTTCATTCTGCCGCGAGATCTGGTAACTGTATAATATAAACGAAGAATGACCACGCGTTTCGGTATAAATTGGCTTATCAATGCACTGGTATGTGTAGCGCGCAAAAGTAGTTTTAGTGAATCAAAGACAGTGTCATTCTCGAACCCCAGAGCTCAAGCTTGTGACTCCTTCTCGTCCGTAGTCATGCGCAATACAAATTGACGTTTGCCGTTTGTCGTAAACGTGAATCTAAGAGTGCTTAACATTTGATGTGGCGACTGTTACGTGAAAATAGTTCTAATCAATCGTTTATTGTTCTCAACAGAGGAAGATGAGGTTTATGAAACAAAAAACCAGGATACTGTTAAAAGGACAATCAAGGTAAAAAGTAGGGGCAGCATTAACTCTTAAGTGCATTCTCGACTTTTTTGTCAGGTGGCATTTTAAGAGCCATGGCAAGTGAACCGCTTAGAAAAAAACTATCTTGAAAATACCCGACTAAGACACCAAATTCGCCTGCGATTAATACTCCTAGAGAAATCTCCAGTGCTCTGACATTGTATGTTCGTGACTACAGTCAGGAATCTATAAAAAATAATTACTGAAATCTCACTTAACGCTTTCCCTGCTTTTCAGTTTTTGTTGAAGTCTACTCCAGCACCGGTGACTCTAGCAAGTATATTATTTGCACACCCGAAAGTTCGGGCATTTTCCCTTAATTTGTATAATGGTACAATTTCGCGCTGTTTTCATTTTGGCTCTTGGCAGGAACCAAAGAAGGATAAATCGACAAAGAAACTGAAAACAAGCTGCGAAAAAGAAGACAAAACGGCCAGTAAAGTATCCAAGAATAAATCGAAAACGAAGAAATCCAAGAAGACATAGCCAAACCGGAGATGCCTGGCTGTTATGGGCTACCTTCATACGAGGAAGATTATAGAATAACTATTAAGACTAACGGTGACCTGTTAGCTGTGGTCAAGAAGAAAACGAATTACCGAATAATGAGAATCAAGGAGAAAGATAGATTATGGAGAAAAGGAGTGTTTTTTTTTCAGTGCTGTGCTTGTACTTTCAAAAATATGAACAGTATCACAGTGACATCTGTAAACGTTCCAACCGTTTGTCAGTCTCTTGTCCTTTTCTCCAGGAACGTTGCAATCTACATAAACTTTTGCAGGCTCCTAGATAGTAAGGACAGCCGAAAATAAAGGCACGCGAAACGGAGAAGATGGGCGTGCTAGTTTTCTCGATCCGCTACTTTTTCAACTATCTTGAAGCATGGAGGCTGCAGTCATCATCTTGTGCAAATTCGACTCCTCGCATATTAATAACTATGAGAGGAGCGGACTCGTTCCCAGTCGTCTTCGCGTAACGCGCGTGGCGGGAGCAGGGGATGATGGGAAGGAAAAAGGGAGGAAGAGTCTCTCCCTCGCTTTCCTCCTTCCCATCACACCCCGCGCGCCGCTAGAGAGAGATAGTGAGAGACGACTGGGGACAAGTCAGTTGAGAGGAGAGTGAATTATACCTAATTCAATGAAGGTTGCTTTGGCAAGTGGTCATTGGTAATTTGGCATTGGGCGTTTGCGCATACAGAACAATACAATGATTTGCTTGAATGACCATAAAACAATAAATCCCGGTGCCCAATTACCAATGCCCAAAGCAACCTTTATTGAATCAGCTATACACGTGACCTAATGTCTGCTTCCTCCACACGTTTTGCCAAGACTGTCCGGGGAGCAAGGACAAGTGGGTTGCTGGAGATGAGCGAAAATCGGGAGTGTGGGATGTTAGGAGATAATAGAGAGAGAAAGTTTCACGTTTACGCCAAACGGCAGACGTGAATTTGTACCACGTGACCAAGTTTTTCCCTTATTTTCCGTTTACTCCTTATCGCTTCTACACAAAAATAAGTAGTTTTATGCGAGTTTTAACCCTAGGAATCGTTCGGAACTGTTTTTATTGCTTATTTTCTATTCTGAGAGATTTTCAACTCGAGTCTGACGTTTGCCTTTTGCGGTAAACGCCGTCCAATGACGCGACGTGGGAAACGAGAACGTAGCTTTAAGAGTGAATTTGCGTTCTATCAGTCTATATCGCAATTATTCCTGCCCACTTTCTGCGTCAAATTTAGGCAAACCCTCCAGAAGTTGAATTCCAAGGGACTATAACCCGGTTCAGAAAGAGAAATATAATTTCCTTGCTGCTTGTTTATGTTCGCCGTAAAACGCGAAACTAGGTATTTTTACGTCGCAGTCGTGCAAAAATAGCAAAGTTGTTGTAAGCGAACACTGTTTTTTTTATGCGACGCCCATACTATCTGAAAGCCTGGCGAAGCTGCTATATCATTTCATTCGCCGGGTTATTGCGCGGTTTCAAAGTTCCTGGCTTCGGATCGAGTCTGGCCTGCGTAACAGTAGCGTGCGTTGCAGCCGGCCCACGTATTGTCTAAACCATTTGTATATAAACAGAAGGTTTAGAGCGTCTGCAACGCAGATTAGCGTAACAGGCGTATTCACCATTTTCAACGAGGCCATAATGCACCTTGTTTACCCGCCAAAATTATGCACAACTATTATCTTCGATTTCGTTTGGGACGATTGAAATAAATTGGTAAGAATGTAAATTTTGGGGGTATACAAGGCGCATTGTGATCTTCGTGAAAATGGTCAATGAGATATTTCGGGCCAAAGTGCTGACAATCGCCGCGAGGGAGGAACACGCGCGCTTTCCTCCTGCGTGTCATCCTCTATTCTCTCGCCCCATTTATGAGAAAGAGAAACAACCTTATTCCCAGGGTCTTTCTCATGTTGCTCCCTCGTCTTTGATCCCCAATTGACTGGGTACCCTGGCGGGAATTAGGTTTACTTTTGGAACACGAAGGACAAAGCAAAGAACCTTTCACGACCTTGTTTTGGAAAGACATTCTGTCTTAAATTTTACTTTCCCTTTGTTTTGTACGGTACACAAACGGTTTATGCCAGTCCCGTCTTGGAATACCTTTTTCTAACTAAAATTATGCTACATGGTGGATTGCTGTGGTTGCAGTTGAAAGAACCGACCTCAGTAAAAGGGCCTTTTTTGACGTTAAATGCTAAAAACAATACGGTTATACAATATTTTACGAGAGTTTTTCCGTGTTTGACTATTTCACTGTACTTGAGGAGGTCATTTAGAGTAATTTCTCACGGCCATTACAACTTGCTCTTGTTCTTATCTACACTAAATACCTTCCGCGTTTTAATAAAATGACAAAAATTCTTAATGAAACTTTTCCTTTGCGTATATACATCACCATCTTTCATGTTCGAATATGAAGTAAAACAGATGGTGTTTGTAAGAAGTTAATAGTAAAAATAATACCGTGTAAAATGTATAATATAAAAATGAACGAAGAATATTTAAAGCTGTCCATTCAAGTAACGAACTAACGTATGTAACTTCAAATGATTGCGTCATTCATCAGTCTTAACTAGATCCAGTTTCCGCACGAGTAGTCTCACAGCTTCCAAAGGATCTAGGACTAGGTCTAGTCGATTCTGCCATTTGACCTTATGGGATTTCTTCCCTTTGAACGGAGTGTGTTTACAAGGAGTTGGTGGGGGTAACTGGTTCATGGTCTTGTCTACTTTGGATTTCATCACGTTCCGCTTTGTTTCAAGTTTGTGGTTTCGTTCAGTTATGCTGTGGACACCTTTGATATCTTCAGTTATTTTCTGCATGTTGCGAATGTCCTGGACAATGGACGAGTCGCTGCAAAGCACGACGAGAAGGCAGCAGGTTTTAGAGAAAATAAAACTCTTGTCCCTGAGATTCACCAGCAAATGAACCAAAGTGTCAATAGAATGTTGTTCCTCATAAACTGCACGGTACAGGGATGAATACTAAGGAAATGATAAACAAATATATTAATTCATAAAAAAATAATTAAGGTGAGTCAATTTCCACCCCGAACTAACGACCTTACTTATCAAGATCCAACCTTTTGCCCTTTTAACTTTCTATTGACAATACAATTCTGGCGCATTGTGGCACTCCTTTTTTGTTTGCCTTGACCAATCTCGGCACCCGGGAAGAAATTAAAGCGGTAGTCATGGTCTCTCTCGAATCATTGGTGTGATCCCCACCATTTAAAACATAAGTAGGTGGAAAAATTTTTTCTTTACCATTTCAACTATGTCAACGAGTGGGAAAAGAGCTAATCCACGTCAAAGTAAAATATCCGCGACAAGCAAGAACCTCTATAACAAATGGGCGCTGGTTTGAAGACATTTTTTTATTCCAGTATTGTGCAGTGTGAAGAGAGGAAATAACTCAACATGACAAAGACAACTTTTCCTACCTTTACAACATTGTAGAGTATTAACACCGAATACTTGATGACTTCCAAGTGTGGCAGACTACGATTACATTTCTTGAGAACTTTAAAAATAACAGGGAGCGCTCCATCATCAACAACCTGTTGACAGCAAACCTCAGATAGACGAGTAACGACCTCTGAGGGCGAAAAAATAAAGTTCACTTTAGCGATGCATTCATTGAACAGAACAATTCAACTTGAGACCTTACAGTTCTCTTAGAAACGACAGAATAATTAAACGAGCATTATTCGTATTCCTTATTTTTGTAGTTTCACATGAAGAGAAGTTCCCCAGTTTCTCTCACTGTGAAACAACATTTACCAGTGGTGTAACTTTTTCTTTAATGAAGACTGCTCATCTAGTTTTTGTTCGTTTCCCGATGTAGCATCAAATTCGGATTAAAAGGACTATTATTATTAGAAGTAATGCACCTATCAATTGAAACCCCGGGGGGGGGGGGGGGAGTGCGGGCAAGGGGTGGGGATTTGACAAATTTTAAAATTTTTCGATCAAATTCCCCAGGGTGGGAGACGAAAGGTCAATCAAAGTGTCAAAAAAGCCCCCACCCCAAGGGAAAAATCTGAACAAACAATGCTATAATACTATATAAAACGAATAAAAGAACATTTCAAACACGTTGTCACTACTTTTATTTACGGTTAACGGAAGCTCCATTAAATTACTCGCTGTAATTAAGTATTTTCTCTCTCCACTAGCATATCTTATCTTGAACAACAAAATCACTCCAGGAAGATTGACCATGCTATATAATATTAATAAAACGTAAAATGCTTTATAACATCTGCTCAACATGTCGGAACAGGTCGGATCAGTGACCCATAAAAAATCCTCTGACTTTCATGGGGGAATTCGATTTCAATCGAGTTTTACAATCAGATGGGAACTTGAAGATAAAATAGACATTATCTGTTTAGATGACAGTTTAAAGTATCGGATTATAGCGATTAAAGCAAATGAAAACTTCATACCTTTCTCCAACAACGTGACTTTCAGGAAGCCTCGAGGGACGGACTTGGTAACTGCTTCTGAATTGATACCAGGCTTCTGTCGGTCAAAGTCAAATGTCCCGACCCCGGGGTCGCTTCACACGATCAAAAGCCCGACAGCGGGGATAGTCCCAGGCATCAAATCCCCTCCCCTTGCCCGCACTCCCCCCCCCTCCCCCCACGGGATTTACATTGATAGGTGTATAATAAAATTAATAACATTCACTTCACATTACTTGCTACCGTCCAGTTTTCGACTCCCTTCACGACACGCGAGCGCTTGCCGTTTTTCTGTGGTATCCAAATGCGGGCTATATGTTTCCAGGAATACTAGTCTTACCGCAATCCTACATTTGGACTTAGTTTGAGTGTAGAGGATCAAAGCGCTATATTAGAGTTCACTCACCGAGATTAACAAGCGACCCCACAATCCTGCTGATATTCTTACATTGAAGCAGAAAGTCCAGGGCAGATCTTGTGCGGTTACAAAGCTTCATTGACTCCGTTGCTGCAGCATTGGCAGACTTGATGCGCTTGCGCGCTCTTTTTACCTTGAGAGAGGACACTCCCACTCTGACTCGGTAACCACGCCAGAGGGCCTAGAGATCCGAAAAGACATTTTTACTGCGCTTTTCAAAACCACGCGAATCTGGAAGTACAAAAGCCAACTGACTTTTGCGTTCTTCACTGCCGTCAATCATCCTAGCGGACCTCTTAGGAAACAAAATTTACTTCAACGGGTTCAAAAAGTCATGGTTTGTGATTTGTGGATTTAAATCCGTTTTGTGTGTTTTTGTGTTTCAAGGTTCATTGCTTGAGATCGTCACTATGATTGACGGTAGCAAAAAACGCAATTGTGAAGGCGGCTTTTGAACTTCAGAACGTGTTTTTGAAAAGTGCAGTAAGACTTTGTCATTTTTATCTGCGTCACTTGTGTGTGCAACCTTAATATGATTTACAAAATGAGAAACATAAAAGACGAGGAAGATAGACAACAATTTCAGTTAAGTTAATGACTCCCTTTATTTTCGTGCTTATCGACTCTGCACTCGACCGAAGGAACGGGCGATTTTTTTTATACTTTTTATTTTACCTGCCAAGGGAATACGTAACAGTTTCCACTGAATTATCGCGAATCAAGCTTTTCAGTGCATACTCAATCATTCTATCTGTCGGTCAATTTCGTTTTTTTCGGTCGTTGGCTTCTTTGGATCTGCAAAATAATGTATTGCACATTTCCAGAGAATTCAAATCTTCTTAGCCGGTCTATTGTTATTGCGCGATGTTAAATCACTAACACATCTCAAAAATACGATCACATGATCATAAGAAGGAAAGTTTCGGGACTTATAACCAAACCCTGTTTCCCACTGACCTGAATTTGTAGCGCAGACTGATGGATTTTTTTCAAGTGTTTCCTGGTTATAGCACCTCGGACTAGGGCCTGGATCTTAGCAGCATTTCTATTTTTAATCTCCAGTATCCTTCGAGTTGCTCTTTGGAGGAAGACAGCAGTTGCGCGGAGCTTAACAAATCGCTTTCGTTCCATAACACCCTGCCACCAATACTGTTTGGATAGAACACGATCAACGTTTAAAATTTGTAGAGAGAATGTCGACCCATAATAGTTATACAGTACTAAGAAAGCAAGTTGGCTCAGTGGTCGACGCAGTCAGCGCCTTTAAACAACGCTGAGAGCTCAAATTCAAGGTCGGATGACGTCACAATCTCAGAACAGAAAGTCACCGAGGCTACCGTATACCATTTACACAGGAAACGGGAAATTCTGATTGGAAAGTAGAAGAGTTCATTCACTTCAGTTTTGGGAAGCTTGCAAAATATGCAAAGGCTATCGTTTAGGTGATGTATTTTTTCCACTCCGTCGATTCACCTGATTTGACTTCGCTTTGTAGCAGATCTTTCTCCTTGAAATCAAGTTGGGTCGCTGAGTGTTTATGCAGGAGAGTTTTTCAACTGAATAAGCAGTGAAATATCTATCCAGAGTTTTTCCTTTATAACCCTAACAAACTTTTGTTGTGGAAAGATACATCTGAAAAGTTCTAATTCAATTGTTGGAAAGACAATGGAAAAAACTTGGCCCAAAGAAGAAAAGATTTATTGGACCATACCATTACGAAAGAACCCAATTTTACCAACCCAGCAAATGAGAAGATACTCTCAGTTTATAAACTCATCATGCTAAGAAAATTTTGTGTAATCCACTAATTAAATAGCAAAAACAAACATACAATGTGACACGTATATCATGTATATACCTGTATAAGAAGCACAGAATCCATCCGGGCCTTTGCCAAAGCCATAGCACGTGATCTGCGGTAACACCGCTGGATTTTCATGGCACTCATATGATGGTACACGGCTGAAGCAAACTGTTTCAAATGAATATTGATACCAGGCTTCTGTCGGTCAAAGTCAAATGTCCCGACCCCGGGGTCGCTTCACACGATCAAAAGCCCGACAGCGGGGATAGTCCCAGGCATCAAATCCCCTCCCCTTGCCCGCACTCCCCCCCCCTCCCCCCACGGGATTTACATTGATAGGTGTATAATAAAATTAATAACATTCACTTCACATTACTTGCTACCGTCCAGTTTTCGACTCCCTTCACGACACGCGAGCGCTTGCCGTTTTTCTGTGGTATCCAAATGCGGGCTATATGTTTCCAGGAATACTAGTCTTACCGCAATCCTACATTTGGACTTAGTTTGAGTGTAGAGGATCAAAGCGCTATATTAGAGTTCACTCACCGAGATTAACAAGCGACCCCACAATCCTGCTGATATTCTTACATTGAAGCAGAAAGTCCAGGGCAGATCTTGTGCGGTTACAAAGCTTCATTGACTCCGTTGCTGCAGCATTGGCAGACTTGATGCGCTTGCGCGCTCTTTTTACCTTGAGAGAGGACACTCCCACTCTGACTCGGTAACCACGCCAGAGGGCCTAGAGATCCGAAAAGACATTTTTACTGCGCTTTTCAAAACCACGCGAATCTGGAAGTACAAAAGCCAACTGACTTTTGCGTTCTTCACTGCCGTCAATCATCCTAGCGGACCTCTTAGGAAACAAAATTTACTTCAACGGGTTCAAAAAGTCATGGTTTGTGATTTGTGGATTTAAATCCGTTTTGTGTGTTTTTGTGTTTCAAGGTTCATTGCTTGAGATCGTCACTATGATTGACGGTAGCAAAAAACGCAATTGTGAAGGCGGCTTTTGAACTTCAGAACGTGTTTTTGAAAAGTGCAGTAAGACTTTGTCATTTTTATCTGCGTCACTTGTGTGTGCAACCTTAATATGATTTACAAAATGAGAAACATAAAAGACGAGGAAGATAGACAACAATTTCAGTTAAGTTAATGACTCCCTTTATTTTCGTGCTTATCGACTCTGCACTCGACCGAAGGAACGGGCGATTTTTTTTATACTTTTTATTTTACCTGCCAAGGGAATACGTAACAGTTTCCACTGAATTATCGCGAATCAAGCTTTTCAGTGCATACTCAATCATTCTATCTGTCGGTCAATTTCGTTTTTTTCGGTCGTTGGCTTCTTTGGATCTGCAAAATAATGTATTGCACATTTCCAGAGAATTCAAATCTTCTTAGCCGGTCTATTGTTATTGCGCGATGTTAAATCACTAACACATCTCAAAAATACGATCACATGATCATAAGAAGGAAAGTTTCGGGACTTATAACCAAACCCTGTTTCCCACTGACCTGAATTTGTAGCGCAGACTGATGGATTTTTTTCAAGTGTTTCCTGGTTATAGCACCTCGGACTAGGGCCTGGATCTTAGCAGCATTTCTATTTTTAATCTCCAGTATCCTTCGAGTTGCTCTTTGGAGGAAGACAGCAGTTGCGCGGAGCTTAACAAATCGCTTTCGTTCCATAACACCCTGCCACCAATACTGTTTGGATAGAACACGATCAACGTTTAAAATTTGTAGAGAGAATGTCGACCCATAATAGTTATACAGTACTAAGAAAGCAAGTTGGCTCAGTGGTCGACGCAGTCAGCGCCTTTAAACAACGCTGAGAGCTCAAATTCAAGGTCGGATGACGTCACAATCTCAGAACAGAAAGTCACCGAGGCTACCGTATACCATTTACACAGGAAACGGGAAATTCTGATTGGAAAGTAGAAGAGTTCATTCACTTCAGTTTTGGGAAGCTTGCAAAATATGCAAAGGCTATCGTTTAGGTGATGTATTTTTTCCACTCCGTCGATTCACCTGATTTGACTTCGCTTTGTAGCAGATCTTTCTCCTTGAAATCAAGTTGGGTCGCTGAGTGTTTATGCAGGAGAGTTTTTCAACTGAATAAGCAGTGAAATATCTATCCAGAGTTTTTCCTTTATAACCCTAACAAACTTTTGTTGTGGAAAGATACATCTGAAAAGTTCTAATTCAATTGTTGGAAAGACAATGGAAAAAACTTGGCCCAAAGAAGAAAAGATTTATTGGACCATACCATTACGAAAGAACCCAATTTTACCAACCCAGCAAATGAGAAGATACTCTCAGTTTATAAACTCATCATGCTAAGAAAATTTTGTGTAATCCACTAATTAAATAGCAAAAACAAACATACAATGTGACACGTATATCATGTATATACCTGTATAAGAAGCACAGAATCCATCCGGGCCTTTGCCAAAGCCATAGCACGTGATCTGCGGTAACACCGCTGGATTTTCATGGCACTCATATGATGGTACACGGCTGAAGCAAACTGTTTCAAATGAATCAGACGCTCTGCTTTTTGTTGCTAGGACGGAAAAAATCATTGGTTTTTTTTTTAGATATTAGTGCAAATACATGGCTCAGAAACAGCACCTGTATTATTTCTACGACCAGTTCAGTATAGAAAAGTGCTTTTCAATAAAATTCCAACAAAACACGACGTACAGTGACCCGACTTTTTGGCTGAAAAACAGATCCGTGTTTTCAATTTCTCTGTTTTTTTTGTTTTTATGTTTTTTTTTAGATATTAGTGCAAATACATGGCTCAGAAACAGCACCTGTATTATTTTTACGACCAGTTCAGTATAGAAAAGTGCTTTTCAATAAAATTCCAACAAAACACGACGTACAGTGACCCGACTTTTTGGCTGAAAAACAGATCCGTGTTTTCAATTTCTCTGTTTTTTTTGTTTTTATGTTTTTTTAATGCAGATTTTCTCGCACTTATCTGTGGCAACCACGAGAAGGACCGATGTCATCTTATGTTTGATGCATGTTTCCATGAAAGGCAAACTTTTATTTTCTGACGTATAAATCCTTGTGAAAGATCAAATATTAAAAGGCGCTAAGCAACTGCTGCGCGACATCTAGGGTTAAGAAAGCCCAGAAAAAGCAGTTTATTTTAATTTGTTTATGAAAGATTCCAAGCCGCCGAATTCAACTGAAGCACTTAATACAAGTCAGTGAGATATAATCACATCCCCACACTACGCAGATTTAATTCTTACTTCAATCCTTCTTCTGATGAGGAATCCTCTGACCACAGCCTGGATAGTGCGAGCTGCACGTAGCTGACGAGTGAACATCCGCCCACAGTATCCGCGGTAAGCGGCTTGCAAAACAAGGGAAGCCTCTTTGAACGCTTTGTATTCTTCCCTAGCCTTTCTTGCTGCAGTAGTGGCGCGGAACCAGCACTGGATCAGAATCACCGCTTTAAGCTTAACGACGTAACGGCGAACCTGCCATCCGCGATAAAAGGATTGAAGTGCAACGGCTGCGCGCTTTGTTTCCAGATATTCTTGCCTGGCATTTGTAGAAGCGTTGTTTCCGCGAACTCTTCTTTGAAGAAGAACCGTAGCGTCTTTGAGTTGACGATAATTTTTCTGACAAAGCCACGCTCTTGTTGTAGCCTGCAAGCCGATGACGAGCTCTCTTGTGTGGTGATATTTTCGTCTCTCCATCCATCCTCGAATGTTGGATTGGATGAGTACGGCGGATTTTAGTCTGGTTAATTCACGTCTTGTTTTCCAACCTCGGAAAAAGCTCTGTAAAGTACAAGAGAAAAAAAAGAAAAGAAAAAACTTCAGATGAACCAAAGCACCGTTCACCTGACGCCGATTGGGGGAGGGGGGCGGGGGTAAGAGACCCAATCCGCTCCAGGGTAAGGCACATTGGATTAAATCGATAACTGAGATGATGATGACACGTGCGAAGATAATTGTATAATGCGATCATATGAAAACGACAAGAAGAATGACTAATGACATATAACGAAGTCGTTTTTTCCCTAGCAAAAATGGACCGGCCTGAAACAAGCTAAGATTGGATATCAGTATTGAAGTTATCCAACGTTTTTGATCTTAACACGTTTGAAAGTTAGAATAACTCAAAAGCTGATGACAACCTACGTCCTTTTCTCCTCAAAACCAATTAAGTTTAAGGGCACTTTACAAAAAGTCAGGAATCGCCAGCTGGACCTTTCTAGTCATTTTGGAAATGAAATAAGGCTTTTACAAGAATTTTCTTTAAAAATTAACAATTGCAATGGGTTCCGAGTCAATAGCCCATGAGGCCGAAGGCCGAATGGGGTATTGACTCAGAGGCAATGAGGGCGAGAGGAATAATTGTTTTAGTAAAATCCAACTAGTTGGTCAAAAATATCAAGAATGAAAAACTTTTAGCTTCAAGTTATAGCTAGACTTTAATCCTTTTTGCCGCCAAAAAGCCCGCCCTTTTCGCTACTAGTGGGCTATAACATACAGCCTAGTAGTAGCTCAGCCAATCAGAACGCAGCATTGATAAAAGACCACTAGTTAGACATTTTCTGATTAATGTGATATTATTCTCTTTGCGACTGAACTGGTCTGGCCAGTCAGTTATGATTCATGGTAAACGCCCTTAGATTATGTCCACGCGAATCATTAAGGCCTGTAACACCCACAAATTTGGGCTTTGAAGTCTTTCCTCAGGGGAACGATGGTAACCCTTTTAGGAACGTTTACACTCTGGAGACTGTTAACGAAAATATCTGCTTACGAGACCTCAACGCATAATTTTGTACGCATTACTACAATTAAACAGACTCGAAACGACATATCCCGAGAAAGACATGGCATTTTAGTAATACCTGCATCGTGATAATTGCAGAAAGCATCATCAGGTATCTATGGCGAATCTCCTTCCCAAAGATCCACAAGCGATAGTGACGTTGAATTACGATGGCCGCCGAACGCTTTTGAAGAAATCGATTCCTTTCGAGACGCATCCGCAAAAGAGATTGTGTAAGGACTACCATTTGCTTTTCATAAAGATAAGCCTGTCGCTGACTGTGACGTCTGAAATAAGACTGGATCAAGACTGTAGCATCCCTGAGATCCTGATACTCTTTATAGGTTTTCTTCATGGCTATTCGAGCTCTGTACCACTGCTGAATTGCAACAACCGCTTTTCGCGTTCTCTCAAGTCTTGTTCTGGCTTGATTGCGGCGTACTGTGGCTTGAACTTTGCAAATCCTTTTTCTTACCGTCAGGAACTCCTGCCGCTGAATTTTCCCACGGCATACAGCCTGCATCGTGATAACAGCTCGAAGCTTGCGGACAAATTTTCGTGCTGAATACATGCGGCATGCCCCCTGCAAGGTAATAATTGCGCCGCGAGTCACGTGATAGGCAAAGTAGGTTTCCTTCATAAGGCGATATCCTCGATAATACCGCTGAATCTTGAATGCTGCTTGTTGACGTCTCTGCTTCTCGGCTACCATCTTTTGAACGCATTTTCTTGCTTTGAAGCCACGGAACTGTGACTGTATTATAACAGCGCTTTTACGCATGGATTGGTAGCGCTCAAGCTGTTGTTTGCAAAGTTGATTGGCTCTGCATCTCTTCTGCAACGTCAAGGTGGCATTCCTGAGTTTTCCGTAAAACACTGCTTCCTTCCTCATGCGTACCACTGACTGTATTTTAATCACTGCGTTTCTGAGTTTTTCATAGTTTCTACGTGCCGAGACCATTCTCCAGTGAGACTGCAAAATGACAGTAGCATTCTTTAACTCTAAGAAGTCTTTTCTGTGTTCACGAGCCTTGATGCCAGCCCGATGGCGCGTCTGAATAGTGATGGCCGCTATCCTGATCGAGTTATAATGTCGTCTACAAAGCCAACCCTTAACTCTGGCCTGGAGCGCTATAAAAGCTTTCCGCTGTGCAATATAATGCTGACGCACATCCTTCATCTTTTTGACTGCTCGGTACCGTTGCTGAATAACTGTTGAGGCGCAGCGCAGATTTAGATAGAATCGTCGAGTAACATAACACCTAAAAGCTGCCTGGATGACGACCGCAGCGGATTTCTGGGACAGAAATTTAAAGCGACAAGTATGACGACGGAAAGCGCATTGGATCTTGGTAGCTGCTTGATTACGTTTCATTTCCATGCGTTTCTTGTACCTTCGATAACTTGCTTGGATTACAAGCGCACCAGACTTCCATGCATTGTAGTTACGGGCCACCGCTCGCCCAAGCAACCAGGCACGGCATCTTAGTTGTAAAACGAGTGTAGCTTTCTTGGTAGCTTGATATTTCTTCCTCGCCAGGAGCCTACGAGTGTAAGCTTGAATCTTAACAGCGGCCTCATTCATTCTACGCAGTCTCTTTCGCACCAAGTGCCCCCTGAAAACCATTTGAATTGTAATAACCGCACCCCGGATGAAGTGATACACCAACTGGTCATGCTTGCAAAGGACTGTCGCTCTGAACCTCCGCTGGACAACAAGCGCCGCCTTCTTGAGACTGTTGAATTGTCGTCGCTGTTGGATCATGCGTGTTTGAGCCTGTATTTGCACCACAGCTCTTCTGAGTGCCACGTACTCCTTCCTGACTTTGTACATCCTGAACGTAGCCTGAATAGCGTGCACCGCTCGTAGTTCGGTTACCCGTTTTCGGTCAATCCAACCACGCACACAGGCCTGGATACAAATGGCAGCGGTTTTCACAGCTAGAAAGCGGGTATGCTGATTTCTGCACGCAGTCATAGCCCTGTACCTCTGTTGAAAGATTATTGCAGCGTTTCTCATCTCTTGGTACCGTTTACGATACACGTAACCACGCACCGCTGCTTGTAAGAGAATGCATGCACCACGTTGCACGTGATAGTGTAAGTACTGCTGCATGCCAATCACGCGGGCACGGTACCGTCTCTGGAGAAGGATAGTGGCATTCCTGAGACTGGAGTAATGTTTCCGCGCCAAATAACCACGTACAACTCCCTGAGCTATAATGATGGAATTGCGAGAAATGTTGTAGGATTTTCGAGCGACATAACCTCGATAAAATGCCTGTATTTTCCTCGCACTTGTGAGAAGTAGAACTTGCTTCCTTACTTGGCAGCCACGAAATGATGACTGGATTTTTATCGCCGCAAGCCTAATTCGCTGGAAGTCACAGCGGGTTTTACGTCCCAAAGAAACCAAACGATACTGATTCTGCAAAACAATAGTAGCCTTTCTTATTGCCAGGTACTTCTTACGGTACACATGACATCTATAGAATCCCTGGATCGCTAATGCAGCCATATTCTGCTGTTTGATATCCTTTCTTACTCCCCAACCACGAACTGCAGACTGCAACACAACTGTAGCTTTTAGCATCTTATAGAACTTTCTTGCGAGATGCCCTCTGTAGCGTGCTTGAATAAACTGGGCGGATGTTCGCATCTGCTGGTAACGCCAAACGTGTTTACGCGTCAGCAAGACGGAGCGGAAACGCCGCTGCATCGCCACGGTTGAGCTCTTCAGCTGACGATATCTTTTTCCGGCGGAGTACTGCCGGTACTTCGTTTGAATCACTTCTGCTGATCTTTGCTGCTTGAGTAGATTTTCACGCGCAAGCTTCCCTCTGACCATTGCCTGTAGTCGAACAATGGCATGATGGGTGTGTTGATATTTCTGCCTCTGTTGACGCCCAAGCAGCAGGGCACGATAGCGAGTTTGGATGATAGTTGAAGCACGTTTTAAAGCCAAGAACTTCTTTCTGCTTAAGAAACAACGCACATGGGATTGAACCATAATGGTGGCCTGTTTAATTAGTGTAAACTGCTCACGAAATCTGTAGCCTCGATAACACGACTGGATCTTTATAGAGGATAGTTTCATGAGTTGAAAGTTTCTCTGAGCGTCTCTCGCGTAAAGCAATTCCTTAACCCTTCCTTGGATCAACAATGTGGCTGTGTAAAGTCTCTGGTATCTCTTCCGCGCCAGAGACATTCTAGTAAAAGACTGCAATCTGACCGCCGCTTGTCTCTTTCGTAAGAAAACTCTTCTTTCAATCTGACATCTCACCAATGACTGAATCTTGACACAGGCGGCCCTCTGAGTATCGTACTCTATCTTCTGCCGTCGGCCTAGAAGAAAAGCTCTGAAATAGACCTGTAGAATTTGCACAGCTTCTTTCACCTCGGCAAACCTCCTCTGTGCTTGATGCCTTCTAGTGCAAGCTTGTATTTTGGTAGTAACTCGTTTGAGACGTAGAAACTTCGAGTGCATTCGCCACGCACGAACGAGGCTTTGAATCTTGACAGCCGCACGAATTTGCTTCACGAGTCGCCGATCACGCTGGCCTCGGTAGCACGACTGTAGTGTAACCGCGCATGCCCTGAGATAAAGGAAACGCTGCCTTTCTTTTCTTCCCAACAATGTCGCTCTGTAGGCCTTTTGGATCAACACAGTAGCGTTTTTAACCTGTAAAAACCTTCTCTGTTCCAAGACACTTCTGACCAGTGCTTGAATCTTAACACAAGCGGCACACTGTTCGTCAAGCCATCTTCTCACAGCGTATCCTCTCCAAGCAGCCTGTATCACTGTAGCGGCCAAATTCCTTTTAACACGCATCTTCCTCTGATTGCCCAAGACAACAGTTTGAAGTCGCACAACCGTCTGTCGAAGGTTTGCGTACCAGCTCAAGACTTCTCGTCCTTTCTTTAAAGCCAGGTAGTGAGTCTGAATACACTGGGCGGCCTGGTGGCGAACGCGAAGCTGTTTACGAACCATGTAACTACGGTAAACAGACTGAATAACGACAGCGGATTCTTTCATGGCTCGAAATCTACGGCGTGCTAAAGCAGCTCTAGCACGTGCCTGAAAGAGAAGAATTCAACGACAAAAAGAAAAATGAATTAAGTAGTTGTGAGAGTGATGGAAAGTGCATGTCCTAACAAACACGGATTGCGCGAGGGAACAGACATAAGGGAGTAGTCGCTACACCTAAGCCACAAGGGAGACAATGCTCTACTTATTTTTCTCCCTTCCCTATCTTTAAGAAAAACTGGAGTCTTCTCTTAGTCTGTGATGCATGGATAAAGAAAAATCCTGGAGCGGCATCTTATCATAACATTTACCTACCTGAAGAGAAACAACGATCTTGGAGACGTTCTGAAAGGAAAGGAACAAAAATCAAGCTTGAAAATTCATTATACAAAGCGAGAAGAAAGTGGTTTTCATCGTGCGTCTCCTAGCCTGTGTCTATATATACCTCTCTCGCTACAGAAAAGGGGCAAGTGCGTACAAGCTATTGCTCTTCCTGTAGTTCAGTAACTACAGCATTTAAGACCTTACCACCTTAAGGGAAGTCTCCCGACATAGATTATTTTCTCGCTGCTGATTAAGTCTGAAACGGCGAGGCGGTAATCTCCCAATAACGTTGGGCCTCGCCTTCCTTTGAGTTTCTTAAGCAACGGACTGATCAAGAATAATAATAAAACCTAAAGTGAATTTATTCATAACCTTTTTTTTCCCTCACAGCTAACACTGGCTACCTGTATCGCTTAGAGCTCCGACTTGTCGGGTCCGATCAATAAACAGGAATTAGGATATTTGCGCGGATAATGGTAAAACACAAACCTTTTTCCGTTCCAATTGCTTGTTAAGTCGAAATCGTCTCCAAGCCATCTGTATGCAACGCGCAGCCTTAGTTTCCTCCCTAAGATCCAATAGCCGCGAGCACAGATAGGCGACATAGGTGATCACGACCTACAAATAAACAACCATTGTGAGCGGGAAAGGCGATATCAAAAAATTGAAAAGAAGAAAAGTAGTTTCTTTAACTATCGTACCTTTTCGTCGGGAATTGTGTGCGACATATCCGAAGCTTTTGTCATCAGGGGCACTCCGCCAAGTTCTTTGACCTAGAATTGAACAAAGCACTTGTCATTCCTTTACTAATGAGGAAGGAATCCGGTTCGATTTGACGACTTTATACAGAACAAGATCTTTGTTTCCTTAAAATAAAATCTGCCTACAAAAAATGCATTCAAGCAAAGTACAAATGGGTGAAGAAAAACCATTTTTACCAAAAAAAAAAAACAGATTTAACTGCTTGAGTTAACTGTTTACTACCACTTTTACCTTTTCAGCGATCAAACGGAGGTTTTCACGTTCGTTGTCCTTGAGCTCCTCTAAAAGAGTGTTTTTGCCAGAACCTAAAATAACAAATAAAAAAGTAAATATAAAACGTCCGCCAACAAAAATGAGTTATCGTTGATCACGCTTTACCTGGGCTAAAAGTTGCTGTCCATGACTTCACTTGCACGTCTTCCTCCCCCTCGCTGTCACTTGTGTCATGTACCCCCGGATTACAGGTCAAACTAGTTTGCTCTTTGATTAGTTCAAGGGGGAGGAGTGAGGGGTGGTAATGGTGGAGAAGATAGCATAGCGCCCGGCCGTCTGAGAATGAAACTGTAAAGTTCTCGATCTAAAATGAACAAAAAATTATTAATGTTTTTCGTAGNGAAAAGTAGTTTCTTTAACTATCGTACCTTTTCGTCGGGAATTGTGTGCGACATATCCGAAGCTTTTGTCATCAGGGGCACTCCGCCAAGTTCTTTGACCTAGAATTGAACAAAGCACTTGTCATTCCTTTGCTAATGAGGAAGGAATCCGGTTCGATTTGACGACATTATACAGAACAAGATCTTTGTTTCCTTAAAATAAAATCTGCCTACAAAAAATGCATTCAAGCAAAGTACAAATGGGTGAAGAAAAACCATTTTTACCAAAAAAAAAAACAGATTTAACTGCTTGAGTTAACTGTTTACTACCACTTTTACCTTTTCAGCGATCAAACGGAGGTTTTCACGTTCGTTGTCCTTGAGCTCCTCTAAAAGAGTGTTTTTGCCAGAACCTAAAATAACAAATAAAAAAGTAAATATAAAACGTCCGCCAACAAAAATGAGTTATCGTTGATCACGCTTTACCTGGGCTAAAAGTTGCTGTCCATGACTTCACTTGCACGTCTTCCTCCCCCTCGCTGTCACTTGTGTCATGTACCCCCGGATTACAGGTCAAACTAGTTTGCTCTTTGATTAGTTCAAGGGGGAGGAGTGAGGGGTGGTAATGGTGGAGAAGATAGCATAGCGCCCGGCCGTCTGAGAATGAAACTGTAAAGTTCTCGATCTAAAATGAACAAAAAATTATTAATGTTTTTCGTAGAGTCAGGATAAAAAATAAGAATGCTAGGCATCAGACAGGAAAAAACGAAAGAAAAAACGCCTAAAATGACGGAGACTGTCAGTGTGGCCGGCAGGAAAAGACTATTACATACATCGATGAATGGATGAAGTATCGTAAATGCTCAAATTAGCGCCTCGGGTGCTTATTGATTTTGGTCACGAAATTAGTTTGTCTTTATTTCCAGTAAATACAATCTGTAACAGTAAACTAGAAGGTATCCATTAGCAGAATCACAAATGTCTAAATGGTAGTTATCAAAGTCCTGTTTCCTAAAAGGTCTTCTAAGCCCTAATATTGAAATCTTTTATTCTACTTCTATACCGTTTATTCAGTGCTGCTTTTTTTTAAGGGGGAAAGGATGAGGGGCACTTATTTGAAGGGCACTAATTCGATCATTTACGGGATGCAAATGAATTATACTGGAAAATCTAACTTGCTTTACATTAAAAATAGTGATAATTAGTTCCTGACCTTTAACCCGTAAATCCTGCAAACCATCTTACACCACTTGAAGAGCAAGCGAAGCCGGTCTAACTTGAAATACAGGTCTGACGCAGAGTCACGACGTTTACCCAAGAAATCATCATCATTCCCGTCCCAGTTCTCTGCAGCAGTCAACCGATCGCGGAGAAGTCTGGTACTTTCTAAGTGAGCTATTTCCTCTTTAAGAAGTTTTTCATTTAAAAGAACTTTGACCTTTTTTTGAAAAAAACAAAACAAAACAAGGAGAAAGCAGTCTGTTAATGAACGTTTCTAGTTCGAGTTTCCAGTGGTATATACGCCTGTCCAAATTCAATTCAGTTTATTCTGTTTGGGTAACAACAGCTACAACCATCACTAGTGCGAAAATCCTCTCTTAGAGCGCTTTCCAAAAGTCAGGACTGGCCAGCCGAGCCGGTCATTTTAAAAACGAAAAAATTAGTTTTTCCTGAAATTTTATTAAAACCCATCACTGCCTTGCACCCCATTTAGAAATCAACCTGATGTTCCGCCGGCAAATGGTAAGCGCCCTTAGTCTGACTGATAATTTACTTTGCGCATTTTGGCCTCATCGGCTCGGTTACTGGCCAATACCTTTTCATCAGTTTTTTCGGCAGTTCGTACAAGCGGTTTTTCAACAAGGTAAGGAGGCGGTATAGTACAATGCTTACCTCAGCAGACAAGCACGAAAATTAGTAACGCTAACTTTCACTGCATGTCTGATTTGTAATTGTAAACTAACTGGTTTTTCATTTTACGAACGACTGGTATCGTAGTAAACTTGAATCACATGGACCACAACTTACTTGAAAATGAAAGATAATCTGCCACAAAAGAGCCAGTGTCTTTTCCCTGTGTCCATCCACAACATGACGCGCATCAATCAAATTCCCTAAAAAATAATGGTGGATTGTGGTTGATGATCTGTTGTTGAGGATTTACCTGAGCTAAAGAAGAGCAAACTGCATGCAAGGATCACTTGTCGAGAACTTTACCTCCAAGAACGCCTCTTGTTTTCAACGCGTTCATGAAAACATCGACGTTGTGAATTTTCTGTAAGAAACAACAAGAAAAAAACTGAAAACTGAACAAGTTTGCCTAGTATTAAGAACGGAAGATTATTCAGCCGTCGAAATTGTTGATAAATATTTGAAAACCATTTCATTTATCTTGTAACTTCATTCTACCAGCTATTTTTTTAATGTTGAACATTCACCTGCAATCTGGAGATGGCAGGAACACGAAGGGTTGCTGAAAGCTTCCAGTCTTGAGTGAAAAGCTCCACAACGCGCCTGTGTAAATCAAATCAGTTAAGCAACATTCACGACATGCAACTTAAACTACGAAGACTCAAGGAAGGTCGAGTTTTACGAAAACAGCTTTTTGAACAACTTGAAGTACAATAAGTGGTTTGCTTGAAGACGTTTGTTTCATCATGTCTGTCATTCACAGTCTGACTCGTGCAAAAATTTTCATTGGCCTGTTCCATCAGGCATTCAGATCGTGGGGACGGCTAAAAGTTCCGCTCCCTTGCTCCATAAAATAGGCTAATTTTCATGCTGCAAAAATTGTGTTAATATATGCAGAAGAGGGTTAGTCCTTTGTTAAAACGGCTTTTACTATGAGCATACGCAACATAACTGTTGAGTCCGTGAATGCAATTCGCGTTTGGTAGGGACTCTAGTGACCGATACAAAAAGTGACGTATTAGCTGGAGCAGTTAAGCTCTCTAAATGAGAAAAACGAACAAAATGTTTAACGAAAGAAGTACCCAGAAAATACTGAAAGGTTGCACTTAACAAGTAACGTTCAGTGGAAATGCTTAGAAATGCCAAATTAGATTTTATGGCCAAGTATTGTTCATTGACTTCATTCATAGAAGTTACAACAAACCCGGAACATGGTGTTTCATCAGGATATGCACACTTTTATATGAACAAAAGTGACGGGGGGGGGCGGGTGTCAGAAAAACGCTGATCCGGAAGGAGAATTTGAGATGGAATGCGGGAGTTAACCAAACACGCGACGCCGTGTTCGAGATTATTGAAAGAGAATATGAATTTCAAACTTACCTGGGAATGTGTGACAGAATAACCCAAAAAGTAAAGATGCTTTGTCAGGTCGCCTTCTCCTTTGAGGTACTCACGAGAGAAACTCAGCAAAATGCTGCGATTTGACTGTGAAATGAAACGTCAAAGCAGGTTCTATTCAGGCTCTATTAACTATGTAAGTACAAACTTCAATACAAAGGCCATCTCCCTTGATAATTTAGCCTGTGTTCAATGCGTTCAGGTGGGATGATAGGGGAGGCGCCTTTGTTATTTTTCCCATTTCATCATTATTTAATCACTTCAAAACCCACCCAGCCCAAGAAAGGTTGGCCACACCACCGCGGCATGCACCGGAGTCTAAGTCCCCTACTCTTTTCGAACAGTGGTGTGGGTTCTCTTAAGTCCCACGGGAACTGAATAAGTGAAAGTGCTGTATGTAGAATAATAGCCTGTCTGACAGTCTTTTCTTCGAGCACCAATATGCAACGTAACTGAAACCGCTGAGAAAGATACAGCAAACTTTTGTGAAACGTTGTACCATACCATTTACTAACCCAAAATTTTGCGATCTTGTTTTTTGGTATTTATTGTTGTATTTATTTTTCACAGCGTTGTGTCGTAAGATGCCATAAGAAAGGCGATTTTTCAAAGTGAGTTTTATCAAAGATGCCGATAAAAATGATTAACCTAAGCAACTGCATAGAATTTAAAAGAATTAACACAAAAATCTTGAATGCAACCATAAATCCGATAATAGCCCAGCCTAAAGTTTGCCTAAAGTCCAGCCTAGACTCAACCTCGTTCCCCGGGTCCTCTCCTACTGTGAAACTGGACTTTCGAGAAACGCTTCTCTGTTTCTACATAATTAACGTTGTACAGTACTGCTGCAGATAAACAGACCTTGAAAGACGCTTCCTTGTTGAAGAGACATGGGTCATGGTCAATAAGCCGGGTTAATTTTGCACGATCTAGGAATAACACCAACAGGAGAAACTTCTTGAGGGTAAACTTTCCTAGTTGTTCGACGTAACCTGATTGGAGAAATACAACACGGAAAATAAATGAAAAAAAGATTTACGATTACAAAGGCATAACAACGAATATAAGATAAAGATTTAGAGGAGATGGATTTAAGGCAACGTACATGTTGCAGGTCAAAATGAAACGCGCATTCAAATGGCTCTCATCCTAGTTCGATTCTCAGTTTTCTGGCCTAATTATTACTAATTTAATTTAGTGACAGCCTTGAAGAATTTTGATAAACTCAGTTTCTTTGACACTTCTAATTACTTTTCAAATAACATACTGTCGATTAAATTCACCTTCTCGGTATAATCCAGGGACCTGGGGATGAGCAAATGCATTGGCAATGTCCGGGTTACCAAGCAACCTCTCTGTTAGGAAACGTGTCAATCCTCCTTTGTCATTGTTTGACTGGATCGGGAGGATTTCACCGTATATGGTCTGTAAAAAAAAGAAAGCAAGACTTTGCAAACAACTTTAAGCAAGTGCGTGAATTATACAAGTAACCATGGTAACAGTCACTGTGATCACCTTACCTCAAGTCCAATCCTCAGCCATAACGGATTATAGGAGAGAAGCATTTCAACAACTTGCCGCTTGATTCCTTCAATATAAATTTATTAACAGTCAACTCTCTGTGAAAGGTTTGAACCCAGGAGTCATTTCAAAAGTAAGTTGAGTTTGATCATCCGGATGGGCATAGTCCTGAATAGGACTGTTGTTGTTGACAGTGACTGACGTTTCGACAACCTGTGCGGTAGTCATCTTCAGAGTCAAAGTGAGTTGTATCACGTCAGTTGATGGTATTATGCTCAACTCTCTCAACTCAACTCTCTCTTAACAGCATACACCTCTTTGACACTGCAGATACCTACTGGTGGTCTCGTAACAGCCTGCTGAGTTTCAGTAATTTCAGTGGAACTACACTCTCTATAGGATGCATAGTTAGAGCTATAGCCCTGACATTGTCTGTCTTTGAGAAAAAGTTTGACTTTACTTTTAGATTACTAGAAGGTAAATGATTAATTCCTAACACTAATCGGACTCAGGTACACGAGGAGAAAAAAAATTCATGGCAGCCACTCGGCTTCATTTAGCCTTTGGATCTTGCATTTACTGTAACTCCCACCCAGCCATCCCCCCCACCCCTGCTACCCCTTCATTTTTCTTCCCTTATAATTTATTCCACTGATTATTCCATGTGAGCAGGTGGTGGAAGCTCCTGGACATCTCAGGCACCCTCCTCCACTAAGTAAGGTGATCAAATGAACTACAATGTAATTTGTGACTTGCTGATTGTGATTGAGTGGTTTGGTAAGGTTAACCCCAAAACCAGAAAATGTGAACAAATTTTTGGGATTATTATATTTACCAACCTAAGTCAGCATGAAGTTTTTTATCGGGTCTGATCGCCAGCCCTCCATTCTCTACTTCAGCTTCTATCTTTCTAATAATGTGTCCCAGGGGTTCTGACTGGTACAGCAAACAGGCACTTCTTCTCAAGCGAGCCATCTTACGTCTAGCAGTGTAGAGCCTAAAAGAGAGGACCTCTTTTGTGGGGGCCAAGGGTTGGGATTTGGATCCCCCAAGTGCAACATTTCCTGGGGAAAAAAATGATTTCAATGTTTTACTTTTATTGCACTAACTCTACTAGGGTTAATTAATGCTCAACGTTTTTTATATAATGGCTATCAATAAAATAGTAAGAATGTGTACATGCTAGTTGATGGTTAACTACATGCATCGTTATTGGTAGAACAGGGCTGTCATTAGGAGGGGGCCAGGGGATTTCCCCTGGATACTATGAACATGGTCCCCGGCTACTTTCATAGGAAAATAGAAGAAAAATAGAACCAAAACAAATCCCTAGCCATTTTATTCCCAACCTTCTTGTGGTATTTATCTGGCAACTTGAAATCTTAGTGACATCCCAGTAGAATTAATGAAACTGTTCGCTTAATGCAACTGTTCTCTGCTCAGTGAATTTGATGTCTTTACCAAGAGTAAGTTCAAAGTTTTGTGAAATATTCTTTACCTTTGTGGATGTCAACTTGTAGGCTAGAATCAGATACATCAGGGGGAGTCAAAACAAAGTTGAGCCACTTAGTAAATCCTACAAGAAAAGCAGAAACAGTCATTAATTTATTTAACAAATATATTAGTTATTATTCTAAAACTGATTCCAATTTAAGAAGAGAAAAAAAAACACTTCTCTGAAGGGGTTTGGAATTATTGGATCTCCATAAAACTTTTAAAAATGTCAGCTTTTTTTATCAGTTGTTATGGTCGTTATGGTAGAAAAAAAATATTTTTCTCCAATATTATAGATTTCATGATGGACTATGTAAGTTTTGTCTCCTGACATCGAGCACTTCTTTGTTAATACAATGATCATGAACACAGGCAAGCGCAAATTAACATGGTAAGAGAGACCTCTAGGAATGACGTAGTGAGTATTACCTTCTTCTTGCTTCTCAATCCACCTCTCATCATAGTACATGTTTTTAGCAGCAAATGGCATTGGATGACGTGGAAGATTGCTTCTAGGAGTTTTGACAAGCTGTAGCTTTCTTTGAGGGACACCTTTAGCTGAAACTGTCAACTTTATTTTGGGTTTTGGCTTCTTCTTCAGAGTTCCTAATACAAAATAGTTTACAAAATTTATAATATGTGATATGGGTGATGGTGTGGTTCGACTTGTATGTAAGGCCCAATTGAAACGTGAAAATTTTCATGTACAAACTTGAGAGCATTGGATCGAAATTAGTGGCTGTGACAATAAAATGTTAATAATATAATTGATATAAATAAATTCTTGACAGATGTTAGTAAAATAATATAAGAGCCCATAACAGGCGACTACCTTTTAAGGAAACTCCTGAAGAGTAAAGTTGGCATACCCAGATATCTTATTGTTTGGCATCTCTATTATTTTGTATACATCATGTATCATATACTGGTATGCATTTCATAAGTAAGAATTTTTAGACTGATTATAAACAATTATTGGATGAGGTTTTTGTGATATCTGGAATAATCAAGGTCAAGGTAAGTGTTATCAGCCAAGCCGAAGGCCGAGGCTGATAACACTTACTGAGACCTTGATTATTTAGGATATCACAAAAACGGAATCTAATAATATTGTTTTAATATACATTGTTTTGAAGAAAATAACTTCTCAAACTCATTAATAATTCATAAAGAAAATTCAAAGGAAATTAATGTTTAATGAGTGTTTGGATATCAGATGAAAAACTGCTCATTTTTGCATCCTTAATTTCTCCTTCAAAAATGATTTATCATCACCAGATGAAACACCTCGAAGTTCGTCAAAAATACTCCGCTGCGCGTCGTATTTTCAACTCTCTTCTCGGTGTTTCATCTGGTGATGAAACACTGCATCTCATGTTTGATATATTACATCAAACACACCATCGCAAGGAACCTGAATTGATATTGTTATTGGAAATCATGCATTGTGCACGCAACCTACAGATTAGTCAGTTATCTGCTAGCAGATAACTACCTAACCTGTAGGTTGCACTGATTTCTAAAATTAGCTGTAGGCTCTCAGCCAATGAGAAGACAGATAGTGAGTACAATGTATAATAACAAAAGTTACCTGACGTTGGAGAGAGTTTCTTCTTTGAAACAACAACTTTTTTCGTTTTCACAGCAGATTGCTTGCATGTTGGTGTTGTAGACCTGGAATGGCTTGGAGGTGTTGATTTAACCTTGAGTTTAGAACTTGCTTGAAGTTTTGCACTTTTGACACAATAAGTATCGCGCCGCAAATTCTCTTCAGACTGATCTTCTCCATTTGAACTCTTTATAGCTTGCTTGTTTGCTGGACTATTTGAAAAGCCAGTTGTTTCATCAATTTGATAGCTGCAAACATTGAGCACTTGACTAGGCTGAAGAATAGGTCGTGGCATTTTCTAGAATAGAACAATAAAATGATAGACAATTATAATCATTTGAAAAAATTAAAACTTAATTACAGTCTAACCTCTCCTTATGGACACCTCTACAGCGTGCAAAGAACGTAGTGTCCGATAGCCCGGGGCTAGTGGATTTTGCTATCGGGCTAGTGAATTCTGTTTTTAACTTGCCCGACCGGCCAGTGATGTTTTTTGAGGAATTCGAATAACAGAAGAACTGTGAAATCAATTCTGCTGGTCAAAAATTTTTTGGGGTTAGTTGAAATGATGTCTGGGCTAGTAAATGCTAGCTTCAGCTTACCCGAATAGCAAGCTGTAAAAATGATTTTCTTTGCACCCTGCTCTATAATACAGACACCTCTTTATTACGGACAGTTCGTTTGGTCCCAGAAATGCCAAAATCATACTTTCCCTACCTCTATAATATGGACACCTCTGTTGGTTCTGTTGGTTTGCTGTCTGTATTAAAGAGGTTTGACTGTATTATAAAATTCTATAAATTTGACAAATTTCAAGTTAAGAACAGGGTGCATAAAAGGGGACTGACCCTCACTCACACATTCCTTTTTTATTTTAATATTTCTATTTTGAATTGCCAAAATATTGCTAAAATAATGCATTCTTGTGTAACACTACTGTTGATTTTAAAGCCTACTGGGTATGTGCCAATTAATAGAGAGAGAAAAGGTACGAGGACTGGGAATTTACTCCTTATTTAATTCATAAAATTAAAGAAAAGATCAGGGTACCTATCTGAGCGTTACAAGTTTGGCTAACTACAGAATTATACGACAACTCTTTTAGAATTATTATTTTAAGAAGAGCGGGTAGTGATTGCTGTTGCCTTGTACATCATCACCGATAGATACACAAAGTACACTCGAACAAAGTCATCATACCTTGTTTGTCTGGGTCTTTGAGCTTCGTTTGGCTGTTGATTTCCTTTTAGTTGGTGCCGTGGCCATTCCAAACACTATTACTTGAAGCTGGGGAGAATTGTCCGACCTAAATCGAATAATTTCGCGATAGTTCCCTGCTTCCTTTGGCTCCCATGTGATTGAGAGAAACAGTTCATTCTTAGGTGGAATTGTGACACAGTTATTCTTAAAATTATCGTTCTCCTCGTTTCCGTTAACTTTCAAGGTAAAGCCTTTATCTGTCGGGCATTTCTCAATTTCCAGTGTTTGGATAAACGGATGGGGGTTAAAGACGACAAAGTGCTCTGTTTTACTGTTTCCAACGACCACAGTTCCAAAAGATATCTTCGGAATCTTTGCAAAGTGTGTTAGTTTGAGTGTCGGCAGATCAGACTCCGGCGTCAAGGGTATTTTTGGAGAGCTCTTACACGGACTATACCACTGAGCACGTTTCGAATGAACCTTGTTGACCACTGGACAGTTCTCTTTGCTCGGGGTAACGCATTCCGGTTCCATCGCTTTCCTCGGCTGAACAGAAAGAAGTTCTCGGTGAAACTGAGGACTAGTTCCGGAGAAAATAAAATCGCGAAAAACGTCTTACATTTCTGCAACTGATCAGCGAGAACTCAGGTGTTTGACTTGTTTGACACAACTGGAAAATTTGATCGAACAAATGATTGAAAATACCGGGCGTGCAAAATCCACCAATCACAATGTGGCTTTTAAAAAACGTGAACCAATCAACGGATACAAAAATTGAAGAACCAAACGGTTTGCGCCCATTCTCTCTCGGTCTTCACGGGGCTACAGCAAGTTTACACCAGCATTTTTTAAAAACTCACGGCCGCGAAGAACAAAAGGCATAAGTGTACGAACAAGCTAAAGGGGGGGAGCAACGGGCAGTTTAATTTCATACCGTTGTAAACTGCCGCTTATAAGCTTCCCCCCTTCAGGTAAACAGGCGCGGATCTAGGATAAATGACCGATTTCCTAAACCCCGAGCCCGTAAGCGCAAGCCTCAAGAGGAGTCCGGGGGCATGCTCTCCCAGGAAATTTTTGGGATTAGTTTCAACTCCCTAAAGTCCCCTTTCCTGGGCCTTCTCTGGGTCATTCAGACAGGATATTAGCCAGATTTCAACTTGGAAAGTTTTTTATTAGTCATATATTATTTATGAAAAAAATTTGACCGATTTTCCTAAAACGCCCGCGGTGAGGAAACCGGTGTGGATCCGTGCCTGAGTAAAAAGGTCCTCTTAGTCCCTCTACGTCATCTACCTGTTGACTGTTCCAGGCTCCGAGATAGTTGGGTCCGCAAAATTACGAGAACAAAGCTGGAGGAAACCGCCTTTCCTAGCCTGAGCCGCAGACAGTCTAAGCCCGCTTTCCATTTCAGTAGCTTTCAGTGTCAGAACTGGCCGCTCAGACTGTTGCCAGAGACCAGTCAGTTTGAAAATGAAATAGGCTTTTTCCAAGAGTTTTTGCTGAAAAACAAATTCCTTCGTGTATACTAGTTAAGATTTAACTGATCTGGCTGGTCAGTTTTGATAAAAAGTGAAACTCTCATTACGACGGACGGGAATGGTCTGACCGGTCAGGAGGGGGGCATTGGGGTATATTAGAAACCGCAAAACCGAAGAAAAAAATCATCCAAAACCGCAAAACCGCAAAAAAATTCGGCGTTAACCGAAATCCACATACAAAACCGTCAAAAACCGATACAATGGTGACAAGTGGGGCATACAGAGCAAACTAAACTAACACTAATTTCACCAAAGTATTTGTGAATGTCATGGACTTTGTCTGAAGCCTTCGTATCTTTTTGTGTCTGCTTAAATCATAGGCTTTGTTTCTGCCGCTCTCTCGAGCCCAGACTTTGCAGTTCAATTTCCGAAAATCCGCTAGTTATGGAGCCTAGTTAACTTAGGAGAATTTGCACACAAGTCCTCTTTAGAATTGCAATTTTGCAGTCGCAAAAAGCTATAGCTCTGAAAACTTCAATCGAAAATCTCTAATCGAACATTACCATTTGATAACTCCCCTCCTCGTAAAAAAACGCAACACAATCCACAATTGCTTCTTCCGTTGCTGGCGCGGGAGGCACGTTGGAAGCCATAGCTCGCAAACTGACCAAATGGTCGCCCTGGTCTGCGAGGTCAGAGGCTCGCCGGGCGTCAAGGGAGACGCTTGATCCCCTACCATGACATTTATTTTCTCATGCATTCCTCTAAATAACTTTGGCGTTTCGCGGCTATTCTAGACTACGAGTAGTCCCCCATTTTTCCTCAGGGATAGTAGAGCGAGCACAACGCGAACGCGCGTGAAAATCAACCCACGCGAGAAAAGGCGACACGCGGCGGGGAGAGAAAAAAATTTTTTCTCTCTCCCCGCCGCGTGTCGCCTTTTTTCGCGTGGGGTGATGTTCACGCGCGCTCGCGTTTCGCTCGCGCTACTATCCCTGAGGAAAAATGGGGGACTACACGTAGTCTACGGCTATTCGAGATTAAGTGCTGCTCAAATCGAACAGAAAGCGGAACCCAAAATAGGACAAAATAGGAAAAACCAAAAACCACATCGGGTACCAAAACCGAAAAACCGCTAGTATTTTTCACGAAAACCGAAAACCAGATGCTAAAAAACGAAAAATCCGCAAACCGCAATGACCACCAAAACCTGTTTGGAAGCATTTTTTCTAGACAGGAGTCATGAGTTCCGGTTCTAGTCCGTTTATAAGCCCTCCTAAAACGCCTTACAAAGACGCACATGCGCAGAGGTTATAATCGGTTACGTACGATATCTCTTCCTATTTTACTTTCTCCCGCCCACTTAATTCTTTTGACGGCCTGGCAGCCTAGTGACCCGGGGCTACCCGGAAAAAGGAAGGCCTTGCCTTCCGAAATATTGGTAACCAAAAGCAGATATTCCAAACTGTAAAATCAGCTTTGCTTCTTTTGTCCGATGTTTTAATTACCGAGAATTTGTTTACCATGGCTAATTATTACACACCACATTTTCCGAATCAATATAAGCCCATAAAAACATCGGGATAAAAAAATTGGGATGTTGGGATTGACGTTTTTTAGGGCCCCCTCCCTGACTGACCAGAATTGCTCTCTCACCACACTGTCTCTGTCTGTCCTCCGCAGTGGCATCTTGGGGCCCCTAGGGAGAAGCAGAAAAAGCGCTCCTTCCCTTCGTCGCCTGCGTTTAAACTACAATCGTAACTACATGCAACACTTCTCGTCTAAGCGACAATACCAAAGCTTTCCAAGTCAAAGCCCTATAGCTGAAACCTCTCATAGGCGACCACGACCACTGTGAGTGGTGACCAGTTTTATAGTCTAAATGTTGTTTGTCTTTAACGTCTTGGAAACGACCGTTTGACGCACGGATGGTCTAATCTCCATATTCTCTGTTTTAAGTAACGACATAGAACTACACTCGTCGTACCTTAAAATTTGCGCACAATAAATTCTTTTCCAAAAAGTATTTTAAAAGATGGAGAAATGAAAAAAAATAGATACTCAGAAAAATACGCAGTCAACCTTAGGAGAAGTTGAACATGAAACGTTTTTTTGCATCAAATGGAAACTCGCAAAAAAAATTCGAGCCCCAGATGGGGAAGAAGATAAAAAAAGTGCTAGCTTTATTAACGATCTACCGCTAGGGAAACAAGAGACGGCGTAGAGAAATCTTGTCTATTTTCTCAGGCTACCCTACCCCTGTAGTTTGTCTATTTTCTCAGGCTACCCTACCCCTGTAGTTTGTCTATTTTCTCAGGCTACCCTTCCCCTGTAGTTTCTCTCCTACCACTTTCCTTTTACCCTCTGCACGTAGCAACTGCTCTCCCCAGGGGTGCGAGGTATAAAAATAACTGAGGTGATAGTGAAACCCTCCTCCTAACACCCCCATTTGTTTTGGCTCGACGCAAATTAGTGGGAAAACAATGCAGTGCTATAACGAGCGTTGCGCGGTTACAGTATTTTTTCCATAAACGGTCAGATGCGGGCAACCAAGAAAACATGACACTGTTTGCAAAATGCAAGTTACGTACTGGTCTTCTTTATTTACAATATTATCTATTTACAAGGAGTAAGTGATCCCGGCTGTATGAGGCATGCTACGTTCACACGAACTGATCCAAAGGCATTGATTTGGAGTCTCAAAAGAAACTGTTCCTTCTAAACACAAGTTATCTACCAATGGCTTTCTACTGGACTTATGAAAGCCCAGACGAAAGTGTCTCGTCGTTTTTGTACTTGGCCAGTCGAGAAAAAAGTTCAGGAATTGTACAAATGTAACCGAGCTCGATAATTAGCTCACAAAGCATTTTCTTTTCGGTATTATTTTTGCGGTTCCGTTTATCGTTTTCCCACGGTACGCGTTTCTTTAGTTGTGCTTTGTGGTTAGCCGTGCTTTATCTAGCTCTGTGATTTCTCCGCCTTTACACCCATAAACAGGAAAGAAATTAATTGATTTTAGCTCGCTTTAACTTGCCGCCATTGCTGTAGTTAACCGCGAAACTCTCCATTTGTTTCCTCCTATTGTATTAACAGAACACGTATGTATTCTGCGGTAAAGCGATAATAGTGTTTCGCAAACAGGCGTATTGCCAAAAGGAAGATTTCACTGTTTTGTGGCTTACCTAGCTATAGTTGTCCAATTGTATTGCTAATAACAGGATGCGAGCTGTTTGTGTTCCGCGCGATATAAATACGCCTGCACGTAGCGTTTCTACGCATTAGTACAGTTCCAGTTGCCGCGTTCACTAGTCAAGCCGTAAGACATAGTTTTGTAGAGTTCTCCCCTCGCTGGAGTGGCGCTATTGCCCTTTTCATCGCCCTTTTGTTCCCTTTTTGTTGCTTTATTCGGTTTTTCTAGTATTTGTTGTTATTGTATTTCTTTTCCACTAATTGGCCATTAAATTCTTGTTTGTTTCGTATGCGTTTTGTCTTTCATTGGTCGTCATTCGCTACCTCCCCTACTCGCGCGGCTCGGTCACACAAAGTAAAACGAAAAGAGTCACCATAGACTCCTCTGATCTGTAGTTTTTGTTTTGTTTTTACCCGGATCCGTTAGTTTCGTGAGAACATAGCTCCAGAAATCAGAGAGGTGGACAATTTGCAATATTTTTTTAGTGAACAATTAAAAAAGCTCACCAATTCTCGATTCCAAACAGCAATGCAAGCACAGTAAACAAATCAGTATGATAAAATATACACTTCAAAGATATTTTTGTTGAGACAGAATTTATTTTAAAGGAAAATTAAAACAAACAAACACTCTTGACCACGTTGTCGGTAGGATTGTATAGAATGACGTCAGACAGGCTTCGTTTTCCTCCATTCGTTTGCACTGAGTAAGTCATTAATAACCATGACGCAGCCGTTGGGATGTGACAACTTTACCTGACTACACCCAATTGTCTTTTTACTGTGCAAATATGGCTGATAGTATATCCTAGGAAAAACCAGCCTATTACATTGCAAAAAAGCTTGCATATAAATTGCAAAAAAGCCTACCAAACTGAAAGAAGCAAGCCATTAAATTGCAAAAGTGCAAATGTATGTTGGCTGGTAACAGTTTGGAAAATTGACGACAGGAAACGTAAAAAAAAAAAGGCAAAATAAAATTAAAGGGGCTATGATTAGTGCGGCATTGTTTAGTAGTAAGAAAACTTGGTATAAATGAACTTATAACGTAAAAGGAAAAGAAATGGAAAAAGCTTGACCGGCTTGCCGTGAGTGAAAACAAAGACAGTTTTTTAACGAAAGTCAAAAACGTCTAAGAGACAAGAAATTTGCACAGTAAAGATCTAATGAACGTAGTCACACAAAGAGTGTCATAAACGCATGCGTCACTATTAGGATGAACCCGATTGTATATCAGTAGTGCATCAGATTGGATGAAACCATAGCAACCTACTTAGATCACGTGACGGATAAAGTCATTCTACACCTTACAACATCAACGTTTTGTAATAGATTTTCAAAACCAAATCAAACCAAAAAAATGACCATTAGGAACTGATGCATGCATGCTGTTTGGAATAAGCTGTGATTAGAACCTACTGTGTTTTTTTGTTGTCTTGATCACATCTTAAATTTGTTCTGTCTGCTTTTGTCAGTTCAGGGCTCATACAAACGTTTCTTACTTGTAAGGAAAAATGACTCCATGGTATTAATCAAATACGAAAGAGTTACTTCCATTTCGAGGAAAAAAAGACAAAAATAAAAATTTGTCGTTCAGTTCAAGTATTAACAATTATACAATTAACTACTTCTGTTTTTTTTCTCTATTTACATATTTACATGATACGTTGCAAGAATAGAATAGAATCTTTAACCAAAAAAGGGGGAAAAAAACTTTTAAACCTGCTTTAAAAGAACTCGACTGAAGAAATACAGAATGTTTAGCTTTCTTCAAGGGAGAATGTGCCTTAGATCGAGACTCGGAATACAGAAGAAATATTAATGAAGTAGATTTCCTTTATCGACCAATACTTAGAGCTACTTATACAATTTATACTCTTATCACTATAAGTAGTGGTTTAAATTAGTTTCTATTTACACATTTATAAGTATTTGCGTTTTTACAATTTACAGCGGAACAGGAGAAAATCTGAAATCGAAAAGAATAAAACAAATCTGTTAGTCATTATTGGCCTGCTCCCAATGTATGGGTCTTCTTGGCTCAGTTGTTAAAGCACTTCAGGGCTAATGCAGAGGCCATGGATTCGAATCTTGTTGAAGTCACGAAACTTTTTCGGGTCAATTTGTAGTTTCTTAAATTGCAATTACTACTGCGACGATCATATCTTCGTTTTTTAAAAAATTGTTAATGATAAAATACAAAAAAATGGAAAAGTGATTTGGCGTGCTGTCTCCTGATTCCACTTAACTAGTCTACATCCAGTTTCCCTGATCAATCAGTTTTGTCTGCAGTTGTCTTCTATTTAGCCAGAATGGTTTACAATAGATGGAATCAAGAGAGGATATAGAATGATGGAATTAAACATTGGCCCAGTAAGATCAGATCCGCGACTCTTTTATGCTTGGGTGAAATAAAAAGCAAATAAGCATCCTGGAAATGATCTGCAGACATGGGTTACAATTAGAGAGTTAACTGATCTTAAAACAAAAAAAAAGACGCTAGTAATTACTCACCAAAGTTTTTTTCTGTTCAGCAAGTTTCTCTTTGCTTATCTTTGAGGCAATGGAGAATATCAAGAAGCTTGGCCTCTTGCATTTTGTGGTAGTCTGTTCTTCGCCAATCTGAAAATGTAACGACCAAATATCATTTGTCTTCAAACTGTTTTTTTATTAGTCCTTGGTACACGTTCGTTATAGTAATCCCTTGTTTATCAGGTATAAACAAGATAAACAAGAAAAGGCGGCTGTGCACCCAAGCTTTTTGGAAGGCGGACCTTCTCGTGTGCAGCTTTGTCTCGCTTGACTATTCCACAAAAACAACAACAACAACAACAACAACTAGCAACACCGACAATCGAAACCCTTTAAGGGTGGCCAATTTGCCTTATCAGCTGAGCTGGTAAAACGACAATTTTAAGTTTTACTCCTTCACTGACTGTCTAGGTGACACACTCTCACAGTTTGTTTCGGAAATGATCTCGGATCCCTGTAAACCTTCTGTATCGCGGTGATGGCCAAGAATTGTGCGTCCTTATTTTCACTTTAAATACGTTCTCACTTTCAATCTTTATTGGGATAATAACTTAATGGAAGTTATTGTTAAATTTTCGGGGAGTTTATTGTGGAAAAGCTTTCTGTTAAACGCGCCAAGTTAAATTGAAACGGAAATTAGCAACATTCCACTCTTCTTTCGATAATTCCTCCCACTCGTCAAATTGATTCAGGAACCACGTATTATTTCACCGGTTCGGCGAAACTATTGTCGATAACAAACAGTTCTTTTGTGTCATTAGCAATATGAATGAACAATGTTAATATACCTTCCAGTGTGAAGAAAAGCTTGAGTTCGTTTCTGAGGATATCACAACAATGCTCAAGATTCTCCTGTTTTTCACTGAAGAGATAAGTAAAAGATAAAGACATTTTTTTATATGAAGAGAGATATGCCAGCTTCCTTATTTACTAGATGAAACACGTCGCGGCGTTTATTAGATTTTTCGCGCTTCGGATGCGGTGTTAACTTTGCAAACACATTTCTTAATCACTGACAAAAATTACCGTAAATCATTTGTAAACATGTTAAAAGAAAGGTGCATTTAGTTCTGAAGTCTCGCTTTTTTGCTGAGAAAGGAGAGGACGGATGTTGTAGATTACCAGGTTGAAAGAGTTCTAGAATGAACTCCGCATTTTTCTGATTGGGTGCGGCGTATTATCGTTGGCTGCGGAATATTGGTAAATTTGCTTCCAACTGCGGTGTTCATTTGAGAGAGGCGTTTATTCGAGTAAATACGGAATGCAATCATAGCAGTAGTAGTAGTGGTAGTGCACTGGTGTTTTCACATAAACCCATACTTGTAATACTACCCGTGAGAAGAGTTTGACTAGCGGTAATGAGGTTTTTGGCTTTACAATACGTTTTTCGTGAAGTAATTTGCCCGGATTACCCTCTTGGTGTGCCTGTGCACAAAACAGACGCTGTTATCACGACCCATGGGATACCATCCAGGACACGGTGTCGAAGCTTTATTACACATTGGCTTCTGACATTGTAAAGACTGACTTTCTTTAACGAGGCACAACAAAACACGTTTTGCCAGTAGACGATAATTAAAGTATCACTTACAGAATTTGAAGATCGGCTTTTCTCTTTGTCAGCCCTTCTATGTTACTCAACAAGATCATCCAGTCCTGTTTTAGACCATCCAACTTCTCTTTGCACTCTAAATACAAAATATTGATCGCATAATCATAAACTCAATTTTGACTGATTCTACAAATCATCTATCAACACAACTGGAACTGAAAAGCAAAGAAATAATACTAAGATATTTCAAGAAACTCAGTTGAATGTTGCTACCATCTCAAGAAGACTAGCGAGAGCTAGCCTGCTTAGCAGGCGCCGGTTTTTTTTCTTTTAGGGGCCCAGTGACCTATCTTTTGAATCCGTTGTTGGGGAAAAAGTTTGTTTTGTTTGGTTTTTCTTTTGCTTTTGTTTACTTCTCCATATTTTCAAAGTTACTGTAGCAATGTAGCAAAATTTTGCCGGGTTCGCGCATTAATGATTGATATGTTTAGCTGCGCTTGGCGTTGGCTAAAAGCAATGACCCCATCGACCGGAAGTGACATTGCACGTCCTTAGCAACGCGCGAGATCGCGCGAAAGATAGGTCACTGGGCCCTTAAAGACTAAGGAAGAAATCTCGAGCACACGGGTGCTCCCGTCACGCGGCCTTTAAATAAAAGTTAACGGCACCTGCTACGCAGGCTAAGCAAGGGCCTTGGCCTCAAGTCTATATACAGATTGCAGAACCCGTACTACTACTCATTAAACTGACATGCTTAAGCTTTTGTGATTAAAGGAATTAAAGCTTGAACTGACCTTCAATCTCCATTGCCTGATGCATTTCAGATTCTAGCATGACTGTTACTTTTTCCAAAGAAGCAATTTCTTCCTGGAGTGACTTCATCTCTGCGCTCACATAAGCTGACAGTTCAGGGTAATTCACAGACGCTGCTGAAAATAAACATAGAATATAGAAAAATAACCTTTTAGTTCAGTAACTACTTTACCAACGAATTATGGTGAAATATTCTGATAATATTTCTTGAGAGCTTCTCCCTTTTTTATTTTCGCGGGGAGGGGGGGAACATGGCCTTAAGACTGGTTATCATCAGCGACGAGTCGGAATCGGAGTCGCAATCAGAAGCGTAGAACTTTACGATCTAGTGAAAACAGCTTTCTAATTCCGCTTACGACTCCACCGTTTACGATGTGTAGTGAAAACTAGGTTGTCCAAGTCGCACGCAGAAGCAGAAGAACTAAACCAATCACAAAGCGCGGGGACGTGCCTCATGATTGGTTTTATCCTTCTTCTTATGCTTCCGACTCCGGCGATCTGATTTTTACTAGATCGTGAGCGACGGAGTCGTAAGCGGCGTCGGAAGAAAATGGAAACGTTCTGATTCTCCCGACTCCGATTTCCTCGTTCTTATTACTCAGCTTTCGATTCCGATTTTTTAATTTTCACAAAGTCATAAGTGCTCTTACGACTCCGCTTACGATTCCGACTCGGACTCCGTCGCTGGTGAAAAACCAGCCATTAGACAGTCCAAGGGACTCGTGCCTACGTCGGTGATCGGTGATTGGGCCTCCTCCACGCTAACTGCGTGACAACGGCCAGGCAATGTGTATTCTTATTACGCAAAAGTCTCTCAATATAATTTCTAGACAGAAACAAAGTCAAAATTTACTGAGCGCGCTTTTATAAATACTAGGTGCGCTCTAGAAAAATTAATTTCTCAATTACTACGAAAATTTTTAAATTTTCCTTGTTTTGTTTTTGTACCTTTTTTGGCACCATTCTCCAACAGCTTCTTGAAGAATGAAGACATCATTTCGTTATCGTCGTGTGAATCAGCTGAAGTATTTTGCTTCTTTTCACCAGGCATATCTGTCTTAGGTGCAGTGAGTTGACCAGATGTTCCAGAGCCATGAGCCTTATCAACATTTCCACCGCATCCAGAGTAGCCATCTTTATCTTCCTTGGGAAACAGTTCTGATGTCTCCTTCCCGCTGGCCTTCGGCTGTTTTTTGCCTTTTATAAACACACTGAGCTTTGGTCGATAACTTGGTATTGAATGAACTTCTTCGAGTGAAGCCTTTTCCTCGCCTTGCTCTGGAGCTAAATTGTTTCTTGTTTCCTGTTCACTCAGTTGTGTTGTTTCTGGTCTGGTTGACAACACGCCTTTGGATGCCAGAGATTGTTCAGCTGGTTTGGAGGTTGCACCAGAGGTTAAATCGTTTAGGCTTTTGGTCTTGCGACTATCTTTTTTTCCTTCAATATTTGCAGGTGTATCAGTATAAGAAGATTCTTTTCCTTCATCTGCTGAAGGTGTTATGGCTTTCACGTTGTTGTTGTTATCTTCAGCACAAGTCACGGACTCTGCAGTCTTGTGGCAGTTTGAATAAGCGCCCGGCTGCGGTGGTTGAGAAATTTTCTTTCCCACCTTTGCTTCTCTTTCATGACCGTTGTTAACACTGTCAGGCGTGTTATTTGCTCTTTCTTTGCTTCTTCTTTTCTTGTTTTTTCTTTTCCTTGGTGTATAAGGAATCTCTGATGGTTTATCAACAAAGGAAAACAGAAGTGGATCCATATGCTCCGCGGAGGACACAGCACTTTTGGCAATTCTATGCTTGGCTGATTTAAAAGCGTCTGCCATGATTTCTTGGAATATTTCCTTATCGCTTCGACTGTGATAAAAACAAGCAAAATATGAATTGGATGAGTTGAGACTTCAGCAACAGATCTAGGAGATTTTTAAGGAGGAGTCCAAATTTGTGCACATTTTACTTCCACCCTTCCTCATTTCGAGTAAGCAACAGCTCATGACAGCTTTAGAAAAACGTTATTCAGTCTCCTCCGTCTATCTAAGGGTACTCAGTTTGAATGTAAGTTGAAATTCTAGCGCAACTGCTGACCTAGAAGTGCTTGTAGAGATGATACTACTGTTGTGATAAAAGATTAAGCCCGGCACTCGACCATTTTAATCCAAACTGTATAGTCTGCTCTAGAGTGGCTCTAAAGTAACCTGACATGACCTCACGTTTGGTAAATACAATCTCGTCAGAAGTTTATGCCCCGTCAAAAAAGGAACGAAGAAATGCAAGTTTCTTAGAGAAGAAATGCTTATTAAATTACACAATACTCACTATGGTATTCCATCTTCTAACATCACAGAGGTTAAGTTAAACTCGATTGTTCCCGAGAGAACGTTTCTCATTGCTGGTTTTAATGTGACAGTTATCTCGAATGTTTTATTTGTCTCGCTGATATAATCCGCTAGATCAATGCAGCCCGTAGCAATAACCTGGCGCCGACCATTTTCACACTCCTGCGAAAAAAGGGGATAAAAATTGTTGAAAAAAGACCAACGAAAATGAATTGCACAAACGAGGGAGAAATAGTGTGTTTAAGACAGATGTCGCTGTTAAACAATGGCGGTGGGTTTTTTGAACATTGTTCTAAAAATACTTGAAACGTTTTCCGACGTTTGATGTTCAAGAATGCCTGTTTAATATTTCTAAACGTTTTCTGAGCAAGTTCCTCTATTCTTCGCGGTAGGATTTGTTTTTTTATTTTATTTCAAAGTCCAAAAGGTTACCACTACAATATGGTTTTGAAATCTTTGACAGGTGGTACAAATGCAAACTTACATTCTGGACAACAATCCTCCAAGGGCAGTCTTCGTAAGTACCGGCTCGTTTTGGATTCTAAGAGAAGAAAAAACAGATCTCATGGATCAAGCATGCATAGACTAAAGGTCGGTAATCTTAGGTGAAAGGTCTGTAGGTTTTTGTGCTAAATTGTAATGAATAACTGATATTGAAGAAATATTCATGAGCCCTTGCAACCTACAGCCACATTTCTTACGCTTAAGTTGAAGCTTATATACGTTTTAAAGGTAGCTTTAACATGATGATAAGAGGCTCTTTACCTTGCAGAGTTTGAAAGAGTTTTTTACGGGATCCGGCTCCGGCCACACATGAGTGCCGCGGTATGGATTGAAAAATCCCGGCTGCCATGGAACCGGCTAAAAAGACAAAGTTTTTAAAGCTTGTTTCATTAAACAGTTAAGATTTCAACGATTTTAACAGTAAATAATACAGCAATAAAATACCTTAGTTTGGCAACTGTTGTTTTCTTTGCCCCACAGAATGATGAGCTTGTTAGGATGCCTAGGAAAAAAGCGAAGAGCAGAGAAGTGAGATTCAAAATTAACTGAAAAAAAAGCAACAGTAACAGCAAATTTTAACATGACTTACTACATTTAAGTCAGTTTTTATGTAAAAAAAACTGAGGAACTAAAACACAGTCAAAAAAAAATCTCTCACCTAGTAGTTTGTCCATGAAAAAATAAACTTACAGTACTCAAACGTGTGGAATATACTTTCAATTTCTCAAGCTGTTTAGGCCGCCATCTTTGAAAAACTTTTCTCGGTTGAACACGTGACAAACTTATAACCCTCAGACCCCTCCCCGCTTTAAAAAACTGGCAACGATAGGGAAACATAGCTTTTTAAACAACAACAACATAATGATATTTTCTTCCCAAAGTGCAAGCACAATTAACGATACTAGAGCGAAGTTATCGAGAGGGTGTCTAAATATTCAACAATAACACTTGAAATCAGTAAACCATCCACGTGAGGAAGGCTTCACCTGACAGGCCTGTCCGGTATCGTTTTTTTCTATCACTTCCGGCCCTTCTTTTTTTTTTGTCGCTTACCATTCATCTGGCTGACATTCGATGGTCAGCAAGTTTACTGATGCTGTGATCTGAAAATGACGAGCGTTTCTTTTTTTTCTCTTTATCTTTTGTATGACAGCACTCATTTTGCTCCTCTCTGATACGCTTTCAAGCAAACTGTAAACTGTTCTGTTTATTTTCATTGTGATGTCATGTTACTAGGTTTCTGTTTATTCTGCAGCGCGCAATAGAATGAGAAAGAAATTGAGAATCTCCCAAAAAAAAACAAGATTCTATAACCCACTGTAAAATATCAGAAACAAAGATAAACTCAGCGTGTTCATCATTATGAGATTATGATAAAAATAAAAAGATCACTTTTTCCAAGAAAAGTATACCTTTGTAAATTTTAGCTAACTTTATTTACATGTCTTTCTTCACTCTTTGAGGTTCATTGCGCCTCAGACCGATTTCAAAAAATATTTAGTTATCAAACCAAAAAAGAAATCTTTTAAACATGAAATCTGAACAGTAAGTCGGTGATCCGGTTTAAAGTTAGTGCACATGCATTTCAAGCAAAGTAACAATCACAACTAAAATCATCTTTGACTTCACCATGGTACCTACCACTGCCTCCCTGGTTCACATTCGATAGTCAATAATGTAGCAGATGCTGAAACCAGGAAATCTCGCTGGGTAATCTTCCTCATCACGGGAGACATTTTTAGTCGCTTTGGATGAACACACTAAGTCTTCTGGACAGTTTGCTTCGTTTTACTTGTGACGTTAAATCACCATGGAATCTCGAATTGCGCACTCGATTCCAAAGAGCTAAACTGAAAATGCCGTTTTGTTTGTGCATTTATTTGTACTTTTATTCATATACAACTTGATACTACGAAAGCCGAGAAGGATCTTCCGACTTCCGGTTTCCGACTTCCAACTTCCACCCTGGCTTCAGAGATCCGTTCTCAAAAAAAAACCTAATATGAAATAAACCGTGCTTACGGTTTGATAAGGCTATCGATAAGAAATCAAAGGCTCCTTGGAGCGAGCTCATGGATGAATTGAATTAGTGTAAAAAAAACATTCCATCTTGAAATTCAGATGTTTTAAACAGTTTGGGCACTGTAACAGATTCACTTTTCTCCTTCGTATTTTTTTTATATTTCATGACTTTCTGTGTGTTGATATACTTGATAGATCACGTTTACACTGATTTGTTTAGCATTTGGTTTTTGGCATCTGCTTTTGATATGTTGTGTTAAGCATTTCGTCAGCGTTTCTTCGGTAACTTTTTGGCGTATCTATAGCACCCACGCTTTCCATCCACGCCTAGGGAGCTTCCCTTGTTTGCCCGAAGCTGTACGTGTTCTAACCTTTGGAATTCAAAACCCTACCCAGTCTAAGTATCCGATTGTTATCAGCGTAGCATATCTGCTTAACGCAAAGATCACTTTAAACTTATTAATTTAACGCTTGTTAGTTGTAAAATAATTTGCTTTCTCATGAGACCGTCAAACACTTTCCGAACGATAGTGCACTTTCTTGTAAAATAGCTAAGTTTTACATAAGGCCGAGTTTTATTTAAATCGTGGTTTTAAACAATTTTTTTAATGGACCTCGAGGGTTTCCTATAAGTGCTTTCAAATAAATGTTTCCATATGCTGTTCACAAAGAGTACGTAAAGGTTAGTATCTGTACTACGAGCTATTAAATACAGAATACAGGCGTTTACGGCTCTAAACACTAGCTAAAAATTATTTTAATAACTGGATTGAGCTCGAGGCTGTACGTGCTCTGACCTAGCTAAGTAATTTAATGCAGTCGAAGTAACCTATTGCCCCTCTGTACTTAGCATTTCCTGTAGAAATTACATAATGGCACTGATAAAAGGAATCACCGACAAACAGCCTACTGGGCAAAGATCACCTCGAGCAAAATTGTCCAAATAATAACAAAAACCCACAATAGATACTCCTCAATGTCACTTTAATCGAGGACCGTTTTTCGGCAGCTAAGGCTCTTTGGCTTATTATTCGCTTTTCGCTGTGCGAAATCCCATCGTCAGGCTGCGATAGCTCTTTCACACTCCGAGTACAGTTAGTCCAAACTGAATATACAACAATAATCCACGCTAAATTATTTCAACGTCCTTTTAACAACTCCAAGTGCATTTCTTGCCGATGATATTGTAGTGTTCTTTAGAATATTTTCTTTTATACAAAACCCATCTTCGGCTAGGTGTCGGGAAAAATGTACGCCTTACTAGTACCCTCTAGAATATAGCAAACATATGCGTACAAGGCACTTGGAATAAAAGTAATACTAAGTAAGGGAGGTAAGGGTAATGAGAATCGAGTAAGTGAGTGAGTGAGTGATCGAGTGCCATTCGAGTACCTCCAAAAGCCCATGGCATGACTACGTCATCCATGAGCTAAAATATATCCTCTGGAACCCAGGGTATCCAACTTCCAACTTCCGACTTCCGACTGCGTGAGATTGACGCTGTTTGACACGGACTGAGTCGGATTGAGAAGCTTGCTAATGTGGATGAGGAAGTGAGTTGAATTCTGTGTTAATACCTTTTTTTGGATTTGGGGTATTTTTGACATATTTACAGTTAAAATTCAGATTGTCGACTGGGTTTCAAAGCAACAGTTAGAAATAGCTGTTGGCCATCGGGTAGTGGTAAAGTCGTTCTCTGGTTCAAAAGCGATGAAGATTATCTTAAACCGAACTTGGAGCTTTCGCAAGATCAAGTCATTTTGTACGTCGGCACTAACGACCTCGAGCAGAAAAAAACGATAGCAAGTTGCCGACTCGATCGTAGATCTTGCTGAACAGATTGAAAACTCCGTCTTATTCAGCATCGAAATATCTCTGAGAAGGGATTAAATTAAGGAGGACTGCATCTTAATATCAAAGATAATCAACAATTTTTTAAGAACTTTCACAGCTGCTTTCAGGCAAGCTTAGGGTAAAATAATGCGCTATCCTGGGGTGGGGATCCCATATGAAACAGACGGGGATGCTCGTTGGAAATTTTGAGTTTAACCCCTAAAGGAGACCATCTGGGCGTGGCTCAAACTTTTTGTGACCCCTAAAGGAGACTAATCTGGGCGTTGCTTAAGCAAATTTTGACCCCTAAAAGAGACCACTTAAAAACACACAGATACGACATGCAATGAGTTTTAATGATATAAAGACATAATCATCGAATGCTTTTATCTAAAAGTAGTTTTTAAAAGCATTGTCATAAATCTTAAGTTCTTCATCATGTTTATGCATTGTCTCTTTGGCACTTGGTAAAATAGAAAACTAGTTAATGTTAAAAGAACTGTAACTGTTCACAATGTCATCAAACACTACACATGCTGAAGGCTAAAGCACAAAGCACAAAGACATCTTGTAATAACGCTTCCTTTATTGTCACTGATTAATCGGATTATAATGTTCTCTACTGTTTGTAGAAATCTTTGATTTATAATCACAGAGGTAATGCGGTAAACAAAACAAGTTAAAAGAAAAATTTGACTTCTGTTTCTCTTCACGTAATTCTGTGTTTCTTCGCGGAACCCTAAACGAGACCTTGGCGGCTTAAAATATTGGCGCTTTGCCCGGAACACCCTAAGCGAGACCAAAATCCAAAATTTACACCCCTAAGCGAGACGACGAGCATCCACGTCTGTTTCATATGGTAGTCCCTCCCCCGGGGCGCTATCCACTAATGCCGTGCCTATTCAACGTCCTGCAAGCAATGCCGAGAAATCTCATATAACAAATCATAGCGTCAGCGAGCCCAGCTCATTATTGCCGTCACGTCGCGGTTTTAAATTAGACTCTTCGACAAATTAACTACTCATATAGATGAAATTAGAATCTTCCAGCTTATAACGAAATAGATATCTTATCAATCAATGAGACTAGGCTGAATGAAACCACTACAGACAATGACTGGTCAATATCCCTGGTTACACCATAGTTCGTCGTGACAGAATTTCAAACGGTAGTGGAGGAGTATGTTTCTATGTGAAAAGTTCAATAAATTTCACCATACAAAGAATTTAAACGTGAATAGTCTTGAAAATCTGAGTCTGGAAATTTAAGAACCCAGCTATAAACCGTTTGTTGTTGTAACGTGGTAGACCACCAGATTCTCCCACTGGTATCTTTTCACCTTTCGAAACCTTAATTGGGAAACTCGATTCTAAAAATACTGAATATTACCTTATGGGAGATTTAAGGCTGTGACATGACTGCTACTCGATATGACAATGATACACGCAAACTAATGAGTGTCACAGATATATATAGCCTGCGTAGCATGGCGGTTTTGTCGAGCTGGGCGCAGGAGCGGCGTAGCCGCGAAATTCGCGCGCGAAGCGCGCGAGAACGAGCGGCGAAGCCGCGAGAAAAATAAAAACCGCCTGCCCGGATTCGTGGCCTTTTCAACTGCCGCCCCCTTCAACTCATTTTGACATCCTGTTGACAACTTGTTTGGTTTCAGTTTTCCCAGCCAATCAGAAATAAAGTGTTGACAGCCTAAACACGACACAAAAGCTCGTGATATGGTGTAAAACGTGACCTTGGCCGGAATTGGAGTTTGCTTGAACAAACACAGGTTTTTTTCTTTGTGGCTATCTTGCGCATAGGTGACTACACTGCGTTCTAAACTTAACTGAGTAGATCTTATTTTTGCTGCACTAAGTCTTACATTTATTTAGAGGTCACGAAGTTGGTTTGTTTAATCCGTATTGAGTAATTATTTCCTGTGGTTAATGTTAGTGTTGCTAATTAGAATTTGTTGATCTCAGATGCAGTTGTAAAGTACTAATTTCTTTGACCACTCTTAAAGCCTAAAGCTTTTTATTACGGCTAAATAAATATTTAAGTTTCTTGGGTCTTTTCCGACTAAAATGCCTGGATCTGGACAACTACAAACCAAGGAGCCTTGGTTTGTAGTTTCTTTGTCCGTGAATGTTTTGACGCTGGGCCCGGCTTTTTTAAGTGTTGTTTGCAGGATGTTGTATTTTTACGTATAGCGCGATCTTGAGATTTGAGTTGTAGCTTAGCTACACCAAGCAAAAAAGTATGGAGAATTACGCTGTGCGTCTTTCTTCTACTGTATGCGATTCATCGACCACAATCGCGGACACCGTTCGATGTATTGCGCTGGAGTGCGTTATTCTCTAACACCGAGTAATAGAGAAAATTGAGGTGAACTTTCTCGAAGCACTGAAATTTACTGTTTCTGTCATAAGGTCCATTGCTGTACAGCTCAGCGACAACATTTCAGATATCTGGTCGTCGATAGTACTTTTTAGAGGGGAAATTGTGATCATACAGGTTTTCGATGAGGATATTTCTTCTTTGGCCATAGCAAAGACAGAAAAGCTCATGCTCTTGCCAAATCTTGTTGACAAAATTTCCATGACATCTCTCCTTTGAAGAAGACTGTAAATGGCCATTTCCTGTTTAGGCTTCAATACAATTGCCCTGTTTTCCCGTCAAATATTCAAGATCGACGACGCTCCGGTCAACGCTTCTTTGATATTTTGATTTTGTTTTGCCGAGATGATTTGTTCAGTCCCTCGAAACTCTCCCATGGGAGATTACCAAAATATTTGATTGACAGGCGAACATTCCGAACCAATCGGAACGATCCGTACGCTGGCCTACGGACCGACTCAAAAAAGCCCCCCGTCCGTGCAGGCGGTTTTTCAAGTTGCTCCCGCCTCAATCTCTTCGCGGTTTCTCTCCCCTCGCCCGCCTTTATTACTTAGCGCGCCCAACCAAAACCGCCATGCTACGCAGGCTAAGATATATATAGCCTTCAGCAGCTTATCACTGAACCAACGAGAATAACTCCCACCTCTGCATTTAATGATCCCTATAATTTTCGGATCACTATACTTTCAGCTAGGAAATCCGAACAGATGAAAAATTTTTAGGGGATAAAAATAAGCCTTTATCTACCGTTTAAATACTAAAGTACGTTCAACAATGCTATGTTTATGTGGTTTTGAACTATATTCTCGTTGGGTGCCCCTGTTCACTAACTGTCCAGATAGAATTGTGTGCTCGGGAGTTCGTCGCTTTTGCATATAGTAAATTATCCATCAATGGAACATCAAAAGGGCACAACGAAATAACTTATAGGAATTTTCGGAAATTCAATAGAGAAAATTTTCGTAATGATGTTGCGTCTCAAAGTTGGGACCAAATATACTTTTCAACCAATCCGAATGATATGTGGTGTAGGGGGTTTACGAGCAACTTGCTCGCTGAGGGTAGAGGTACCAGGTATCTGAGTTTATATCTTGTTCAGTGTTCTTTAATGTTTACAGGAGCTCTTATGTCTTGTTTACAGCATCACTTAACGAATTCTGCTAGACAACTAACTGTAACTAATCTCAACTACTCACCCCCTTGTGCTAAACACTGACAACTTATATGAGTAGAACGTAGGTACGTTTAGGCTTGCTGACCATGAGATTTTATACAAACGCTTTTCCGAGTGACTTAAACGAATTTCCTGTTGATAACCAAAGTGGAATAAACAAACCCATAAGAAAACCAATGAAAGCGTGACAGCTAAACCCAAAAGACTCTACCTTAAACCAAAACAGGAACTCTGATGTAGGTAACAATCAAGGTCAGCAACGGTCGGTTCTAGCCTGCGAAAACATCCGTTTCTCCTCGCTCTTCCCCGCCGGCGAGACGTCCCCATCGACGAAAAGCGAGGAGAAACGGATGTTTTCGCAGGCTACGACGGTTCCAAAACGTGCCCACTTCAAGGACCGACAATCAAACTACTTCAAAAGGTAATACAATTTGTAAACTCTTCGACACAAATACAGATTAACCTTGATCTATAAACTGATCATAACAAGACTCTAGTCACGAGTGAAACGTTAAGCACAAACACGAAATAAACTTAAAATAACCTTCAAAATACTTCACAACCGTGGTTACAATGGAAAAGGTTGTTTCTCTCTATCGTTGACAAACATGCCCCCCTAAGGACAATGCGTGTTCGCGCGCGTAGTTCACTTTGGATTACGTCTGAGCTAAAGAAATGAACGCATGATCGAGATATTCTTAAAACCAGGGTATCTAAAAGATAGTAATGCTGCGGCACATTCAGTTGATACTGGAATTAGTTAGGCAGCGAGACTTAAACAAATCGAAAATGACATTGAACGTCTTATGTACATGTTGGAAAGTAACAATTACTATCAGTCTATAGAAAGAACTCGTGGGAACGTTGTTTAGAAAATGATCAAGTGGTTATCAACTCTGGTTTTCCCACAGTAAATTGAAGGAAATGATAGAAATTCAGATCGTTTATCCATATATTTAAGATACGGTGTACTATCTTTTCTCTGGAAACACAATACTTTTCTTGCTGTTTATTGCACTTTATTAAATAACGGTTTTTCATGTAACCTGAATTTCATCCGATTACTTCGAGTCGCTATTACTCCCGCAAAGAGGAGAAAACGACTCGAAGCAATCGGATGAATTTCAGGCTATTATTCATGATATATTTATAGAAACAACAACACAAAAAGCGGGAAAAAAAATAAGGAAAAAAAGAGTTGAGTAGGACTCGAACCCGGCACCTTCGCCTAGACGCGACTACACCTAACCACTACATCGGGGAGGCTGATTACGTAACTTGTGGGAAAAGTTTTTAATTAATTTAATGCCTTTTCCATGAAACTTCCGCCGGCAAGATTATCGAGCCGCATTAACCGAGCAATTAACAGTAAAACTAGAAATAGTTAGCCTGTGAACAGGCTCTCTGTTTGGGGAAAAATAACGAGGAAAGGGAAGGGGAAGAGGGGTAGAGAGCCTGTAGACAAACATTTGAGGCCGCTATTCCGCCCCCTTGTAATTATCCTGCCAATCATCTGTCAGTAAGATCGTTATCGGTCAATCAATTTCGCGCGTGAGTAACTCCTGGGAAAATTAACGGGAAATGAGCGGTGTTTTGCTCCGTCTGAAAACAGAGTGAAATGGAGCACGAACTTCATTGTCGATTTTGCGAAAAGTCGTTGATCTCCGGTAAGAGAATTAATAATCCGTTCGTCTTGCTAGTTCGGTTTGTAATTTAACAAGCCGCTGCAATGAGCGAACTTGGAATGCGGAAGGTGCAGATACTATCATGACTTCTCCAGAGCGTGACGCATCGAAGACAAGTACAAAGAGATCAGCAGCGCTTCGATCGCCGACAGGAATTACACCTTCGGGTATTTGTAGCAATAAAAGTGCGTGATAGCCCAACACGACTTTTACTTTATGCAAAAATGCTGCTTGTTCCCATGAGTTTTTTCCTCAGCGGGGTAGATTATTTTCTGGAAGGTTCTGCATTTTCACTGAGCAAATGTGATTTTCGCCGCTTGTGCCCTCTGATGCAAGAGCATTTTCTTTGACCTCTTTTGAAGCGTAAAGCTTTTTATTGCGGCTGAATAACTAAGCGATTTTCTTTAGTCCGTGAATGTAATGTTTTTGTGCAATGTTGTATCCTGACGCTGGGCCCAGTAGGAGCGCGTAGTTCCTCCCCTTGGTAATAGTCTTTGGACTGTTTTGTTATTGCCACTCTGTGATCAAATCGCGTGCTACGTGCCGACCGATGTCAATCAGACCTTTCAACAGTCAGTGTTCACGCCATTAGGAGCTTGCATCAGGATCTGATGCACAGAGGGTACCGTGGAACGGCGGTCCCAAATCAGAGGAGGAGTGAACGTCTTCCCACAATGCATTGCGATTCAAATTGACTGGGACTCTGCGACATGTACAACGTATTCTACAGACTACTATCAACGTCTTACTTTAAAAAGCTGGTTTACTAACTTGGAACAAACGCCACTGAATCGTAGCCAACAGTTACCAGCGCCGTACTAACGACTTATTGACGAGATCAAGCAAAACTAACTACGAGAGAATGACAATTTGACTAACAATAGACGACTGTTTAACTGTGACAATAGACGGATCGACACGCACCAATTACTGATTACGAGTCTTCATAGCCAATAACATCACGGCTTAACTGACAGACTACCAATAACATCACGACGTAATTGACCAATCAGATCAATAACCAAAGTATAATGCCATCAACTGACGTGATACAACTCACTTTGACTCTGAAGATGACTACCGCACAGGTTGTCGAAACGTCAGTCACTATCAACAACAACAGTCCTATTCAAGACTACGTTCACCCGGACGATCAAACTCAACCTACTTTTCAAACTAATATATCAAGATTTTCGTGAGGTCATCATTCGGCTCAGACGCTTGAACAAGTCAGAGCAACATGGCGAAATGTGTTGTTAGAAATTCGCGGCTATCACAGATCCTCTACGTTTCAAAGGACGATTAGTCTATTCGCCCTTTTGGTCAGGGATGCATTGAACTTGTTTTTCGTAATGCTCGTGTAATTTTTGTGAAGGGTATGACACTGAAAGGAAGGTTTCGTGATGCCACTCGAAAGGTCCTGAATGAGCTAAAAATTAAATTCTGTAGTTGATTTCCTCGAACCTGGTTTGGTTTCACACAAAAAGACCGTAAAAACACGACGTGCGAAGGAAAACTCCGCCATCTTGTAAGAAACACAATCGCAATGCACTGTGGGAAGACGTTCACTCCTCCTCTGGTCCCAAATGTTTGTCTACAGGCCTTTTCGCTTTTCCCTCTCCCCACCCCGATGGTGAACGCGCTCGACCAAAGGCCTGTTCACAGGCTAGTGATAGTTGACACTACAGCTGCCGCCGCTCTGTATATTGTCGGTCAATAGTATTCTTGCAGTTGTGTAGCTCTTTGAAATATATACCGATTCATGATGAAAATTTTCACGCATAATCCATACAATAGGTGAGATAAATACAGGAAACGCGAGGTTCCATGCACCGTTTCAGTTTGATTTACACAGCTTTGATCAAAACATTCTCAGTTTCGACAATAGTTTATTCTAAACCATAAGAAAAGATTAATTAGAAGCTGAATTTTTCGCTATTTCTCTTTCACTTTTTACATTCAGTTCATTTTATTTGCCGGAAAATAAGCATTAGAAATTAATAGGAAGTTTGATCAATTCACGCTCGCGCATTCTAGTTTTATTTTAAACTTTATAGTTGAAGGACATCTGTGAGCAGCGAATAAGTCAGCACAGAATTTGACTGTCGGCGAATTTCTGTAATCGTCCATCGTTCTGCTAGTGTTAAGCTAGCCGTTGTTCACTTGTTTTGGGCTGAGTCTTATTCCGGTCAAAGAGAGAGAAAGAGTGTCTGGCAAGGTTTCAAGCCAAGTGTTTATATATACACAGTTGTACGCACCTTGTAACTTCATCTGCGCTTAACGAGTGTCTTTTGGTCCATAACTTTCAAAACAACTACTGGTATCAACTGCTCCACAGAATGTCACTGATAACACGTAACGCAAAAGAGTATTGAAGTATGACTGCACAATGCATGTCACAAAATCTACCTGAGCGGTCCCTTCGGGATTCTCTGTCTTTACGTCATCCTAACCATTTCGTACTTGCGGGCGCAAACAATAGAAACGTCATCAATTACCTACCAATTCCTTGCGTTCCCCTGTTCAAGCAAATCGAGATTTTTCTATATTGACTGTATGACTGTATACTTCAACTGTAAGTAATTTCCTTAATATACGCGCGAGTTACTAGAGTGCCTCCTCGGGAATTCGCCTTCTGGGCGAAATCCCTGCGGGGGCAAAAACAATGTAAACGCATATTCCATGGCAATGAATGAATGAAAGAACATAATTATGCTTTTCAAAACGCCGATACACGTCCTCGTCTGCAAAGAAGGACGCAAAACATATGTTTTGTTATCTAGATTTCGCCTGTTATTTTGAAGGTAATGGTCAAAATCACATCCATTTTCGGCTCATACAGGTTCTTAAGAATAGCATGGCACGACATTTTCTCACTTTTACATCACCTTCTAGCAAGCTGGAATTTGTATATCCCCCGTGCTGAGGAGTCGATCGAAGAGCAAATGCTCATCTTCTCGTCAAGTTTAACGCCTGGACGAGTCAAAGACTCTTGAACTGAAATCCAATCCCCAAGTTAACCATCGTACTCATCTGAAAGACTCCTGCGTGTCTTAAATTTGGTAAGACCTCTAACCGTGCTGTAGAAATTTGCCACAAAGAAACTCTGACGGCTCCTCTGAGTCTGGGCAGCAAACGATCGATGCACGCTCTCAACCACCGAATATTTGACTTGTTCGTGGCGCAATGCATTCTGTTAAAAAGTGTGGATAAATGCAATGCATTCTGGTAAAAAGTGTGGTTAAATGCAATGCATTTTGGTAAAAAGTGATGAATTCGAGAATTCGTTCCACCTTATATATTTCCGTTAAATCCTAATTATGTTGCTGCTCGCTCCCTACGGTCGCTCCGCAGCAATTAAAGCATGATCCCAATGATTGGACGCAACTTGAAAAACTACGCAATATGTAATGTATCAAACATGAGATGCAGTGTTTCATCACCAGATGAAACACCGAGAAGAGAGTTGAAAATACGACGCGCAGCGGAGTATTTTTGACGAACTTCGAGGTGATCGAATGTTTGATATTTCTTCTCAAACAAAATCATTTTTGAAGGAGAAATTAAGGATGCAAAAATGAGCAGTTTTTCATCTGATATCCAAACACTCATTAAGCATTAATTTCCTTTGAATTTTCTTTATGAATTATTAATGAGTTTGAGAATGTAAATTCCGAAATTAGATTAGCCAAGCAAGCCTATTATCAAAACAGCTTTAACAAATATACAGGCGATTCAAGGAAGACCTGGCAGACTATCAATGAACTTCGTTTACGTAAATCTGTGAAAACAACGGTAAATAGAGTATCAAAAACTAACCCAACCGAGCTTTCGAACGAATTTAATAAACATTTTGCTACTATTGGTACAGAACTTAGCCGTAATATTGATTCTCCAGATGGTGATGTTTATCAGAGGTACATTACCAGCACAGACCCATGTTTTCAGCTCCGTCCGACCAGTGTTAACAAAGTTTTTTCACCTTTGAATAAACTTAACAAGTCAAAGGCAACTGGTCTTCATAAGATATCTGCTCCGGAATGTGCAGATCTCATTTGCATCCCTATTTGTGGTATTTTTTCAAACAAGGGAACAGAGATGACCCTAACAGCTATCGCCTAATTTCTTTGATCTCAGTTCTGGTCAAGGGGAACTGGGCTGAGCGTCATGGCGGAAGGCCACGCGGTGTTAAGAGCAACCTCAAGAAGGGAAAACCTCGGATATTTTAAATCAAAATTATGACTAAATCCAAAAGTGGGGAAAGAGGCTCCAGCTCTAGTTCTGTTTCATCCAATACCAATTTAAAAAAAGCGAGGATGAACAAAGAAGAAGGGGAAACAAATTCACTCAGGGACTTAATTCAAAACTTAACGGCGAATATGGAAAGCAACTTTGCGAAGCTGCACGAAGAATTATGTAGCCTGAGGCAGGAAATGAAGGAAAAAATTGATATGTTGAAGAGAAATATTAAGGGCGTGGAAAAAAGTGTAGATGAAATATTGGCGACCATTGAAGATATGAAAGAGGCAACCAAAGCACTGAAAGATTCTAAAACGGTACAGGAGGACGAGTTGCAAGAACTGCGAGCGCTTCTTACAAAAACCAAAGCTGAGCTAAAGGAGGAGAGAGACAAAGTTATAGAGCTGGAAGATTATACTCGGCGTGAGAATCTAAACTTTCACAATATCCCAAATTCATCAGAAGAAGGTGTTAACCACTCGAAAACAAACACAGACCGATCATTGCTCGCTTCGTTTGCCGAGAAGACAGAGACCAGGTTTTTGCCAGGAAGAAGAGAATTAAAGAGAGCACAAGGTTCAAGGACGCTTACATAACCGCCGATTATGCAAAAGCTATACAAGATGAACTAATAAAGGCGATGTTCAAGGCAAAGGAGCAAGGTTCAGAGGCCAAAGTGGTGGGTAGATATCTGTACAGAGGAGAACTAAAGTATGATGTAACAAATATCCCTGAGGATTTTAAGTAGATCAAAGAACGAACATAGATCTGTTCAACTAATTTACGGTACTACTGGTGCAATACAACAACAACTTCTTTAAGTCAGATTGAAGTTAATTAGATTCTGAGAAACACAATATTTAAAATTGTAGAAGGGTTAGTACCTTCTTAAATTTAGTGGATATCTGGAGATCCAAAAATCCTGGCGCAAAAAGTTTTACATGGAGTCAGAAATCTCCCCCAGTCTTTTGTCGTCTCGATTACTGGTTGATATCTAACAATCTGAGCGATTTTGTTGAATTGACCGAAATAATCCCGGCTGTACGAACAGACCATGATGCAATTTCCTTAGAACTCGGAAAGTTAGAGAACGAATTGAAAGGGCCAGGAACTGGAAAATGAACTGCTCACTGTTAAATGATGAAGAGTACGAAGAAGATATAGCCGGGATGATTCCACTTTGGACAGCGGAAGCACAGAAAGAATTTACAGATAATCGAATGATATGGGATTGGATTAAATATAACATAAGAGCTCATGCTATTCAATACTCTAAAAGAAAGGCAAAAGAAAGGGGAAAAAAGGAACTTGACCTTCAGGAAGAATTAAGTAAAGAAAAGAGTAAACTTAAAAATAATCCAAACGACCATAACGCAACCCATTATAATGTAGTTCAGGGGAGTTGGAGTCGTTTTACGAAGAAAAAACCAAAGGCGTAATAATACAAGCACGTGCCAGATGGCATGAACATGGAGAGGAAGCACAAAATATTTTTTAACTTAGAAAAAAGGAACCACGTTAAAAAACATATGGGAAAACTGTGCATAAATGGTAAAATCACAACGGATCCGCATTGTATACTAAAAGAACAAGAGCGTTTTTACGGAAAATTGTACAAAAGCATAATTACCTATTAATAGTCCTACTAATAGGAGAGAAAATATCTTCATTTTTGAACGATCTGAATATTCCCCAACTTTCGAAGGAGCAAAAAAATTCCTGTGAAGGATTAATTTCTTCAGAAGAATGTTCTAAACTCTTGGATAGTTTTCAGAGTAATAAATCCCCTGGAAGTGATGGCATTCCAGCTGAATTCTATAGAAAATTTTGGCCACTAATATGCGAAGGTTTTATTTATCCGGTGCGCAAATGAATGTTTCGAGAAAGGGGAAATGTCATGCTAACAAAAACAGGCTGTAATGGCTGTAATGAGAAAAGCGGAAAAGATTGCGCTCTCCTAGAAAACTGGCGACCAATATCTCTTGTTAATGTAGATACGAAAATTATGTCGAAGGTGATCGCAGCAAGGGTTAAAAAGGTGTTACCCAGTATCATTCACTACAACCAGAGTGGTTATGTTAAAGATCGTTTCATCGGTGAAGCAATACTTTCTATTTTCGATATTATGGATTTCACAGTTAAGGAAAACATCCCAGGTTTACTCCTTTTCATAGATTTTCAAAAAGCTTTTGATAAGCTTTGATAGCGTGGAATGGGAATTTCTCATTGAAAGTCTTAAAAAGTTTAACTTTGGTCGAGAATTCCTTCAATGGGTGTAAACCTTTTATAACAACATTCAAAGCTGTGTTATAAACAATGGCGTAAGTTCTAACTTTTTTACTCTGGAACGCGGTGTTAGGCAGGGTGATCCACTCTCTCCTTACCTATTTATAATTGCTGTAGAAACTTTAGCAATTGCTATAAGGCAAAAAGAGACAATTAAAGGAATCACAATAGGAACTGAGGAAACTAAGCTTTTACAGTTTGCAGACGATACAACCGCTGTGTTAGCTGACACAAGCTTGGCCGAAAGATTATTTGAGCTACTTAACACATTGGAAATTCTCTCTGGACTCAAGATTAACTGTTCAAAAACTGAAGATATGTGGATTGGATCTAAGAGACATTATAAAGAAAAACCGTTCGGTACTAAATGGCCTGACGAGCCAATAAAAGCCCGCCGGAATGTAATTTTCAAAGCGAAACGAAAATAGAGCCTGATCTCAGGTTAGGGAGTACCATACGTTCAACTCCTTCGGGATCTATACTGCTGAGGGCTCTCATCACAGTATCTCCTCTCACTTTCAAATCATACTTACCTCTCAGTCGCCTTGTCAATTGACGATATCCCATGAAAGAGCCACATGAATTCTCCAGTTCTTCCAGAATAGAAACGACTATGTGTTCTATGAGGGACTCAATGTTATGCCCAGCTCGTTTTACCCCTTAACGCTTAAGAATTCGTTTTAATGTTCGCACATAGCAAACAATCCCACATGTCGTTGGCTTTTTGTCTTCTTCAACCTTTCTGGTGAACCCTTTCTTGTTTGAAAACCGAGGCTCGGAGACATACACCCTGTTTGGGTGGTCGATCCCTTGGCTCTCTTTATCTACTACGACTGGGCTTGTTGGCTAAATTATTGATAAGCGATTGACGTGCTTCAGTCAATAAACCGAAAAAAAGGCGACAAAGAATTTCCAACTCAATATGTCATTTGATAGAAAGTAAAAACGCTTAATCAAAACACCTGAAAACGATTTGCGGGGGGGGGGAGGGGATGTGGGGTGGGGTGGAGCAGGTAGATTTAGAAATTGTGCGTCTCCTTGCTACGCCCCTGTTTTCAAATCGGGTACTCAAATAGTCAGAGAGACTTCTGCTAGCCATCAACTCAGTACAACTGATTCAATACCGTACAAAACCTTTATTTAAACACGATGAAGATATAGTTGGCACTTTACGAGCCGTGTATAGAAAGAGTAACAGACTTTCACAAAGTCTTAAAGCAGTTGCGCAGTTTTATTTTGTCAAGTATGACCTTTCGCGACCTCACTAAAGCTCGTTTCACTTCCTTTGAGGTTATTAACAATCTTTTCCCCCGTTTATAACTAAAAACAGGTCGACTTAGTGCAAGTCTATGGATAAAAGAGATTAAACGATATTGTTAGCAAAAACTATTAATAAAAAAACCCTTAAAACTTTACAGTACTGTACAGGTAGCTGAAATCTAGCCTGAATTTCATCCGATTGCTTCAAGTCGTTTTCTCCTCTGAGGGAGTATTAACGACTCGAAGTAATCGGATGAAGTTCAGGCTAGCTAAAATCAGTGTCCGGTTTACTTTAAATTCAACTTGTGATTCACGGTTTTATCTTACCATAATTATCAAGATGTTGTTGAACAGTGCAAAGGGTATTATATACCTATTATTTACTTAAAACATCTCACCACACCATTGATATTATAAGAATGTCATAATATCCAGCCGAACGGGCGTATTTCTACGGCGTTTTTCAGACGAGCGAAGACAAGGGCGAAGAGAGCCAGGAGCACTAGTCACGGTGCCCGACGGGGGAAGGCGCAAAAACAGTCTTTTTCCGCGCATTCCCTCGTCGCGCGTGTCTTGCGCCCTACGCCCTCTTCGTTTTTTCGTTTGCCAGAAAATCACAAAAAATATCGCCTGTTCTGCTGGCTAATATCCCCATCATTGTTTATGTTATTTCATGTTTTGTTCTTTGTTAACGTGGCTCTTCATACCACGACCATCTGTTAGGTTCGGCAGCTTTCTCTACCTTTGGACAAAAACCATTTGCACATTCTTCCATCAGCTTTAGGACCACTTCAGCAAGCAGCATGTAGTCTTCTTTGGCATTGTAAACCTGAGCAGACACTCGACACCACAGTGATGCTTGTACGCACACAAAACAAGCAACAACTTTGTATTTTGTGTAGACATCAGACATCATCTGCTTGGCTCCTTCAGACGTCGATCCATAAGCTGCTGACAATGTATCAGGAAGACGTACAACAGCCATGCAAGGGGCTCGCATGGATTCTGGAACAGGAAGTACTTCTGTGTCCCAGTCTTCTGCTAACAACATCGCTGCCCAAGATGCAAGCTGACTGTTGTACTTTGTTATGGAACTCTAATGATAACAAAACATTTTAAGGCTCAAACTTTTGTTTTGCCATAGATGCATTAATTCAGATACTCCCAGTAAAATAGTTACAGTTCTTTCCAGTATGGCCCAGTGAAAAGGATTCATTCTATTATTTTCAACGCTGTGCTCTGGGAAAAATCCTAGGGAGCCCCATTCTCTGAGCCTACGAAATCCAGGGTGCCCAGTAAATGATATGGAGGCAAAAATTAAGATTTCCTAGCCCGATCCAAGAGCAAAAGTAAGGCAACAACACAGCCCTGATACCCTCTATTCAATGAAAACGTACTAAATCTGTACAGTCAAGATACAGGTAAACTGAGAGTTAACACTACATCAAAGGTTCTTATTATGTTAGGAAGTATTTAAGGGGCCTTAGGATCAAAGGTTTCTTTAAGGGCATAGTGCTAGATCATATGGGTATATAATCACTACGAGCATTGCTTTCCCACATGATTTGCGATGTTTATCTATTTCTTCCTGCAGTGGTCTGTTGGAGTTAAGCCTGCCCAATTAACTGATAATACAATAAATTTCAAGTTCAGTTTTAAATAATACAACAAAAATACAGTGACCCGAGGTTTCTCAGAACCAACTTTCAGACTGAAAGTATAATCAAATAAGAACCATTTATAGAGAAAAAAATATTGTCACTGTATAAATTTAACAGATTGTTATAAAGGTCATTTTATGCTGTAAACTTTCTCACTTACATTGTCCACTCAGAGAATAGAAAAGAATCAGAAAAACCTGCCTGAACAAATCAGGCTTTAAAGCCTGCTCACAGGCTTAGCTTTTCTTTAAAGACAGTTCACTGAACTCCTGGAAAAAAATAATAAAAAGAAAAAACATCTGTGGACAGATCACAAGCCAATACAGGCTTGAGTTTGATTCAAACCTTTGGGATGAGCTGCTGCAATAGTCTTAAGGTATGGGTCACTGACGCAATCATGGCTCGGGTATGACTTAGTTTACCCTGAGTAATCAAAAGCACCCACCATTCCTCCTATATCATTATAAAACTTGATGGCAGTCTCGCTCGCAATGTAAGAGGTATGGTCCATTGTGCCTTGTATGAAAAATCTGTCCTGAAGGCTTTTATCGTGATTCCACGAGACAACCTGTGGTAGGATGATATCATGAAACTTGGGGCTGATCCAGAGAATAGCACATCCACGAGGTGCAAAAAGCCATTTGTGAAGATTTCCTAGGAGGCAGGCAATGAGAGTTTTACATACACTTTTATTCCTTCAGTTTATAGCACTTTGTTAAATTATATTTAACAATTATTCGCCGAAGACGAAGTTAATATTATTCCACAATATTAAATTCGCCTGAGGTGAATAATTGTTTTAGTATATTCACACGAAGTGATCTCAATAGAATCAGAAAGGTAACCATTAAAAAACAATTACTTTGATTGACGGGTGAATTCATGCATGAACACGAAGCTGTAAACAGTGGATGCGCAAAAGTTAGATGGTTTTAATCTTTTTGTATTGAGTTTTGTAAGCTTAAGCAGCAGCGGTTTAATAGCATGGTGAATATAACGTCATAGTCTGAGATAGCTAACCAATCAGATTGCTTGAATTACCAAGATCACTGAGTGTGTATACTAAAAGGCAACATTGATGTATAGTGGTAGATATGATTACAAAAAGGTTACAGTCCATATACATTGCAGAAAATGTGATCAGTTCTCACCCTTGGACTGACACAAAACTGACAACGACAGAATCACTACACAACTGACAATACAACTCACTTTGACTCTGGCAAGGACTACCGCACAGGCTGCTGAAATGTCAGTCACTGTCAACAACAGTCCTATTCAGGACTACGCTCACTCGGATGATCATGCTCCACCTTTTCATCGTAAAGTTATTTTGAACCTCCTTTAATAATTATAATTTTGGAATAGTAGGAACCCCAAACATGTTGCTAAATCAGTTTACAAGTCAAGTCAATTTTTATTTGCACTCTCACACAGAATAATTATAATTAATACAAATTAGTGCTTTAAAATATAAAATCGAGAGATTGTGAAGGGAAAGAAAATTTCAATGGTATAAGGTTCATTGTGCAGAGTTTGGAACACCTAAATATTTGGTGGAACTAACCGAGTAGGTGACCCAAACAAGAATATGAGTAGAAGGAATATAGAACTGATGCAAAAGAATAAAGAGTTGAAGTATACACCAATTATATCAGGGCAACTTACCAACAAAGAAATCTGCACCAAGCCTGTCAAGATCCAGGGGAATTTGTCCGGGTGCATGAGCACCATCAACCAACGCCAGAACATTGTACTTATGACACACCTCAGTTAGCTTCTTAAAAGGGAGCTTTAACGCACTATTACTGGTAATGGCATCTATAATTGCCACCTTTATGGAGGGATTTTCCTGTAACACTTTTTCATAATGTTGAACAACCTCAGTTGCATGGTAATTCACAGAAGATGTCATGTCTGAAGTAGGAAATGTGATATTAAGCACAATAAGCTTGGCTTTTTTTGCTTGGCAAATATCTTGTGCTGTTATTTGAACTGCTCCATAAGTTTGATTAGTTATAAGAATACCATCACCCTCATGAATATCCAGACACTTTAGCACTGAATTGATGCCAGCAGTTGCATTAGCAACAAACACCAGGTCTTGAGGATCAGCTCTTACAAACCTGGCCACGGTTTCGAGAGATTTGTTCCACATATTCTGTACTTTGTATCTGAACCATACATCTGGGTATTTATCCATCTCTTCCTGTGTGAAAAGAAAGAGAAAAAAGGGTAATTTTAATTCTTTCCCTAACAAGTCAAGACCACCACCGCCACCACCACCAACAACAACAGATAAACTTACAATCAAATATTTTCACTTTTAAAAGGCAAAGTGTGAAAGGAGATACTTTTTAAGAAACTCAGATTGAGTCAGCAAATCAGTGAATGGACAATCAATCACTCAGTCCAAATTGATCTCTGTGATAGTTGTGTACATTAGCAATGATCAACTATGTTTCTTTTGTATATGTGTACAAGAAGACTGAATTTTTTGGCCTTATTGAAACAATCATGGAAAAAAATTGTTAAAATTCATGTACAGGGGTCATGTTCTTCTCTTCTTATTGAAGGGATCTGTGGAAAAAGATAAAATGATAGATTCTCTCTTTATTAAACTTGTCTATGCTTGTGGTTTAAGGGTAGGATTTGATATCAAAGCAAAAGGTACCTCAATTAAATAATATTGTTTAAGAATATAAACAAAAATAATAATAATAAGTTAGGATGGCCTCATCACTAGAGGTTTTCAGAGAGGTTCTGAAGATTATGAATAAACAAAATATCAGAAAGAAAAGTTATTTACTGTTATGACAGTTAATAACAATAAAAACTACATTACACTAGAGTGTTAAGGTGATAAAAATGATTACAAGATTATTTTTACATTTCAAACCTTTGGGTCTAAAAAGGCCAAAAAGACATAATTTAGAGGCTTAGAGCAAGACTCCCTTTTCATGAATGTTGACATTTCTTATTCATTTATTCATGGTATTCAAAATGCCAGGCTGCTGTCCTGACCAGAATTCACGTAACCAGTACCTGCAACTGCCATCGAGCTTCTAACACCTTCTTTGGAACAGTACCAAATGATCCATGGTTAGTTAGAGTGATTTTATCATCAAGTATAAACTTGCTCTTTTTTATTCTCTTTCCATACATAGATTGCCTGTAATTTGGGCCAAATATGCAGGTAAACACAGCACTTATGGATTTCACTATGGCTGCCCACCACACAAACACAACAAAGGTTCCCAGTTGAAAAAGTCTGAAAGGTAAAGATAACATATCAAATTTAGGATTAGGAATTTTTTTATTTAAGGAGGAAAAAGCCAGGATATTTTACTATTTTGTTTAGCAAGGAAAATAGTTGACTATAAGAAGATCCTGTTATTAGGGACTCTTGCTTTGTCAGGACTTTTTAGGAAAAAGCAGATATGCCTAAAATATAATGAACCCCTTTTTTTTCAAATCATGTCCATGTCAACATGTTTCTATTAAAGGTTAAAAGGTTAAAGGCATGTTTATAGTGGAAGGTGCACTTAGCTAGTCAGCTAATTTACAGGCACTCCACTCAAATATTTAGAAACAAAATAATTCAAATACAACATAACAGGATTAAAAACCCCAACTGGCAGAAGGCAACCAGTTGGCTATTTACAAGCATGGCCGAGAATTTGAACTTGGGACGACCGAGCACAAATCCAGCAAGTGGCCAGAGCGGGACTCGAACCCGGGACCGCCGGATTGCGAGTCCGATGCGCTGACCACTCGCCCACGCCTCTATTGCATTTGTTCATTTATATTTGGTTATTCAGAAAACAAAATTCGAACCAAGAGTAAAATTTCAGGGAGCATGCTCTTTGTGAGTAGACCTTTCAGGGTCAGCCAGGGTTTTTGGGTATACAGTATACAGGGGCTTTTTAAATCCGGTATACGGTTTATTGCAGCTTAAATACGGGTATTCGGTATATCACTTTCTTTGAATTTCAGGTATTAAGTATACCTTCGATTAATTTTGGGTATATTTGGATGAATTTTGGGTATTTTGGGGGTATTTTGGCGAATTTTTTCGGGTATACTGGTATACCACTACCCCCCCTGGCCGACCCTGACCTTTGGATGGCGGCCAATAAGTACTGAAAGAATACTGGGTAAATAGTTTTGTTTTTACATGTTGAAACTCAGTTCTCAAGTTTTTCACTATGGGGTTAAATTTATGCAAATTGTCTTGGTAGTCATATGATAAAGGTCTATGGACTTCTTCATAAGCAAATCCACAGTTGATTCACATGACTGACTCACTATCATAAAGTTCAGGTGATGCACAAGGCTTACTGATGAAAAAATAAAACTAACTCATTATTTTCTGTTGATGTTTTTAGTCTGATTAGGTATTTTTTTCATCGCTTTTTTTCTTCTTTACGCCATATGGGTATGGTACGGAAATTAAAAGCCCTTTTCAGTCTAACTCTCAGACCTTTCTGAGACTCAAGCTATTTTCAGTCTGTATACATTATTTTGGGTAAAAGGAGTACAATTTTATTACTGGAGTACAATTCAGGGAGTTGATCATTGGCAACATTAATTTGGAAAGAACAGGGGATGTTTTAGCAGTTGACTACCTTAAAATTCCAATAAAGAAAGGCTTGATTTAATGCCTCATGTACACCTCATAAATTGATTTAATCCAGCATAACAAAACAAACAAAACCAAACAATTCTATCATCAATATTGGATCTTATTTGCTTAATTTTTCTACAAACCCATTGTAAAAATAAGCCCGAGAGTACAACCTGAGGATAAAGTTTCTGCAATGGAAAGTGTGCTTACCTTCTAATACGACTGCTTTGAAGGGAATCTACTTCCATATTGGCACAAAATAATGCTTATAAGCTTCCCAACAAACAAATCGCAAAAACATGCACAACTTTAACGAATTGGATTGACGTGATTGGCTGCGCTTACTTAATTTTCTCCCCGGATTGGAAATACCGATCAACTACCCCTGAAAGCAAATCATATGCCTGTTCTGCTCTTGCATTTGATACTTCTGGGGAAATAACTCCGAATTATGAATAAAACAAATGAATTTTACGAAGTGCACCTTGGTTCAGGCTCTCAGTTAAGAGCGACCTATGCCCTGAGGAGACAAATTAGCCAATCAGAGAAGTTGCGTCACAATATACATCCCAGGGTGCATTTCATGTGACGCTCGCCATCTGCGTCATCTCACAAAGGCGTTCGTTTCGTTTACTGGGTTCACGATCTTGCAAGGTAGTAAAATCCTTCAAAATTCCAAATTCTTTTACTCCATCCATGAGTCAGTTCACTATAATTCGAAAGCACACAGAAGCCTTTACGAGGCTGCGTGGTTTTCGTCTCCATGGAAAGCTATTTATCCAACTAAAAAGTCCGTTTCGCTCTCTCTTGTCAAGGCGTCGATTCCATAATGGCCGAAAATGATGACAACGATTTGTTGGACTACGAAGAGGAGGAGACAGAAACCGCTGCGGAAGCCCAGGCAGCTAAAGATCTAGCGAAGAAGGACGTGAAGGGTACCTATGTCAGTATTCATAGCTCTGGCTTTAGAGATTTTCTTTTAAAGCCGGAACTTCTGCGCGCCATTGTCGACTGTGGATTCGAACATCCGTCAGAAGGTATTTTGAGCACACTTGTCGATTCCATCT